GTTGCAGGAAGATCTTAGAAAGGGGATTTATCTTCTTGGTTCTTTCGGTAAAGTCACGTAGAATGGAAATAATAAAATAATAAAAATAAAACATTATAAAATTATTCTCACGACGTTTCGGCCACAACGCAAGCAGCCGTCCTCAGGTGGAGAGCAGGTCTGTCGAGTAGACAGACTCTCTACTATGTTTAATTTATTTTATTTTATTATTTCCATTCTACGTGACTTTACCGAAAGAACCAAGAAGATGAATCCCTGCAGTCACGAAAGCTTTAAATCGAAATTTAAAGGGGATTTAATTGACTAAAGACGACGCCCTGCGCTCGACTCCTTCCCTCCTGGTCGCCGAACAGAGTGCACGTGATGGGAGAGATATTTTTGTGAAGGCCGCACGGGGAGCAATAACGAGGCGGCTTGCTGGAAGCGCGCGGCGGGCCCAGCGTCGAGTGATGGATAGCTTTCCCGACAATTTCCACCGAACACAGCTGGGCACACGGAGGGTCTGTTAAAGTGAGAGGCGGTGGAAACGCAGGCGAGCGGAGGGGGGCAGTGTGGGAGGGGGAAGTCGGTTCGATGCAGAAAAGCCATTTTGGTTGTTGCTGTTGTTTTCGTACAGCGGTCGGTGACCAGTTCCATTATCCCCACGTGTTCTCACATTTACATGCTGCACACTCCTCCTCCTCGCAGAAACCAAAACAATGCTTCCATGCGTCCACCCACTCGACAAAACCTGCCTCTCCCACCAGGGAAGAAGAGACATTGAATATCAATAGCTTTTCGCTTTGTTTTAAATAAAAGGAATTGACCAATTGATGAAGCAGTTCTTCCCGGAATCCTGACAGCGGTCCATTGTAAACGCTCAGCTTTCCCACCCCCACCCCCCCCCCCCCCCACAAAGACTTGCCGCTCTTTACCTCTCATTGTCCAGGGGACTGATAAAGCAATTGCGATCATTACAGCGATAAACGCTGCAGCCCGGAAAGGTCTGCGGAGCACCCGGCGTGGGAAAGAAGTACGCGGTATTCGTCGCGGGCACCGCACGTTGCCCCCTAATTTCCGTGCCCGACGACTCCCGCATCCCAGATGTCCCCCCCCCACTCCTCCCCCGGCCGTGCCCCAGGGAGCCGTGTAGGTGAGAAGGGTTGAAATGTTAACGAGCAGCCGATAATTGGCCACCCAGGTTTTGTGCGGGCCCCCAGCTGCCCCCCGCCCCCCACCACGCGGAGGAGGAGGGGGCGGCACCGCGGCAGAGAGATGACTGCGATTCAGCAGGTGGCTCGGAGTGGCGGCTGGCCATCACTCGATGTCATCGCGTCACGGGTGTAATGAGCTCCCCGCCGCATGACGAACAGTTTTTATATTGCTCCGAAAGCTTCGTCGTCTCGCACTGCAACGGGCTCCGTGTCGATAGCAGCGCAGGGTGTCCAGCTCGGGTGGATGAACCCGAGGAGTCCCCAAAGAAGGAGCAAAGGCGCTAATCTTGCAGCACCAAAATGGAGCACTCGCGCAAATGGTGTTCTCTCTTGCCGTCCGTGATTCATACATTCTACCCAGAAACACCGCAGGATTAAACTCCCTCGCGTGAGTCATTCTTGGGACTTTGAGCACATTACTTTAAGAGGAAAGGTCACTGGCCGATTGTCAGCCTGCGATATATTTCTGTTGGTGTCGAGCAGTGTTATTGACAAAGATTGAGTTTTTATTTTATTACTATTTGTGCTCGTACACCACCGCCACTGCAGTCCCTTTTCAATTCCTGCTTAGGAGAAAACCCGCAGAGCCTGGGAGAAATCCCAGGAGCGCACAAGAACATAACGCGCTCTCTCCACATGGACGGACGACACGAGTTACTCGCTACACGGTGGCCACACCTCATTTACCACGCAGGTGTGCAAGTCGCACCTCGCACGCCTCCACAGCAACCGCAAGTGTCACAGGAGGTGGGGGCAAGTGAATCTTCGCGAGCGACATCCTCCCACCGAGCCATGCCCGAGACCAGTTGAGAGACGACCACTGGCTGACCGCGAGAGCGGCGCACCACCGCGAACGGTGGAGGACGCGTCGCGAAACCCGTGTGGGTGCTTTGAGGGCACGAGCAGCATCCGAATGGAAGAAAAAAAAAGTTGACTGGCAGCACTTAAAAAGCTTGGTGTGGCTGAACAACAGGAGAACCCTGGATCCTTCTACCCGTCTGCCCTCATCGGAGCACGGTCGTTAAAAACACGTCCCCCGCCATCTGCACCGTGGCCCTTGAACGGCTCCCATGGTAGGCACAGGGGACGGCGGCAACGGGTTTTTTTCTGCGCCAGAGCTGGCGCTGGGCCTAGCGCACACGTTTCCTCACGTAGACGACGGCGCCAACGAGCGACTGCCAAGTTTGCGAGGATGGCTAAATCTGACGTGTCTTACTGACCGCTATTCACTCCCATTGAGATCTGTTAAAAGGAGGAGACTTCCACTCTGCCTCATTCAAATCCATTAGAGCAATTGGCATTCACCTTCACAGATATATATTAAAGTTCCTGCTCATCCCTTTCAGTAACATCTATAAGCGTCACAACCATTTACTCCAAATGAGATCTACGCAAGAAGCCACTGCAATTCGCTCTCATCAAGATCTATTAAAATAATATACATTCGCTCCGAGACCTTAAATGTGCGCACGCGCACACACAAAACCTTTCTCTACGTGCCTGGTCCAGAAGCCTGTGACCAAGCACGTTCTCACTTTACGATCCGAATCGGAGTGAATGGTAACATTAATTTCACTCGCACACATTTCGGAGATACCTTCCATGGCAGCTCAAGTGAATGCAGGTCAGGCATGGGCAAAATAAATTGAGCGGTGTTGCAGAATCTCACAGTGCCACGGAGAGCCCCGACAGCAGTTCAAGCAGCCCTCCTACGGGCCCCTGGAACACCGAGGAGGCACAAGCTCACAGGAGAGCAAAGGTGGAGGCAGCGGATCAAGCGCATGTGCGGCTTCGCTCTCGGAGCGCATGTAAATCCACGTGCAAAACCAAGAACCCTTCGATGCCGCTACTTGGCCGGCGAAATACGGCGACAGGGTGGCACCACGAGAGGGTGGCGTGGCGAGAGGGCAGGCTCGCCCACACTGGCGCCATGAGTGGCGAAGGTGCAGAGTAGCGTGTTCCGCTTAGAAAAAAAAAAAGACCTCGCGTGGAGAGGGCAACGAGAAACTTGGCGAGCGCCACCAGCGCGCTGGCACGCACAGAAACAATTTCACGCACATGCGCCGCCTGCTGCTTCTGCCACTGCAGCGGAGGGGCTCGTAAAACGTGCGAGATGGCGGGAGACGGTAATGGAGTCTACGCACGTGCGCACGTGGTGCTGGCGAGCCTTCTCTCCCCGGGCGCAGGCTGCTGTTTTGGGATTCTTATTTCGCCCAAGTCGTTTCAAATGCCGCCTTCTCAGCCGCGCCGTACCGTTGGAGGGCTTTGATGGAAATTTATCTTAATTGCAGAGGCATTTCTTTGTAGATTAAAGAAAAAAACTCTTAAATGAGAAACTTTCAAAGAACACTCTGTAGTTTATGTTGTCATTAATTACATTTATAGGGTAAACTTTGCTTTTAGGAGGTGTATAAAACAAACCCTAAAAAAAAGAAGTAGAGAAAAATATTTGTTTTCTTTTTTAAACTTCCATTGCCAAGGACCCAGAAAAATACAAAATTTGGGTTGTAAATACATTTTTATTATTCCAGCTTTCACGATGAATAATTTCAGTTTGACCGACACATGAACACTTTTTGCAAGCCATATAAAACATTGAGCCATTGAATGTGGATAAGGATTTCTAAAGGAGGTTTTCCTTAACCGGTTTCTGAGTTTAAAAGATGGTGCGCCGATGCGACTTGAGCAAATGTATTAATCCCATAATGACGGGAAGATAAATTTGGGAGTAAAACTGGGAGGACAGACGACCGATTGTCCTGCGTGCGCACAGGTTTGGCGACCGCTCTCCATGCGAGGTAAACCGAAAGGCTTTGCAGTAACACGCACACCTCCTAAAGGGTGGCAAGAGGCCAGAGGTAACAAACCCCATAATTTGAGCAGGCAGGTACAGTTGTGTCCACGCTTATGTAGTCAAAAAGCCAGAGTGTGCAAGTGTCTCTCTCGCTCGCCCTCGGCTCAAAACAAGCATATACCCACGTTCATCTCCACCTGACGGTTTGCAAGCCAGGAAATGAAATGCCACAATTCCCAGGGTCGGCAGCGAGTTCCCCCCATTAACAACCACCACTGTGGCTGCCCCAGTGATGGTGATGGGTGGCCTCTGCGGACAGCCCAATGTGCATTTGGCGCGAGGATGGAGCCCTCGGTGCTGCGCCTCTTGCAAAACCCCCTCACTCAACCCTCTGATTGCACCGTGCCCCCCCCCTCCCAAAGCTCAAACACCAACAAAGTGCCATGCAACAGCAGCAGAGTGCGCCACTATAAGGGGTGGGGGGGGGGGGGTGTTCCCGCCGCTTAGAGAGCACTAAACACTCCTCCGTAGACCGTTCAGGTCACTGCATGTCGGTGACAAGGTTCACTTACCCGCTCACAGCAGCGTGTACAACATAACATACAAAGTTAGAGCCGGGTTACGAGATTATTTAATGACCACTTACTCCACCGTTTATTGCTTCGATGAAGAGACAAAAAGTGCATAGAATGTAGATAACTTAAGACTCGTCTGTGTCCACCAAGGAAGGGGATGGGCGCGATTTGGCAATCTCGACAGCCGCATCACGCTGCCCACGGCTTGCGGCGGGGGGGGGGGGGGGGGGGTTCCTGTGTTCAGGGAGGCAGGTTGTGGGCTGTCACCAAAAAAATTGTAGTCTATTACAATTTTTAGCCAATTGACGTTTGACATTGTACCTTACGCTATAAAAATACAGTATATATGCGAGATTTTCTTGTTCACACGCTGCCAAATCGGGAGTTATGAAACAGTGAGGGGTCACGCAAGAGAGCACAAGACCGGTTTGACCGTACCTTTTCTTCCGTTATCGGGTTGACCACCTTGTCCACGTCGAAGTTCAAAACCCCTTTTTCATCCTGCGGCACAGACGGGCAAAACATACGCACACATTTCATGGAGGGTGGGGGCAAAAATAATTTAAAAAATATTTTGGACAGCCGTCTTATCACGGCAGAAAATCAGTCTCAAGGGTTCCACGCGTACATTGGGGAGGTGTGTTCCATGACGATCCGCAGACCGCAAGGGCATTGTGCGCCCACACACAGGCCCAATAAGCTCGGTCGACACGTGCGCACACAAAACACGTGCACACCACCATCGCAACGAAAATGCCAAGTCCTTGCCTTCTGCCGAAACCACCCTAATTAGGCAGGAGGCTGTACAGCTGCTTCGAGATAACAAGACAATGTAAATTGCATGGGGAAGAGTGAGAGAGAAGTCAATTGCATGCTGAAAAACCTGGACCGGAACGAGTAGTTAAATTGAGGTGGCATTTAGGTTAATCCACACTGCAACAACCTTGACCATGAAAGGCAACCAATAATTTAAGTATAAATAATTATATATATTTTTTTGGCTGAATGATAAATGCTCTTCTTTTATTCTTATTCTCAATGATGTGAGATAGTAGTCTTCCAGCAGATGGACCTGCGGTGTATGTCAACAATCGGTTGGAACCCTTCCCGCTTCCTGCCCATCTACAACCACAGAGGGCCATCGCCACTTGGCCATCATCACGAGGCGCACCGACTCGCGCCACCGCAGCGACGCGACGAATCGTCTCAATTCAGGGTCCCGATTCACAATTCTAGAATCCACTTTAGTTTACATCGTGGTGAATTTAAAAGCCACTCGTGACAGCAGGGATCACATCAACCCATTACGTATAATATATGCCGTATGAAATAATGACTCTCGCCACACAATTCGATGCACGCTAAATAAGCGCTTGAGAATCAATGTTAAAAGAAACCAATTATGCACCGGCGTCTAATTTCCAGGCAGTGAAATTAAAGCGTCACAAAGCTTTTAACCAACCGCCCGCTGCTTTAACCCCCCCCCCACCCCCGCGTTGCAGTGGCCTTTTGCTACAAGCACCTCAAAACCCTCTGAAGTCGCCCCCCCCCCCCCCCACAACTGCGAAAACACGAACCGAGTAAAGCGCCAGCTAAGAGAACAAGGGTGACCCCCTTGAGCTCGGGGGCAGGAGCTGAGCCAGTACCAATGAGATTCTGGGTTCGAATCTGGCTACGCAATCTGCGCTTAAAACCCGGTTCCCTCTGGCATAGCAAGTTGGTTGTCTCAGCCCAGTCAATGACTGCATACAAACAGTGTGTGTAACATGTCTTTTAGTTTAATTAGATTTTTGGATACATTTCAGCTCTGATAGTGCAACTATACATACAACCAATTATTTTGTAGCCGGGCATAATGGGAAAGCGTGCCCCTGGTGCGGATAAAAGGGTCACTCGCACTGCTCTGCAAAAAATACTTCACATCATGGACACAATGCCGATTAAAAAGCTACTGTGCATGCACCTCATTATTGGGCAATAATAGCTCCCATGATGTATGGAGCGCCATTCAAATTAAGATGGGCATCTCGTGTATGCATGTTTCACGTGGCAATTGTTAACCTCAATAAAAAAAAAAAATCGGAGACTCTCCATCATGTGGAACGCCAACGCATTCTGGCATGTGCCGCTTGCAACCACTTAATCCGGATTCGAAATGGGAGGGTAAAAATCGGCAACCTTGGAAATGCGTACAGCAGCCGCGGGGGTTCAGGAGAAGCGGAGTTTGGGAAGGCCTGGCCTACGCGCACTCCGAGCCGAGCACGGGAAACTTACTGTCAGACACAAAACCGAGGGGGGCAGACGTCGCGTGAAGTCGTCCCCCTACCAGGCAGCGACCATTAGAGCTGTGCGCGGGAGAACCACGCCGGACCCACAGGCGGTAGCGCTCATTTTTCACTTTGTCTGCCCCGCGGCGATTCGCCCCGATCCGACAGATTCGGCAACACCGACCAACATTGGCACAAGCCCCCCCCCACCACCACCTCCCGAGCTACATGGCCACCCACATAAATCATTCGTTGCAACAAAGCCCAAATTAAAAACAGAAAAATGGGAGACTTAAGTTCCCCTCCCCCCATATCCAGCCGGATGGCACTGCTGCTGCAGGCAGGGCACGTGACTCGCTATTGGAAGTTCGATCGCCGGTGGAGTTTCCGGTGCCAAATCAGCCACCCCCCCCCCCCCCCCCCCCCGTGGTGAATTAGGCCGAGCCTGCCACGAGAGCACGGAGGTATCCTGCCACCGGCTCTGGAATGGAGAGCACCGGCTGCCCCGGCGATTGTTGGAATGGGGAGCCACGCGGCGGCCTTTGGAACAGCGAGAGATTCAAAAGTTGGTCCAACTACTCCCGCTCTGCTCTGAAAAGGGACCGCGTGCTGCCCAAGACATTAGCCTGTTATACATGTTTATCTCTATCTGTTACAAGGCAGCATTGACGACAAACCTGACAATCTATTTCATGGGTTGGTGTGTAATTGTTCCCCAATTTGCTCACCTTAGTTGCCTCATTTAAACAAAAAAAATAACACATGTTTTAAGGTGGAACGGAGCCTGTATTGGTTTGCAACTTTAGCAAGTAAAAATGCCGACACAGCAAAACAGTCTTTACAAGATCCGATCTTGCAAAACCATCGTCTTGCCGTGCATTGCAATGGTCACCGGTGGAACCGAGTCGAGGAGACCGACATCTGTGAACAAGAGCGTCATAGCTCATAGGATTTCTCCGGGTTAAATAAAGATGCGAGGGCAGTGGACACCACCGACAGTGAGGGTGGCGCTGTGCAGAGTTAGTGCACCTAGGCCACAGGTGGTGACAATCATCTGAACGAACCAATTTTGTCACTCAATGGGGAAGCACGGCGAGGGGGGGATGACGACGCTTTAGAGCCTTCTGTGTGCGTTTCACCTCGTCCAGGCATGTGGGTTTTCTCTGGGTATCGTGGTTTCGTCCCGCACATGAGCATTATTTTAAAACTGCCCTAACATCTAAAGAGGAACTCCGAAAAATAAAAACAGTTCTGTGACTGGGCGAGGCGTAGATACAAAGTGATATTTTACAAGACAGCCTTGTTATAAAAAGCACGCACGAAAGAAAATGTGGGTTGCAGCCTGCGATAAGGTAAACATTTCCATAAAAAATTTAATCATAACACAGGCACCTGTCATAACACGTCTCAATGTCTTGATGTGCAAAACTTTGTTTTATGGATATATTTTTTTAAGTTCCCTTTTTTTATTTCAGGCTCAAACAGTTTGTTCTTTCTTTCAACGTACTGTCACAAGAAAACCACACAAACACAACCGCACGTGTTATTATTCGACGGAGGCGTCGCGCGAACTTTCTCGACGCGCACCTCCATTCATCCTAAAAAAAGACGACCGACGAATTTAAAAAACGGGAACGCACAAGCACCACCCAGGTCGCCACATCAAACGATCACGACAGCGACCGCGGTTCACGCGCGGCGCGCAAACCGCCCCCCGCAAGTGGACACGCCGGGCTTCCGTATCGTGCTCGCCTCTGCCCGTGTTCCACTGCTTTTGTTAACATTGTGCTTCCCCCTTTCAAGGTTGTTCAAAAAGTTCACCTAAATGTCGTTCTAAAAAAAAAAGGCCTCATTGTGCATTTGTGGAGTATGGCTGGCCAGCGGCACATAGACGATCCCCCGAACCAAGCGGGGTCTCGTTACGTTCGCCCAAACAGCTTTGCAATCGCACCAGCTCCGACAGTTGCTATGAATGGCCGGCTTTTAAAACAACTTGATAATTAAGGCAGATTGCGCGAGTTTCTCGTATTTGGACGATGCTTCAGTTTTAAAACAACTTGCATCATGTGTTCGCACATCTTTAAAGTACCAAGTACAATAAAAAAAGCCAAATTAAATAAAATCTACGATTGTTTTTCTGCTCCACGCTTAAACCAATGAGCAACCGATGCATGAACAGCCCAACAACAGCCGCCATTCGCCACCAAGTGGTGGTGACGTCAAGGCACTTGTGCCAGGCTAGGTGCACTTAGAGAACACACCAACAGACCTCTCTATAGCCGTAAGAGACCCTTGGCTTAAGTGTTGTAAGCAAGTAGCTATGAAGGCCAACGTGGCCCATTAGGGAGCGACGTGGACAGCACCATGCCCAGCTACCTTTGTCTTCCCAGTGCTGATGTTTAACACGCCGCACGAAGTACTCATTTAAGGCAGTGTCGATCTTGGGGAGGCCTAGGACCAGTTGAGATTATTATCACTGGAGTTGGCTTGAGTGGGAATCCAATTCCGGTCGCCGGGTTCACAACGCGCTACTACCAAGTACTGCGCCACCACTCCTCGCGCACAGTTGCACACTCAAATGCACACGTTGGGACGTTTCATACACGTGTCCTTGAGACGAACAAGTTCACGAGGCAAGCCTATGGCTTCATTTCCCCCACACACAGATGCAATTATTAGTACGGTTAGAACAAGTGCCGTTTGAGGGGCACCTAATATGACCGGCATGGCACACTTAAATCTTTAACCAACAATCCTTGACAAGGCCAGCATGACACACGCTTCACCATCCGTCTCACCAGACATGGTGCTCGTACACCTTCACATAAACACTTGCTTGTTCGGTTGAGTCAACCTAGAAGTGGGGCAAGGACACTTTCAGATACCGATCACCACGTGGCGTTTATGCATCGGGTCCAGGAATCTAACTGCGCGTCACAGATCGCAACGCTCCGCTCACGCAGGGCTGGCGGATTAACAAAAGAACACGCCCCGTCATTAGCGCCACTGCTGCGGCATTAGCGTGGAAAAATGTGTAGGGGCTAATCTTTGTCCAACAATCATTGACAATCTTCTGGAATTGAGTTAATTCCCCGAGGGCTTTGGAAAAGCTAATAAAAAAAATGGACAGGGGCAATGCGGCGGCGGTGGCAATAACGGCAAGGTCTTGCTGGAAACGCTGGACGCAGCCGCAGTGACCCTGGTCGCACCGCCAACACGCAAGCCTCAAGGGACCTGGCCGTGTCGTGTGAAATTTCGTTAGGGCTATAAATGATAATAATGATGATGACAGCAGGACGATGGGTTTTGGTCATTATGTTAGAAGGGATAAAATTTCTAATGACATTTAATTGAATTATTTATTTTTAAAAAACAACACCCATATGCCAACACTGAACATTTATTGATTTTTTGTTTCCAAATTTGATCTGCAGTGGGCCATCTGAATCATCGCGTGAAGCGATCCAAATTCATCGTCCAGAGGGTGCCAAAGGAGATTATGGTCTACTCGGGGTCTCCTACGATGAGGTGGGGGGGGTGGAACAGCGGCGCTGTTGTCAGCGTACCGCGCTATGAACACAATCACCTGAGTTGGACTCCCAGCCACGGATAACATCAGTAGTGAGCCTTATCATCTGCACCGTTCCTGGGCTCCTCCCTCACCCCCCCCCCCCCTTCACCAAATCACATGGAGCAGCATGGTGATAAGATCAAACCAACATGAGAGACAGCTTGGAGAGGGCCTCTATCCAGCAGTGAATTGACAAAGGGTTGCATTTTTAATAAAGGAATAAAATACTACAATTACAGAAAAATGTTAAATCCTTTTTGATTATTATTACTATTACTAAACTCATTTACCCAGGACAACCTCACCAAGTCTCATTGCTTTTTTCCAGGATGATCCTGCCCAGTTTTTCCAGGATGGTCCAATGATTGCAGTCTATTCCAAATTAACAAGATTTGGACCATAGTGCCATTACAGGGCGTCCTTACTCTTGTGATCTTCAACATCCAATGTAAAGCACACCGAGTGTAACGTTATGGTTTAATCAGGGCAGCTACTCGAGTCGAGCCGCGAACCTCTGCAACGAGTGGCGAAAGCACTACCGCTAGGCCAAGTCACCGACTGGGAGGGGGAGGCGCAACCATATATGAACCTTGGCGTCCATCTGGCGGTAGATCCCTGTATATTAGGTTGGGTGGGACTGCGCGTGGTACCATCAGGCTGGGCTGGCCTGCACGGGAGCGGACCACGTGTGCAAGGCCGAGTGGGTGCGCGTGTGGCGGTGGTCACCTTGGTGAAGAGCTTTCCACTGCCGTGGCCCAGGAGCTCGTGCAGCCCCACCTGCACCTCGAACGACGGGCCCTTCCACTGCACGTACAGGTCCTAGGGAAGGGGAGCGCACACACACACACACTAGTCAGCTCACAATGCACAGTTTCATTACCAAAGGTCAATTTTACAATTCAATAAGTGTGATGTTGTCGTTTGATATATTTCGGCCTACTACGTCTAGCTTCTTTGAAATCTAGCAATGAAGGTCCCCACTCGCAGCGATGGATATGCGGGTTATTTCGACTATACTTCAGCACGCTGGTCCGGAAATAAGGGGAAGGCCCCAGGTCTGGTTCAGATATCACTGGCCTGGAATCGAACTCAGGTCGCCTGGTTCATAGTTCAGCGTGCCAACCACTGCCCCTACGCATCACCCCTCTACACGGCGCAAGGCATTATACCAAGAGAAGCGTGAGATTAGGGGTGACTGTTAATGTGCATGTTTGTGCCATTAAAACATCCTAGGATGCTGTTAACACCCACGGCCCTGCAAGCCTGCCAGCAGCAGCAGCAGCTCTTATCAGGGCAGGCATGTCTTTAAAGGGCAATTAGCGTCCATCTCCACCTAAATCACACCTAGTGAAGCAACGGCCATTTGCGAGGTGTTACAAGCACGTGACACCATGCACACGCGCGCGCCATACAGCACTCATTACAGGAGGCGCTTCGTCTTGCAGTACACACTGGAGACGGACACGTGCAAAATGCCAACGCAGAAAGTGCACGTACATACGTACTGGCAACTACCTCACCGTTTGCAAGTTAATTTAATTTTTCAAGGCTGCATTTGTTGAGCCAGCCTTAATGGTCTCTTGTTGCTTGTGACATGATACATTAAATGACACTGCAATGGGTTCATTCAATCTAAAAAAATTATAACAGTTTAGTTTGCTCATTATCCAATCAACATAATGAATGCCTTTAAAAACGAGTCTCGTGAAATACCTTTGCCCACAGCAAACTAAAGAAGCACTAACATGCTACTGTAATGGAGCTAACAAGATGGAGTGGTCACCGTAGATCTTTCGAATTGGCCATAATCATTTCAAGTCCTTGCATATTGAAGGATCACAAGTGCATTCGAGTTCGACTGAACAGCTCTGCACGGGTTGAATGCTTCGTCAAGCAGGCTTGACCTGATTAAGTCAGGTAATATGTGAATGAGTCGATTGGGTAGTCGTGTTATTTGAGGCACTAACTTAGAGCACAGAGATAATCTCTGACATTTAACGCGCGCATGACCAAGCGTAACTGGCCAGCACCTCCTACACGCACAAATTAAAACAAAAACACGAGCTGCCGCCGGATTTGTTGTGGATGCACAGCTAACTGCTATGCTCGCACCACTCAGCTACTCCGCTTTTTTTTTGCTGGCACAGATCTGGGCCACAGCTCACCCTCTCGCCCATCAATCTCACCCGTGCCAACTCGTCGCAATCGCGAAATTCCACGAGCACCCTGGGAGAGACGGGGGATGCGGGGGCGGGGGGGTAGGAGAGACGCGGCGACCCAATTACTTTGCGCGGCCCTGCAGGGGGGTACCTCCCAATCAGCCCGTCTCCCACCCCCCCTGCCTACACTTCCCTCCCCTTGTACGCTATCCTATGTCGGAGAAACTTCCCAACCACGGGCTCCGCGAAGTGCCAGTCGGCGCCCGTGTCGGTGCATGGCTGCAGGGCCACGGATTGCGTACTGCGGCCAGAGCCATGCGTGGACAGATAACCAGCACAACGGGGTGCGGGGAGGAAAACAAGACGCTACGAGACCAAGTTTCAAATATAAACAACAATAAATGGGGGAGGGTGGGAAGAAAAACAAAGATACAAAACTCATCACTCCTGATGTCTGACAACCTTGGGCAACAGGGAATCACCGGGCACATTCTGCCGAGTTAATGTGTTTTTTAAACTCCACCCTGTCTCGTTTTGGCTGGCGAGCGGTCGACCTTCACACTTGCACCGCAACGATTGACGTAAAAGGGGGGGGAATTTTTTTTTATGGGAAGTAAAATGGCACTACGCCGATTGAGAGTTGCGGGACGAGCGAAGTTTGGCAAATGCAAACCGGGCGCCGAAAATTACCAACTCCGGGCTTTCCGACACGCACACCACGCTCGGCCAACATACAAGGTCAAACCGTTCAGCTCACTCGAAAAAACACACCCGCTCTGCGGCCGACTCCCAGTGTGTGCAGCGCTAACACACAGTTTCATTAGGGAGATGTTGAATTTAATGCCCTGCCACAGGACACTGCCAAGAATAATGAACACAACTATTTGATCGCAGCAGGCAAGATGTAAATCCTAGACGATTGCATCTGTGCCAGTTTTTTTCTCCTTACTTTGTTAGCTTACATAATTTTAGCCAATGTCACATCACTAAGAGACACTGTGGTATGTATTTCATATTTTTCCCCGAGCCAAAAATGGCTTTGAGAATCTCCAAACAGGACTAACGAGTAGCGACAGCCTCATCACTCACTGCTCTGCTGGGTGAGAAAAAAAGATTCTAATGCCACCACAACTAGTTGTGTGCAGGTTGGAGTTGGGAGGCGTCAAGAGCTGTGCGAGCGGGGTAGGGAGGCAGCGATTGGGTTATAATTCAAACTTGGGCCCCGCTTAGCCTACCGTAATGAGAAACTCTTACACGAGAGCAAATTCACGTGAATTACACGCAGACATGAACACAACGTGCACAAGAACAAAGAAAGGTAAAGAACCCTGTGGAGCAGGGGAGTACTCCACGAGAGATCACCGATTGTTAAGGCCGACACGGTGCACATGGGAGGCGTTCGTACGTGTGCGGACGAGCTCCGGTTTGACAGCAGAAGTCTTACTCCATCCGAATCAGTGGGGCGGCATTATCTTTCACGGGCTGCGCAATGCTGCGTGGAAGCTACCTGGTTTGGTCGCGCCGCACGAAGCTTCGTGGTCTTTTCGGCCAGTCATGCCCTCCCTTTTATGCTTGTGAAACGTGGACCCCTCTAATAGGGCCAATTAGAAACATTCACGCTGGCATGCCTACTATCCATCCTGAGTTTAACCAAGCTGGATTGTGCGAGGACCTCGCAAATCCTTCGGCGAGCTCTTCCGGTAGGCAAGGCTGCGTTTACTCCCCTCGCACGCATAGGGTCTTCCCCAGGTACTCCGGTTTCCACTTAAATGTATTAAAACGCTCGTCTAAAATAAATGTAAGTTGGCCCAACATAGGACCACAGAGCGTGGGCAAATGTTGGCACCGGTTCTGGTTGCTTTCCTACTCGTCTGGCTTCCCACGCTGCCACGCAAACAACTTGTGCACGTTAAATAATCCTACAGTCATTTGAAAAGCAATTTGGACCAACGCCGCTATTTAAAAAAAAATGCTGATGATTACGTGCGTGTGCACACATAGCAGTATGAGAAGGGCTGGCAGAGGAAAGAATACTGCTCCCCTGCACAGGACGAGACACTGCCACGCTTCTGCCCACCCCCACCACTTTCTCCCACCTCCGCATTCCCATCTCCCTGCAATTTCCCCCCCCCCCTTCCTTCCCTTCCCCCGGTTCCCTCCGGGACACACGGGGAGTTTTAAATGCAGCAATGCTCCGAGTAAAGGAGCATTGCAAAAGTGCCATGTAATGTGCCGCAGGCCACACGCAGGGAATTGCCAACTCGCTGCAAAGCGAAAATCCGCCTCGGGGCTCCTGGTAGCGGCACGTCGCTAATGGTGCTGTACATCTGAAAAAAAAACACATTTCACACCGCCTTGCACTTCAGAACAATGTGTTAATCACAAGTCGCGGCTTGGTGTACACGCCGCTTTGACAGCCAGGGCTCAAGCGCACGCCTTCTGCTACAAACCTGGCTCGTCCCAGCTGCAGGATGTACTCTACGCACGGCGCGTAAAACGAGACATTGCGTTTTCCACGTGCTCCCAAGGCCAGCGTTCGGTCTCCGCTATGTGTCTGCATTTAATCACGTCGGCTCCGATTCACGTGTTGGCGGCAATGGCTCCACAAGAATTATTTTTAGCGGACAACGGAAATAAATATGTGGAAATTTTTTTGTGAAAATTGGAGGAGAGCACCCTTTGGGCCAGCACAGTCGTTCTGCCAGGAATTTCAACTCCAACCCACACTGCTCACTTTGTCGGACTCCGACATGAAGGTGAGCTTCTCGCGCTCCTCCTGGTACGAGGCGCTCAGCACGTTCCCCAGCGACACATTCTTGAAGCCCTCGGACTGTCGGATGTCGTCGTCTGAAAAAGAAAAAACGCGCACACCCCCCAGACTTAGACGCGCAGGCCGGGTGGGCGGACGGGCGAGCGAGTGCCGAGCTTGCGGGCGCCACGGGTGATGTGGGCGTGGGAGCTGGGGGAAGTGCGCTAGAGTCGGCGAGTGCATTCCAACATGTGTGCTAAATTCGCGCACGGCTGCGAACAGTGTTTTTTCGCACGCTTCCCCACCAGGAAGCAGATGGGTAAAAAGTAAATTCTCGTTGGAAATGTTTGGTGGGGAAAAAAATATATATACGGAGAGGCTGTTCTCTCAATCATTTTACAAGTCTGCGATCGACATTAGGGCAATGCAAAAATACTTATTTAGCATCGATAATAATAATTACCGTTGTTACGCTTTCCCGGAGAAAAACCTCACCAGGTATCATGACTTTCTAGGAGGGTCCTGACAAGTTTTCGCATTAGGTGATGCTTAATGTGTAACGCCAATTTAGCAATTTCAGGTAAATAGTTTTTTTTATGTGGACCATGATGCTGGCACAATGTGGCCTATTCTTGTGAATTGCGAAGCAGACTGCGCGTACGTTTACAGTTAATACAGGCACAGCATTTACCAGGGCGGCTGCTGGAAACGAACCGTTAAACTCTGCAACGTTAACCTCTGGAACGCCGCTGCTACCGCTCGGCCATGTTCCAGCCCCCAGAATGGACAAATGAGAAAAGATTTTCCCCACAAAAGCTCCAAGACTTTAAACTTAATTCAGCAAGGTCCTGCTCATTTTGCAATTCTTGCTCATAGCCATGAGTGTTTGGCACGTGGGGGACAGCGGAAGACCAAGAGAACCCCCAGCCCCCCAAAAACACACGAGGGGACGGCACCCAGAGCTGTAAATCCAAGCCACCTCGCAACCACTCCCAAAACATCTGGCAAGCCCTGGTGGTCATCCATCCAAGTAATGATGGGGTCAGGGGCATTTACGGTTGTATGTTACGAGAAACGTGATCATCTGCCGACACGTACACGGACGGCACGTCAAGTTTGTCCGCAGGAGAGCCAGCCGAGAGACACACGCTGGTGTTCATTACACTCCGAGTGGACATCTCATCGGAGCCAAGCCAGCGAGAGGCAAACGCCACGAGAGATTTCAGGATATTTTTACTGGGCAGCCGGCAAAAACTAAAGGTCTTAGAATATTCCCTCTCCACAGCAGCAACAGCGGCTAGTGCCGAAACGCCTCCATTCCTGGTGCGTACGGCCAAAAAAATAATAAGTGGCGTTTGTTCAGCAATTAAAATAAACAAAACAGCGACAACGTTTGGTTGTAGTCGTGCACACGAACGCCCGCCACCGTTACCGGAAAAAGCAACAGAAGGCGAGAAAGGGTTCCATCCCCAGTAATTCGTAGCGTGCCGTTTTATGTTATTCTCGTTGAGTTACCATCGCCATGAAGGTCAAATCGTTTAAGCCTTCCCCCACGCTGCACTCCGCTTGGTGCGCATGACAATCAAACGCTCCACCCTACTAATAGGAGCACCGTGCACGACTACCACGTGCACGAGTGCACGCCGGTGGCGTCGTGGTCTCAGAGAACGTCGTCGAGCAAGAGGCAAGTTGTGTTGTCGCAGCAGGCGCCACTTTCATCTCCGTCAGAAGTCAAAACAAAAGTGCCAGATGTTTTTTTTTTTAACAAAACCATAACAGCACGATTTCTTGATTCAAGAGAGCGCAGAAAAAAACGCAGCCCGACTTTCATGCGCGCAAAAAAAAGTGCCCAACAAAAATGTATTATTCAGTGTGGCTACGACACATTCTCTACCCCAAACGCCCTTACCTCAAGCGCACATTAATGCAGCTACAACAAGTCACAAGAGCTGGCTTCAAAAACAATTTTCGTAGCAAATGCCGGCCATAATTGCAGAATAATGGGTTGCAACAGAGCAGCCCTTGGATGCTCATTTACATCGCATTACACTGGGAAAAAAATGCCTCGATTCCACTTATTGGCTTGTAAAGCTTGATATGTCGTGCGTGTCAAGAACCGCTCGTTCATGTTCATCATCGTAAAAAAGACAAATTAAAAAAGAAAATCATAAACCGTACGTGCCTCAGACAGGGCCGGCTGAGGAGGCAATTACGGCATCATTTCAAGGCCTGCAAATTTCGCTACGAAAAAATCTATACGCGCAAAACCTGGCGGCACTGAAGCCTCGGCGGTTCGCCGCGTCACCGTCACGCCAACGCGAGGGCAGACGTTTGGCGAGAGGCGCCACCGAGGGGTCGATGGCGGTAAGCGCACACGGCCGTCGTGCCCGGCGCACCCCCCCCCCACCCAACAAGAACAACCGCGCGCGGCGCAGACGGCAAGCGGTGACGCGCACCAGCCACCTCGGCGCTCCCGGGAAAAACAGCTTTCGCGGCGTTGACAAAACAGCGCGTGGGGGAAGTTTGACACGCGCACGCTCTCTCTCTCTCTCTACGCTTCCACAAACGTGTCGGCGGGGAACGGCCGTCCCGGCCTGCCTAACAGGCGTGCGCGCGTGTCACCGACGTGTTGCCAACAGGTAGATGCGTGCGCGCGGGGTGTGGGAATACAGAGAGGTGCTGGGGGACGAGACGTCAAATAGCAAACCGCCGCAAAAAGTAACACCCCCCCCCCCGGCACATATTTACCGACACGAGAGCAAGGCGCAAATGTTTATATTGCATTTAAAAAGTACAACAGCTGTCGTGTATATACACAGTATATTAATGTACACATTACTTGTCTAGCAAAACCTCAGGGTGTTAAACAAATAATTTGGTGATACAACGCTGGCAGTGGTCAAAAGGCACATTTTAAAAAAGCAACACGAATCAAGAACACTTCCTTAAAAAAGGGGGTAAATATATAACAGGCAAAATTTCTATAAATGGTGCGTGCCAACGAGACCCTTGTTGCCAGCATTAACATGCAAAAAATACACTACAGGACACGTCCCTGGTGTAGGAAATAAGTTTCAAGGACAAAGCATACATTAAAGCATATTTGTTTGCATGTTATACCGCAAGTATGTGTGGTTAATGCAGACTTCATGGCTTGTAAAAAGGTGTTTACATGGCGTTTGAGCATCTTAATACCTCCTGTATTATTGCCTGAAAAGGTCAAGCCATTTCTTCTTTCATTGCACGCAGCATCGACGTGCCACGTGCCACCTACCCTGGCACACAAGCGCTGTGGTGACGTCACCGTCACTTAGTGGCGAACGGCAGCTGTTGCTGTGCGCGCGTGCACGCTTGCGCGTATGCGCGTGTGTGCGTCTCTGGGCGACGTACAGTTGGGGATGTTGATGCCGGCGGGAATGCCGCTGCCCGCGAAGGTGAGCACCTCCAGCGAGGTGAAGTCCGGCTTGAGGAAGCGATCTTTCTCGAACGACGCCGGCCACGGCAGCTGGGGCAGCAGCTCCTCGGCCGAGGCTACCAGCCGGGAGTACTTTGCGCTCATGTCCTTGTTCACCATTGCCACGAAGCCTTCGCGGACGAGGGAGGGAGGCCGGCCAAGGTGGAACACGCACGCACTCGCACGGTTAAATGCGAGTTGAGATGTTCAACGAGAAGAATTTCAAGGCAGTTTGCGCACACACACGTGCACATAAACAGTGCTAGTTTTATAACCGCACGCCATTGTACACGTGTACAATGCAATACCGTGTTACATTGTACGTGTATACGTGTAAATGCCACTTGGTCAATCCACCGAGGGGCGAGGTCCTGCCTACGCCGTTTGCGCGTTGCAAAGGTTATTTGGAAAAGCTTCACCACGCTGGTGAGTGTGGGTTGGTAACTGTGGGGAGCATAGACATGACACCGCAGCACAGCCCCCTGTAGCCACCTGGCATGCACAGTGGTCACCCAGCCCACAACTACCCAGGCTCAACCCCTGCTTCAGCTTCCAAGAACTGATGAGATTGGATGCACTCCAGGCGATTTGGTCATGGCCATTTATATCATGTAAGATAGCGAATTAGCAACTACTGCTTTATCTGTGGTTAAGAGGTCTCCTTTTTAATTCAAAACTTTGCAGTGGATCCCAAATTAACAAGATGCAGGCGCAATCCCATTTGGCTCAAGTCAGCAATTACGAATGCATTCATTGCGATGGTTTATTTGGCTGTGCTAAGCATGCTTGGCATGGGCCCTGTTCAAGAGCTGGTTTAAACTCCGCCTCAATTACCATGCAGTCGTTGAGACCGTGAAAACAGAGAAACCGAGCATGTAGTCGGCAAACCAATCCATTCTGCACACTCACACGCATTGCCTGGACACCGAGCATTAGGTCTCAGGTTGCTATTCGTCTAATGGCATTTTGGTAAAATACTCTCATTTTGCCCATTTGGCACAACTGACAATTTATGACAAATCAAATGCACCCGGGTGGGTTCAAAAGAAACCAGCAATACTCAGCGAAATGCATCGCTGTTATTATTTTAAACTGCCAAGGTCAAAGGGGGTTAAACAGACGGATAAAATCACCACCGGCGTAGCAATAAAGCAAGCAAATTGCATTGCGCGGTCGTCTCGTCTCCAAAGCACACGGACGAGCATGGCAAACTCGTCCCCCCCCATCCGTTGTCGTTTATCGATAAAAATAAAAAACCACCTTTGGCCCGCCTGCCACCAGTCATCGCGAGGGGAGGCGTAAAGGCTACATTAATGAAAACTAAATATCACAGCTCCGACACAACCTGACATTTCGGCGATCACTCCTCCCCGCAGCTGATCGACAACTTGACAAATGCAAAGCTGTGGCCTAGTCTGTGAGGCATCGTTGCAAGCAAAAAAAACGCTGTCTGCCAATACATTTCTGATGAAAGCTGGTTAGGTGGTACTATAAAATACAAAATAATTTAAAAAAGTTATCAGGTGGTGGCTCACGGAACTATTGGTAATGCGAGGCCACACTGAAAAGGAGCCTAGATTCAGCTGCCAGTGATTCAACCGGGTTCAAGTCCAGCGAGTTGGTCTCCGCCGAGTTACCAGCAACCGTACAACAAAAATTGGTCCATTAAATTTAGGCGAACCTGGTGTATTGCAGTTCTAAGATTGAAACTTTTTTTTTTATCTAAGTGACAAAAGATAAACTTGTATGTGCCCATTGCATGGCATATAAAATGGTATCCCAAACGTGCATCATGAGGCTATCCGAAGAAGGTCAAATCACAAAGTCGTTTTCGATGTCAATTACCGGAGAGGGCCTTTCTGCAACACGAGGTACTGGTGGCAAGGCAAAGGTTCCGAACGGAAAAGGTCGTCATCCTCATAACAGGATGCAGTGAGCACATTTAGAACAGAGTATGAAATGACGCGGAGATGTAGCGTTGTGCCGGAAATACCTTCAAATTCACCACGGGAACCGAAGGGGTCCCTGTAGCTTTCAATGAATCCGATGTAGCTGCAACAACAAATCAGAGGTCATCAGTTAAGTGATAATGGGTCCCTGTAGCTTTCAATGAATCCGATGTAACTGCAACAACAAATCAGAGGTCACCAGTTAAGTGATAATGGAACTGCTGCTAAATGGTCCTTATTTTTTCTGCATAAAATGAAGACATTACATTAAAAATAAATAAAGCTTTACGTAACAATTCACAAGCCCGATACAGTCTTGTATTTCAGTTGGAGGATCTCCCGTCGCAAACAGTAGACCCAACGCAACCAAGCTGTGTTCCGGAGAAGGAGGGGGGGGGGGGCCCCGCTTTGCAGACATTTCTTATGAATATTCAACTAATTTCATTGATGTTGAACTTTTAATGCCATCAACAAAAAGCAGCTGCAGTGAAAACGCAAGAACCCGAGGTCGAACTTGTGTGGGCTGAAATCCAGAAAAACAGTATGAAAGAAGCAACGTTTTGCTCATGCTGGCAATTTCCTGCAGAAAATGTGGAAAATTTGGTTAACCCCCCCCCCCCCACCTCCAGGAAGCAGACTGCCCATCCAAGCAAAGCTACAGTTTTTCCAAAGTAAAAAAAAAAACATAACATACATCACACACTACCGTTCACATTCATCTCCATAATAATTACGTTTGTCTTGATAAAATGAATACTACTAATAGGGAATGGAAATGTGGGGACGCTCTGGCTGGCGCGCACCTCTCCACGATGGGGCCCTTGTCCTTGATCCAGTGGCTGGAGCCACGCTTGTGCGCGTCAATGGAGCCGTAGGTGAAGCTGTCGATGTAACCCGCCAGCATGCCCACCTCGTGCTCGTTGGCCGCACACTCCTGCCAAGGGGACCGCACAACGCCATGGTCGGTCAGCAACCACCCTCGCCCACACCATCATCAGTCGTCCACCACGATCGATCCACTGCCGAATTACTGCTTCCAAAGCCATTGACGTGTCCTCTCAGTCTTGCGATGGAACTGATCCACCTGGCACCTGAGCAGGAGTCGATTTTAATCGTGCCACCTGCTCAGGTGCCGACTTCTCCTTGCCTGCCAGTCAAGTAGAGACCACCAAATTATCCCTTTTAGGGACATTTCCTATACAAACCCACTTGCTTTAGTTAAAATAATTACTAAAAAAATTGCCATGCGTTCTCAAATGCACGTGTTCCTCCGTGACTCAACATAATTCCAACGAAGCACCTCACAATGCTTGTTTTTAGACATTACGTTTGACGCTCTTCCACAGAACTATGGGAAAAGAGTCGGTGGTTTCCAAGCCCTGGGATTGTGGCTTACTTCCAGAACCAGTCATTTTATTCTGCCATGAAAAAAGTTCCAGGATTTTGAACATACATTTTAGACACACAAACGATGTGGGCGATTGTTAGCATCACCATGCCGTCTGTGGCTTTTAGCAGGTTCACATTATGTCTGGCAATTAGGACTGTAATCCATGGAGAAATAATGTCCACACGAAAAATAAGCTCTTAAAATACTGCAGTCCCGGACGTAATCAAACTGACATTTCCATCCACACTGGGACGTGATGGTGCAATTCAGTGTCATGTGCGTGTAAACCAATCACTTACTCCACGAGCCACATCTTAAAAAAATTTGAATTTTTACATTTCACGACGCCCATATTTCTTTTTAAAACGACTAATATTATCTGCAAGGTTTACAAATTTGGTGAAGCTGGCCAATTGCAATTAACGTAGTACATTTTACTTCTGGAAGCCTCCTGCCGAGACAAGCAAGGCAAGCAGCCAGAGCCTCTGCTCACAGCTCCAAGCCAGATGGACATTCCACATTCCTATGGCCGAGATGAATAATTCGACAGACTTCTGTTGACTTCTCACAAAGCAGTGCTTGTTTTATTAACCCCACAAAAGGGCCAGGTTGACCTCAGCAATTTCAGGTAACCACCTCCTGACCGAATAATGAACTCTTAAGCACTGTAGTAATTGACCAAACAATTGGGGGTTGTTCAAGCCGTTGTGACACCGTACAACCGTAGAGTTTGTACAAAGTGTGAGAACACTATACTACAGAAGATCCCTAAACGTTACAAAGACCCTTCCTTGTACGAGGCAATGTAATGTGGTGTTAAATGCCACACCTCAGGTGGTCAACCACCACCACCACATTGCAGGTCAAAAAACACTTCTGTCTGTGCCTTCCCTCCCCGCTGCTCCCCTACGTATTTCCCCTGCCCCGCCACGCTCTTATAACCTCACTATTCACGAACACATTTCATCTCTTTTCTGTTGCTACTTTGAAAGCCCACTTGGTCTTTTGTACCTTTGCGCCTGTGCTTAGCAACTGCGTTCAACAATTGAATGTTTTCAAAACAGTGCAGTCAATGCAGATGAATAGGCCGGATTCAACCCACACATCATTCCCATAATGCAATGCCGATTGCGATGTTGCAGTAGTAAGTACTGACAGGGTCGCCCTTAATGCGCGTGACCTGACGTTATCAAGGCCCGCCGTGAATGCTACAGAGCAAGTTTACCTAAATGCGCAGAATGTTTTTAGTCGTGAACAAAAACTAATTTATGTATTAACAACGAGCAGAAGCTAAGAGGACATACTTTCCAGTCACGTAAACCACCATTAAAAAGGTCACAGACAATATTGCGATAAGCTAAACAGCTATTGACGGAAATGTTTTTTTTAAATACAACCAGTTGTGTTTCAGCGGAAGGGCTCTGTTAGTCCAGCGGCTGTGGGCATGTTTGGAACATAGCAGGATCTATTACCGACCAATGAATGTACTACAATTCAATAACAATACCAAATCACTATTTATTTAACCAGCAAATCGACAATGAATCAAAATATTTTTCAGGAGAATTTTGGCCAACACCGATTAACATTGCACATTTTTAGCTTTGGGGGAGGAAAGTGGAGAAAACCGATGGATAACAAACTAACACCACTCAGGCGCAGAGGTGCGCGAGCAGCAATCGAACCTAGATATTTCTTGTTGCAAGGAACTACTGTCATCATTGTATTGTCCTGCAACCCCAGATCCGAAATGGATCTCAAGAACCGCCATACAGAAAGATGAGAAAAGTTTATCGTAGAAGGAGCGGTCACTCCACAGGCAGAGGGAGCATCTCGCATCCACCCCGCCCCAAATGTCTACTCCTCGCATGTCTGTGGCACGAGCAAGCGTGGTCATTTATGGTTTCAAGAAGCTTCGATATGAACGAGATTGTTGGGAATTGGCAGCGCAATTTCAAGGCGAGCAGGCAGCAGCACCGGTCATTTGTACCAATGTGCATTACACTCAAATGCTGCAAGCAAGTGTACATTCACGACACACGATGGTGACACCGAATGTTTTAGTTTTTCCACGGATCTCTGTTACGCAGCGCTTACTCTCCTCTTTCTCTCAACAGCCAACTGGCTCTGCGTGCCAGTGGAAGGCTTCTTAAATTCAAGTCTTTGGGTGGCCGGTTCAATGGGCGAGGGCTGACATCGCCAAGACGTTGGGTTTAAAGTGTGGCAGACTGGTTGTCTCGGCCCGACTGCCTGTGCCATCATCGACTCGTAATGATAGCACAGGCAATCCCCCATCACGGTTCAATTGCGACCGAGTTAATTCAGCAAATTACAGACTCCGTTATATTGGCTTGCTTTGCCATGTGATGATCCGATATGAAGACTCACCATCTAATACGGTTAAGTGGCAATGGAGACGACCACGGCAATTGGCATACAAAACGGCAAAACTGCGCACTCTTGCAGAATAATTAAAACAAATTGTGCAGCTCAGTGCAAACTAACGTGCAATCATTCAACATTTTAATTATGGCACATTTCCACTTAATCGTTTTCGGGTGGCACTGACGTTTTTATTACGCGAGGCCGATGGAGGAAATTGATATACAAACACTCGGCTGCAATAACAAAAATGTCTGAAAGGTGTCAGAAGTTGACATAATGTGTCGCTGGTGTTTTAGTAGCTAGTTATTTATTTATTAATATCCCCATACTCGGCCAAGCATTTCAAGCCAGAGGCATCAAACGTCCCTGGGTCGTTGCTTCGCGAGCTGCTAGAGCGGAAATTTCCATTACCGCGGCGTCAATTTTTTGCGTCAGGTATTAAACGCCGTGAACGACGGCGCGTTTTAAATGCGCTGCGGACGAAACGAGTCGCATCTCGAGAGCGAAGGAGCACGCCGGTTACACGCAAGAGCCGATTCAAGAGCCGAATGGCTCACAGGGCTATACCAAATGAATGAAACCGAAACGCGGCACTCCGCGCGCTGCCACGATACGGTCTACGCCATCGGATGTTCGCTCAAGACGCCGCGAGCTCTCGCGCCGCCGCTACACAGCTGCACGACTTCGACGCGCAACGCCCCTCGGCGAGGCCCGCGAGCAACGGTACACACATGTACGGCGAACTTCGTTGGCACCGCATTTAGCCAACCGTCCAAAAAAATCGGAGGTGCAGGGAAAGGACAAACTGAAGACCAAAAAGCAGCAATGGTGTTCACGCAGCGCACTTCACAAAGTCATCCACCCCGTGCCACCCACGCTGCTTCAATTGCGTACCAGCAACACAAGGCTGCGTGCGACGCAAATTGATTAACTCATCATGCAAATATCTTCGTTGCCATCGGCACGATACTGATATGTAATAGTGCGTTGTTGGCAAAATTACTAGTTACGTTATGTATTATTTGTCAGGAATGATACATATATACACACACACACACACACTTGTAGCATGGATAGTGTATGTTACATGCTTCATTACTCAGTCGGCAGCTAGCTTACAAGAGCAGCACATGTTATTGCTGCCTTAGCGGCTCATTGAACACGGCCGCACACAAAAAAACATCTCGCGGCCAAAACTATTTCCACACCCCCCCCCCCCCCAGTGTGAAATAGCAATGGAGCTATGCAAGTGGCGTACCGGAGTAGTTTGTAACGCAGGCAAATCGCTGCACGCTTGGGGCACGGAAATGCAACGGCGCCACCTTCTCACAGCCTCCGCCATTAAATTTCTCGTGCACCAAACCAATCGTCGGCTCGGAGCCAACGCCATTTTGATGGCCAAAAGAAGCTGGACGCAAATTCATAACGCTCCTTCCCGTTGCAAAACGGCAGTTGCGCATCTCAACGACAACCGCACCACGAGAGAGACCGCCACTGGATGCCGTCGCTGCTGTGCGAATGCCGGCTAGGAAACATGCACGTGCATTAAGCTCTTGCGTCATCTTTATTTACCCCTTTACTTTTAAATTGATTTACACACCATCGTTTATTGTTGTCTTATTGCACACTGTCTTCAGAAGTTGCCATTTATCAAATTGCATTATTTATAGTTAGACTATAAAAAATTTAAACCCATCATTTGCACATATATTTTTTTCAACAATCGTTATGGCTTTGGACACTTTATTGCTCTTTGTTCTCATTAGTTTTTCTGTGCAGCACTTTTAAGACAATTTTATTGCGGAAAGGCGCTGCGCTCTATACAAAAGTAAACAGATTGAATTAGGTAACGGCTGGTTGCATTGAAACACCTTTAAGTGTTTTTATTGGTCTTAACTTGCACAGCTCTACAGAGCATACCAAGGAACCTCCATTGGACTTCTTCAACCAGCCGTCGAGGGCTGGGCCGCAGAGCCTTTTGACCTCGCGGTGCGGTCAGGACACGCGGGGGGGGGGGGGGTAAACATCTGTTCACAACGCCGTTGAAAATTGGCAGTCGTGGCCAATGTGTGGACGGACAACGGTGCCACCACGTAGCCCACGCAGTGGGTGGATCGCGAGCAGTGGAGAGGGGGGGGAAGAGACATCAACAGTACTGGAGTGTGCAGTAATTCCTCACCTTGGCCTTCTTCAGGTTCTCCACTACCTTGCTCAACAGGGGACTGTAGTCTCCACGTGTCACCTTGAACACATTGCCTTCAAACTCGTACTGACCACACTTGTTCTCCTTCTCCCCCTCCACTGGCTTGTCTGAGGGAGTAGACACGAGGAGAGCACAGGAGAGGGTGAGAAAGGCGCACAGTGACACACACTACAAGGCACCGGGGCCTGCTCACGACTCGCCAGCCTTCTTGCCCCATCGTCGTTCAAAGACTTCTTGATTCATGGCCATGAGCCAAACATCAATTCTCTGTCGTCCTTTCTTGTCCAAGTTGTTCATCCAATCTCATTGCTTGATCCTCCATTTGGCCTCCTGACGTAGAGGAGTCTAGCCCTTCGGCCACAGCAACAAACCCAAACCGCAAAAAAACTCGGCCGATCACAGCGCAGTCCCTCTGGGAGAATGCGCAATGTGATGACTCTGGGGACACGTGGCACGTCCGAACCTTGCTGGACGATGGACGCCTGGCGGACCTCGTACTCCACGCTGCCATCGCTCGCCACAGTCTTGAAGAGTCGCGTGTTGTACGCGCTGATGCTCTGCGAGAACAAAAAAAAAAATAATCAGGTGCAGCGGCGGAGACGGGGCTCGTCCATTACGTCGATTCATCAACTGAACATTTACAATGCACCGCTCAATTGTGGCCCCGTTTAAAAAACAGCGGCTGCCACCCTATCCGACCGCGCGAAGGTGGGAAACCACCCCCCCCAGCAAGCCACGTCAAGAGTGCCGCAGCTGGCGACGCCACCAACCAGGGAACAGAGGCGGGGCTTTTATTTCCAACCACGTTAAGATTACTCATGTAACCGAATCGTTCAGGAGAGTAAATTGATCATTTAAAGAAATTGGATAAACCAGCTCTTGCTGCAACCCAAGACTCCACCACAAATGTTTGCGCCCTGTCTCGCTCTCAAAAAGTACACCTCGATATTAGCAAAAGCATGACAGCCTCTCAACGCCGTGCAGGTCATGCCAAGTATTTGGCCATATTTCATCACTTTGGTCACTGTCGTTTGGTGAAGGGGGAGGGGGAGTGCACAGGAATGGATCAAGTATCACGCGTCACCGATGGTCGCCATGGTCAGGAATCAAACTCGGGCCAACCAGTTCACAGCAGTGCGGGAAGCACTGTTCCAATTGTGCCAGTCTTTCAGAGCATCTACCACTCAGGAAGACGAATTCCTAAAACGAATGCTTGACAATATGTCATGTTATAGAGGCAGCGTTAATGCTCAAGTTTCTAATACAATTAGCCACGGACTACACTGATTTTCACTCATCCGGAACATCACTTAATATCCAAGGTGCTGAAAGGCTCAAAAATGTTTTATTGCAAGCAGCTCAAAAAAGGTGGCAAACGCAAGTCGACAACCTAATGACAATTAAAAACACAAGCTCACGCGCAGTCACGGGGGAGGCGCAACATCAACCATCGCAAGCGGCTCGCGCCAAATTACATACAAACGCGCAGCAATCGCAGACAGCTTGAACGATCGTTAGCGATACCAACATTTCAATTCTCCTAAATTAGGCGCGATAGCAAATTATATTTGCATTACAGCAGGTCTGCTTTTGAGGAATTAATCCAATTTAGATTTAACCAAATTATAGCTGGCACAATATTAATTCCCTCCAAGCAGCCCGCAGCCTCGCTCTTGGTGGAGCGAGAGGAAGGAGTGCTCGCCGGTTTGTCGACAGGACAATAAACCCAATAAACCCATGTCAACCAAACAAAAAAAACCCATCACAATAATTGAAAATCCAAGCCATTTCACTTTATCGGCAAGGCTATTAGTTTCTAAAGGGAGGTACTTTCCACGCCCCCACTCCCCCAAGGGCACACAGACTTCTGCTGTGTGCAAAAACGACCATCCCCCCCCCCCCTTACCTTTTCATCAAGGAACTTCTGCACGAGCTCCGCGTCCGCCATCGTGCAGTTTCCAGAGAAATACGACGAGATCCCCTGGGACGAGAGCAAGGGAAAAGGGCACGCTGCGCGTTACGGGGTGCCACGGTGACGATTCATTTCACAACCTTGCCTGGTGTGCAGGAGGTCATGGGTTCGATCCCGACGCCAGAAAATTTGGAGTTTGCACATTTCTCCCCGTGGTCGTGGATTTATAATTAAAATAATAGCGACTCGGATGCTGCACAACAACAACATCTGGGTGACCAATTCCGTCAAAATCCTTGCAACGAAACTTAATGCCGCAGAAGTCTGGTTCCGAAAGCTCAATACCAAAAAAGGAATCGTCTTAACCACTTCAGAAGAAACCCAAAATTCGTTCCTTGCGGTCACAAAGCAACTCAGTCCACCGAGACATCCCTCTACAGCAAACAAATGCACGTCAGCCAATGCTCACACGGAGAATACGCAACGCCGAAGTCAGCGACAAAACCGCCAGAAAAAAAAATGTACGCGGTTCGGCGGAATAGAACAAAGCAGCGCAAAAAAATACTGATGACACGGTCCTGGCAACGGTGCGCACCTTGGTGCCAAGGCCAAGCTGGCACTCTCCCGGCGCCAGCGAATACATGGGGCCGCTGCACTCCTGCCACAGCGCCTTCATCTCCTCCGCGTTCTTCTCACAAGCTGCCGAGGCCAGCACCAGCTTCTCCAGCTTGTCCTGTGGCGACACCAAGCACGGTGTTTGGTAAAAAGGTGCAGCCCTGCAGTTACTTGCGCACGCCACTTTTGGCCTCCCTCTTCCACGCTGGCCACACACCTTAGAAGAGGTGGAAGTGACCCCCACACCATACCTCAACCTGCCGATCGACGAACTGTGGTGCAGCCATTTACACCATTGGGCGCACCGAGCTGAGGGTTGGTATTTAAGAAACATGCCATTATACAATTTATGTTTAACTATAAAACACGAATTGCCGAACAGTGAAAAACATTGCAAGCTGTAAAATAATCAAATTTAGCTCTTCATTAGAACAGGGTTTTACCACGAAAGACAGTCACTGTACCAGTTTGTACGGTACTGCTACTTGTGTAGAGGAGTATTGTGAGTAACCAATGAGGGGGCAAGCAGAGGGAGGTGCAAGTGGGTAGCCAATCAAGGATGACGTAACGTCACGGGTTACGGAAAGCACCGGGAACATGGGCGGAGCCGAGCTGGGGGGGGGGGGGGGGGGGGGGAGCCGTCCAAAGGGTTCTTAAGGGGGGCCCCGTGACGCAGGCGAGGTCGTCGTAGGGAGCCAGGGTAAGGGATCGGCTGGGAGAGGGTCTCTCCCGCCTCAGCGCAGAGCGGTGTTGTCTGAACCCCTGCTCCGGCGGAAGAGTGAGAGAGTCCGTAGGGTAGCCGAGGGAAAATCCCAAATAGTATTCGGTGTCCAGGATAAAGGGCCGTGAGAGAGTGCACCTACACTGGCGTGAGTGTAGGATGTCGAGTGTGACAGTGTTTTAATAAACGGCAACAGCCCTGAAAGAATTCCTCATCTCCGTGTGGTTCTACTGCACCACATTTGCATAGAACGAGGCCCCCCCCATAGCTGATATGGAGCACTATTCACCATCGAAAACTAATTGGTCGACTCAATGGGCTTGGTCCAAACATCAACGGCCTGCTCGACTGACCAGTTGAAAACATGGTTTAAAACTCAAACACCGGAACGCTGCCGCGTTCACTCGGTGATGAAACAGGGGTGCTGGCCTCCCCAGAGCTGACGAGCGAAATGTTCCCATTGACAACAGTGGCCAACAGTCATATATCACACGACGGCGTGCACAGCTAGCGGACTGGCGATCTCGCAAGATGAAACAGTGCAAATATGTAAATTGCTGAAATAGGGCTGTGATCATTGCCTCATTAGCGTCTCACAGATGTGTGGCAAGCACAAGCCGTTAACGAGACACTAATTGCGGAGTACCTTTTCCCAGGAGCTCCAAGACCTAAGCATTGGGCAAACACTGCGCGATTGTGAAATAAAACATAACCATGAGAGGTTCATTGTCAACAAAATGCAAGTTTTTGTTTTCAGCCTGCGAAACGTAATGGGTGTACAAAATCTGAACATTTAAAATTAATTCAATGCAATATTTGTTGTTAGGGTGCATTTGCAAAGCTTTAACAAGTTGTCACAGGCGTGGGTTTCATGGTATACAATTCTTGGGTTTCTCCATTGACCAAGCAGTTCTACAATTCAGAAAGCCTATATAATATGGAATATTTACACCAATTGTATGGCTGTACGCAACCAAGCAAGAATAATTTATCAAGTAACTTTGTTCCATTTACATTTTCTAAACAAAGACCTCTAATGTCGACGCAACTGAACAAATGCATATAACCAAACCTTAGTCACTGCAGGCACAAACTTGGTGTCTCCGAAGGACTTGTAGTTCCCCATGTTGTCGTAGACACCGGCGGCGTACACCAGAAAACTCTGCAAGAAGTGCGACATGGTCACAACGCACTGCCCACACACACGACCTACACACACGAGCAAGCTTAGTACGTACGCATGGAAGGGGGAGTTAACCCAAATGCGTACGCTTGCGTATGGGGGGGGGGGTCTACTGACAATGTACACAAGCATAGAAAATGGAGGGGGTGAAGCCTCCGTAATAATTTGTCGACATTGGCCTTCAAATTAGTTAGTCCGGTGGTGGATTGTTAGCTCAAAACACGTAATCATTATCAATCCTTGATCGTTTCTGCGTGGATTAAATAATCGGCCACTTAACCGTATTAGGTGGTGCGTCTTTATATCGGATCATCACATGGCGGGGTGCGTCAAGCGTACGTACTAAATGAATGGCCCCTTACCAGCCGCGCACAGACCGTTCCGGCAAATGCGACCTCAACGTCAGCCGAAACAAATGTATTGAGAGACTGCAGCTCAGCGTAGAGAATTCAAGAAAGTTTCAAGTTCAAGTTGACTTTCACCAGGGTGAGACTTTGAGGCACCAGGAAAGTCTAATTTGCAAGGGTGAACCTGGGGCATCAATTTGCCGAAAGGGGGTAAACGATTGCGGCTGTGTACAATCACACTTGAGCAATACGCGGGCAATGTTCGATTTCGGAAATTTGGACCAAGACACCGGAACAATGGCCTTTTGCGAATGACATCTGGGGATCTTTCACGTCCACTGTGAAGCACAGTGTAGTATTGTTACGGTTATTACACACGGCAGCAAGAAAAAAAAATCGGGCTAGTCGCTGGATTCGAACCGGAACCTCGTACAAGGGTCCGAAATGTTTTAACAAAAAGGTCTGTAGAGTTCTTAAATAACGGTTTTACATCATCAACAACGCTACAATGTGCAGACACCTTCAGGGTGGCAAATAAAATTAGATTGTGGATTGCTGGGTGAACCGAGCCACAGGGGATTTCCGAACTTGCCCATTTTTCACCTCTGTTTAAATATAAAAATGGTATTTTTGGGAGAAGTTTTGGGGGAATAAAAGACTTGAACAGAAAAGGTCACAAACGAAGCCAATGTGAGATATTAAAGTCTGTCAGAGTTCTGAGAAGTGGCCATATTTAGACGCTTTATAAACGCAGTGTGGTGCGGACATCACCCGCCGTTATGCAGCTGTACACCGAAACCCAGCACAGGTAGCGATGTTTAAATCCCAACACAGTAGCTCAGAGCGCCCAGAGCATTAGCTTACATATAAATCATCGATAAGAGACCCAACTCCTTTCTGAACGAGCGCATGGCCATGAGGTGGAGGGTCAAGCTACGACTTTCAAGGTGCCCCCCCCCCCCCCAGCCTCCACCCCCACGTCATAAAGGTGCGTCACAACGAAGACGACCACTCTGATACAGCGATGTGTGAGCCGAGCTTCAAGGAAGACAAACAGCTCTCATGATCTTGTACAATAATTCAAGTCACGCTCGCATGAATTTCAGGAACCCGACGACAGCGCCCTCTAGTGCAATCAGTTGAGCATGACTGTCATACAATATTAATAAACCCATAGAAAAGTCATACAAATAAATAAATAAACCGGTCACAGCACCACAGCCACACTGCATTGTGGGAGCTGACAAGGGTGCATTATTGAAGCCAGCCACGTTACGCCAGTAGAAGTCGGCGCGTGCCAGGAAGCTAATCCCACAATGACTATGCTCCCTACCTGGAACTGGAAAGACACCGTTTCGGAGTTGAATGTTATCACTGTGTTGTACGTGTGGCTGTGGAATAGAATTAAAGTGCCACGGCGCCATGGTGCGATGTTGACTTCATAACATAAAGCTCCCAAATCTGTGTTTCTGGGCTGTGTCAAGAGCATGAACTCATCCGCTCCTCCCAAACAAGTGATCGCAGAGCTCCCCAGTGGCGAGGTTTACACACCGCACCAGGTACTAATGAGGCCGAGTCGACCTAGGGGAGGCCCATGACCAGTTCAGATAATCGTCACTGGTGTTGGCCGTGAGCGGGAATAAAACTCGGGTTACTGGGTTAGTAGCGGAAGGCGCTAACCGCTCCCCACACCTAGAAACACACACACCGACAGAACACCACCCACACACACACCGACAGAGCAACTCACACACACACACCTGGTACTCGTCGGCGGACAGCTCGAGGCGCGTGGCCAGCTCGCCCAGCTCAGCGGGGCCCTGCGCGCGGAAGAGGCGCTGCAGCAGCGCGTAGAGCGCCGGCGACTCGGGCGACGTCTGCAGCAGCACGACCAGCCCGCCGTACCAGGCGGCGCGCGACAGGTAGTGCGCGTACTGGCGCTCGCGCGCCGACAGCAGCTCGAAGGCGGCGCGGCACTCCAGCGGCACCACGCTCACCCTGTTGGGCAGGATGAACTGCGGGTCCACGGTGGCGGCGCTTCCCGACATTTTTCGGCCTGAGACGTCGGTGTCAGAGGGACGAGGATGGGGGGAAAGGTGGTGCAGTGGTCGAGCGCGTTAGCCAGCGAGTCTCGAAACCCAACCAGAGCAATGTCTACGCGCCATATCCTCTTTCTCAAAAGGACTCCGACAATCACGGGCTTCCTTCCATTTAGCTTTGCCCATGATATTTACTCAAGAACGCTGCATTGGACACTCCCAGTTCCATCCAATTGTTCAAATAGATTTTTGGACTTAAGCCATCGCCTTCCCCAGCTTCTTGCCGTGTCTAATTTTCCCGGTCAAAACAACGTTCATATTCAGTCTCTCGTTTTCCCATTGCATCTCCAAGAATTCTAACTTGCCTCCTCCAATTATTCTTGTTAACTTTCTTCGTGTACCTGTTGTGTGGACCGTCAATGAAACGTGCAACATCCTCCTTAAAAAACACATCTTTTTCTTCTAGCTTGCTTCTCCAGGTCTTAAGTGCAGATTTCTCATCCATATTAGTGCACCCCGTGTGTTTTGAGTCTCAGTATTCTATTTGTCGTCAATAATTATTTTTAACACAGATCCCATCTTCGAAAACACATCTGTTGCCAGTGCTCGTCTCATTTGTCTTGGATGCACCTTCCATCTTCGGTGTTCATGCTAACTCGTTAGTGCTGCAGCCCATTAATGTTTGATGTCACCGACTTGAACTTGACCTTATTTGTTGCGACCATACATAAATAGTTTAGTCGATTGTCAATCATTTTTTAAAATTATATTTTATCCAACATTTTGCAAATCCTTCTCAGAATTTGCAACGATATCCGCATGTCTCCAATTTTTTGTTTAACCACCAACCTTAATGTAATGAACGTTCTGCATCGTTCACGTGACTCTGTAGCTAGTCATATACGTACATATGTTAAGACCAACACACGACTGCGCCTTGTTAAAGCAGTAGTAAGCATCTTATGAACACGGTGGTACAATCCACTGCTGGATGAGAACCCCTCCCAACACCTTGCGGGTCGTGGCAGCTACTGGACCAGACTTCATCCCTCTGCTCAGTGCGGGTTGGTCAAGTCGGGCGAGCGGTGGGGGGGGGGGGTGAGAATGGGGGGTATAGAAGTGCCGTACAACAGTGGAGTTTGCTGCTGCCCCCCCCCCCCCCCGCGTGATCGCAGCACAAGTTTCAGGAGCTCGAGGCCAATGTCGCCAGCCAGGGAGGGCTTCTCGCGTGCGTCCTGTTTGTTTGTTGAACTTCTTTCGCGCCGTACGTAGCCGACCGTGCTGATAGACGGTGCGGCTGCACGCGTGTTTGTTACGCGTTCTCGTGTCACCGTCAAACACCACCCGATATACCCTCACGGGCGGCGTTCACGCGAATCGGGATACGATCAACAGCTGCACGCCGACAAAGCCCAATCGGAAGTGGCAGAACCCCATCGGGACGAGCTCGTTGTCGGTGCGTCAACCCCGTCAACCCCTGGTCAGTGCCCTGCCGTACACTACAGGAGGGCACGTTCCACGCCTCGCTGGCCACCACGTGCCCCCTACTCATCGCAACGTGCATCCTGCAAAGCCCCATCACAGGGGAGAAGCACAAACGTGTTGGCAGTGTGCTGGTACTGCTGAAGCGGCTGCACGCCGCATGACAACTCGACGTCCCTGGGCAAGCAGGCGGCCCAACACCGCGTGGTGGGTTGACGGCTGCGCTTGGCCGTACTGCGCCCGCACCTTCGATTGGCGTACGGTGCGAAAGAAGTTCAACAAACTGTACATCACACACCCCCCCCCTCCAACTTACAATGTAACGACCCCCAGAGCTCAACAACAACAACAAGAGCTGCGACTGTGGCCAGACACCCCGGGGTACAATAATAACAAACACCAATACCGACACGGACGCCTCTCCCCGGCGTGGCCCAGCTAGCGACTCATCGGTAGTGTGGGAGAGGGAACACACGACTACTGCTACTACAACAAAAAAAGCCACGAGCGAAGGGCTTCGCTTGGACACGATTTAAAAAAAATAGTAAATTAAAAGACACGCGGGTCGCGTAAAAAGCCGAAATGTTGTTTGTTTACGCTCAAATAAAAGTTGCTAAAGGCGACGTCCTCGCGGCCTCGGGCCGCATCCGCGCTATCGTTTCTAGAGAGTCGCGCCGGCGCGCGTCACGTGGGGCGCGCTCGGCCAATCGCGCGGGCCGCCCCCCCCCCGGCCGTGCCGAAGCGCGCTGCGATTTCTAAACCGGCGTCGGCCTTCATTTGGCGGCGCGTTAAATGAAGTTGGCGCCGTGGACGAAGCGGAGGTGGACGAGGAGGTGGACGGAGGTGGACGAGGAGGTGGAGGTGGCGATGTGGCGGCAGCACGTACCTGTGCGGGGAGGGGTGCGTGAGACGGCGGCGAAGGAGGCGGAAGTCTGAAAGCACGCGGAGTGAATAGTCCCGCGGTGTGGGGGCCCGGCTTTAATGGGTGAGGGGCGGGGCGAGTGGGAGGCGGGGCGAGTGGGGGAGGGGCGGGGCGAGTGGGAGGCGGGGCGAGTGGGGGAGGGGCGGGGCGAGTGGGAGGCGGGGCGAGTGGGGGGGGGCGAGTGGGTGAGGGGCGGGGCGAGTGGGGGGCGGGGCTGCCTGCGCAGCTCAAGTTCAAGTTCATGTATTAGGTCAGGGGTCGGCAACCAAAATAACAAGAAGAGCCATTTCTTTCCAATTCGGTACAAAATTCAGTATTTCAAGAGCCGCAATGCATCTGAGTACATACTGTACATACGTACATATCGTCAAGAAGCAGCCCGTAAAGAGCCGCATGCGGCTCCGGAGCCGTAGGTTGCCGACCCCTGTATTAGGTGAAGCCCTGTGAGCCATTCGGCTCTTGAATCGGGTGCAACCGCAACAAACACAAAACATGAACAAAAAACATCTTAAAGTGAATATGTGACTAAGTGCAAACAGAAAATCCAAGAAAAGACAGGAAAATATTGCAGGAAAAACACCGTACACCAACGCTGTGTGCAACAATCCCAGTGGGATGCAAGTCAAACAACAACAACAACCTGCCTGAATCAGCTGCCTGAATCAGCTGCCTGAATCAGCTGCCTGAATCAGCTGCCTGAATCAGCTGCCTGAATCAGCTGCCTGAATCAGCTGCCTGAATCAGCTGCCTGAATCAGCTGCCTGAATCAATAACAACCCGTGACCCACGGTGCTGCAGGTGTATGGTGATGGTGCTGCTCCGTTGGCAGTGGTACAACACAAGCACGGCTATTTTAAAAAATCAAGACATCCGTCAATAACATTGCGATTCATATAAATACTGGAATAGGCGACGTTTCAGACAATGAGCCTTCGCATTTGTGATTTGAAGAGCCATTTCCCGAGGCGTCGTTTGTTTTATATACAGTACTAGCTTTAACTACCCCGGTTTCGCCCGGGACTTGGATTCACCACGCCCGGCCGCCTTTGTCTCCCCAGTGGCGATGTTCACACACCACACCAGTTACTCGTTTGAAGCCGAGTCGAGCTAGGGGAGGCCCCGGACCGGTTCAAATAATCGTCACCAGTGTTGGCCGTGAGCGGGAATCGAACTCGGGTCGCCGGGTTCGTAGCGCAGCGTAGCGCTAACCACTACACTACCGCTCCCCCCACACACAAACGCGTGCGCGTCCATAGGTACACACACACGCGCTTGCTGCAGACACACACAACTTTCAGGGTGCGTACGGCAGTAAACGACTCAAACAATACAGGTAGGAACACCAATTCCACACTGCCCACCAGGGAGTATTGGTCTGTCTGTCGTGCATGGCCCCGCCCCACCAGAGCCCTCCCATTGGCTCGGGGGCGCCGACCAATGGGAGCGGTGGGTTGGGATTGGTAGAGGGGGGGGGGTTAGCGGTGTGGGGGGGGGTTAGTGGTGGGGGGGGGGGCACCGCCGCCACTCGAGCCAATGAGGAGACGGGCGATGTTTCATTCACAAAATGGAACTGGGGGAGGGTGGCTCCATTCATAAAATGGAACCCTTGAAAAGAAAAAAGCGGATCTTTTTGCCTCGTGTTTCTTTCAACATTCCCAGCCTTAAGGTGATTCAGTTGTGGGTGGGAGGGGTGGGGCTGGGTGGAGAGGGGAGGGTGGGGCGGGGCTGGGAGGGGGGGAGGGTGGGGCTGGGTGGGGAGGGGCTGGGTGGGGTGGGGCTGGGTGGGGTGGGGCTGGTCACCACGTGGTGCCCTTATAAAACTCAACGTTTAACCTACACACTACACTATACACGACACGATACACTACACTTATACAGGTAGGAACAACAGCTTCCACAATGCCCACTAGGGATTATTTGTCTGTCTGTCGTGCACGAATGCGCTGTCCAACCAAGTTCCTACCTGCCCACTCCGAAGGAACGTGTTAAAGCAATGCTGCGCGAAGAACGCCTTAGACCTGCAACACATGTGTATGGCACTTTACTCGCGGAGGGTTGGGTGGGGGGGGGGTGCGTGACGTCAGCAGGCTAACTGCGTTACGCTTCCACGTGCGCGGGTGACATGACAGATGTGACGTCACAGCTCACTTGCCGTGCAAAATATAGATGCATTATTGCGCCCCCCCCCCCCCCAAAAAAAAAAATATAAAAAGTGTATTTTTTTATAATTTCGCATGGTGTACGGTCTGGAAAGTACCCACATGGCAAATTTCAAGTTTGTTGTATGTCGGGAAGTACGCTAAACATCTTTGAACAGACACACATAATCACAACTTTGCCTTTTATATATATGTGGAGATTACTTTGAGTTTAAAAATTTCCAATCTACGATTTTAAATTTCATGATCATCGCGATAATTATTTCCCCTTTAAGATGCCAAAGTTGTATTTCACAACTTGAGTCATATATTTTATCGTCTTGTTTTGTGCTTCGATGTAACTTTACTTCTAAAACGAAAATAGATTAATTAAAGAGTTTATCGAACTGCAGCCAACTCAACATAGGCCGAAAGAACCAAAGAATATTAATTCCTGCAGTCACGAAAGTTTTAAGTAAAAATTCAACATAGACCTGCAAACAATTAGGGCCCCATTCACTGCTGTCACTGCTGACGCCACCCTGTTTGTTAGTCAACTATAAGTAATTAATTTACGAATACACATTATTACGTGAACATATTGAGCAACGTGCCGGAGATTCGGCTTCAACTCGCTCCAGAGTTTGCCTAAATTGCTTAAACGAGTGCAGCTTGATAAACAAGTGCGGCTTGTTAGGCTCGTGCTCGGATTCGCGTCCAATTCTCTAATTGCGCCACGTGCTTACACGCGCACGTGGCCACCTCGCTTACGCGTGTTGCTGGAGGCACACAAGACGATTCACGCGTGACACTTCAACTAATACCACTCGTGTGCGTCGTTAGCACGGGTTTAAGTCGGGATTAGCAAGAAAACATCGATAACATCGGTGACATCGATGTTGGGATTCCTCCGCTAAGACCGGAAGACCCACTTTTTTTGTCACGCCAAAAACATCGTTGAAGCTCTTCGGATGCGACAGAAAAGACAACTGGTTCTTTTCAAACATCGCTGACACGTGCATGCGACCTGTAGATAGGGCTACAATGCTGCAGAGGACATGTAGTTTGCCAGCGGTTGAGCTTTAACCCTTCAATACCAGCCTCGTGCCTTTTGATTACAGTACTTGTGTTTTTTTTTGCATTTTTTAAAGCTTATTATTCACTTCGATAATCAGCATTTATTTTGGAAATTTACGTTGCTCTATCCTGTAGACATTTTAAAAAAACCTTCGATAAAGCATCAACATCGGACAAACTTTCGTGCTTTCGTGCCAATCTCACGGCGTGCCATCAGTGTTTTCACTAAAAGTATCGATGTTTACCTATCGATGTTCCATGGGCCAGTCCCAAGGGCAGGGTTTGCCAAACTGCAGGCCTCGCGGCTGAACACCACGTGACTACTACGCTCTTCCCGCGTTCAATTTACTCCCCATTCAAGTAACAAATTAACTCGTCCCACGCTGCACGCGGTCGATGGCTGCTCGTCACGTCCCACGTGACGCGCTAGGCAATTAGCGCCGTCTGCGTGAATGGAGCCGATTCAGATTGTGTCTGTGCCGCACCTATTCCGTGCGGCGCAGATCAGCGCTAATTGATTAGTCCGTCACGTGGGACGTGTTTAACACTCGTTGGGTGTGTGTCGCGGGAGGGTCCTGCGCTGGGATATTTAACCAATGATTGAAATCGGAATACTCGGCCTCGACGAATCCCCAAACATACATGAGAGGGTGACACTCAAAGCTTCACACAGGAGGATTAATAACACTGTGGAACAAACAAAATGTTGCTCCTGGGTAGTAAGTGTTATTTCCTAATTGCTTATGCTTCAAAAATACAGAAAATTGCTATTAAAGCTATTATTCCCGACAGTGATAGTTTGAAATGTACCTATTTTCAATGAGCAAACGTGGTGTGCATTTGTGTCATTCCTTCACATAAAGTCGTGGTCACGTAAGCAAAGTTTGTGGGGAATAATAGCCATTTCTGTCCTTTTGAGGCATAAGCAATTAGGAAATAACACTACCCAGGAACAAAAATTGTGTTACATAGTGTAAGAAACATCCACTTGTTGTACTGCTATATCATGGCTACCTCGCAGCCCCGGCGAGGCGAAGCCCTATTCTCAGAGTTTGGGAGTTTCACAAATCTACGTGATCCACCAAATCCCTCGCCCGCTGAGCGCCGTGCCACGGGCATGGTTTGCCGGATCCACTGCTGCGCACGTGGTGCGCGGCTGTGTGCGCGAAAATATCTCGACGAGGGAAGTTCAAGTTGTACAGAAGTGAAAACTTTCGAGTCGGAAAGTTCACAGAAAAAACTCACGCCATCCATATTTCAGTGTTAACGAGAAGGAATTCATTCCGCACATTTTGTTCAAAGCTACAAATATCCGCAAACAGTGATTTTTCAGTTCCTCCACAAACACGCGATATTGTCACGCGTTGCATCAACGTTTAATGCTCAGCTTACCGGTGACTTGAACAATTCTCACAGTGTGACAATTGCATTTGTTTTGATGTTTGGTGGTGGAGGGTCTTGCGACAATAATTGACCCAGATCGTTACATGGCCTAACACAAGAAAAAACCTACGTGTTAAGAAGATGGTGATATGAATGGTGATATGAATGGTGAATTAAACGTTTTGATATCACCCTGCCAGGTCACTCCACGGCCCCAGATCTTCTCAACTTTACATTTGCACAACAAAGTAGCGTGCCGTAAATACAATTGTATTTATTTTGTTTCAAAGGACGCGTAATTACAGATACGATCAGTCAGCTATGCAAAAACATTACATCTGTGTGCGTGGAGTTGTCACGTCCCACCCACTGGAGCCCACAGCAGCAAAAACAAAGATCCCCCATGTAGCCTTTACGGACTGTTGGGGCAAGTGCTTTTAGCAAGCACCTACGCAGGCCGGAATGGTACACGAGGGGGCCAGAACCACACCCGGCCGCTTTCGTCTCCCCAGTGTCGATGTACTCATTTGAGGCCGAATCTACCTAGCAGCACACAGAGCCCGGAGAGTGAAGCGCTCCTCCGAGAATCGAGTTCCCAATCTTACGCTTACCTCAATCATTCCATTCATTCCTTCACAAACCGCTCAATTCCTCTCACTAATTTCTTCTAATTCACTCATGTATCCCTTATTTCATTCTCTCATACTTCATACACTTACTCATTCCTCCATCATTCAGCTCATGTTATTCTATTCTTGCGTAGGACAGCCGTATGTTCTAGAGGTCTGCTCGCCACAACCAGATGACTTTCGGAGAGTTTGTGTAATGGTGTTATTCCTCCTCCGTTGGAGCAGACTAGTGGTTTACTATGAGTATGGTCCAGAGTATGGGTTGCTTGGCCAGTCGTACTGTGGCTTGTCTTTAATTCTCCACTAAATTCCTCTCAATCGTTCGAACGACTGCACCTTCGATTAGCACGGTTGGCTACGTACGGTGCGAAAGAAGTTCAACACATACACATGATTCTTGGTCCATTCAATAATTTCGTCCAGCACCTCCCACCAGGACCCCTGATGCTCTCCGAAGACGTTCTGGGCCAGCCGCTGCTTGGGACACCTGTTGCTAGGGGCACCTGTTGCTAGGGGCACCTGTTGCTAGGGACACCTGTTGCCAGAGACACCTGTTGCTAGCCTGACAATTAGTCCTCGTGGCCAGGAACTAAACATTTCATTTTGCAATGCACGTCGGCATTTTGGGTACATGGGTTTTAAATTTTGCAGTCCACATTGCTCTGCGTCCATAATTTGGAATAGGTTGTGGGAAAAAGAAAAAAAAAAACTTTGTTTTGCCTGCACATCTACAGGTGGGCTTTCGATTGATACCAAATTTGTCCATGTAGCTTGAAAAAAGTTTGTTGAAAGTGATGCATACAAATACACACAATGCAAGATTTAACACATATAGAATACTCTAAAATGTGGTTTAATGTTTGGCTCACCAAAGCGATGGAAAAGCCCTATTTGACCCTCGGTAAAAGGTTCCCCAAATCATGGTCGAGGTAAACACGACTCCGTGTCACAGACCCCTAAAGCCTTCGCCAAGCGCTGCGAAACCACGGCCGTCGGCAACGCCGCTCCACCATACCCACAGCCGGGGCAGCTGGCGCCGGGGAGCACGCAACGAGAGAGTGGCGCAGAGGTGTCAACAGGATACACCGAGACAAAAATTACGAATCAATAGGCTGCGGGGGGGGGGGGGGGGCAGTGTAATTGCACTGGGAATCGACGGCGAAGCGAACGTGCGGAATGTTTAATTAATTTCCCAACTCGGGCACCGAGCGAGGCATCCAGGAGCGCACCGCTCAAGCACTTGAGAGCTTCTGTCTGCTTCCGCATGAAGAATGCAGAAAGCAAATCTTGCTGGTCACAGCTTACCTGTTGGCAGACACACACAAACTAGCTAGGATGCAGAGTGATTGGTTTTGTTACCCTTCAGCCCCCTAACCGCCTACTAAACATGTACATTTATACATGTTATGTCCTTGAAAGCATTGCTTATTCATATGTTAACAATGTGTAAAGTTATTAAATGGTGGCAGAAACTGTAACGTATACAAAGCAACGTGCCAACGGAAATGGCTAAGTTAGGAAATCAATTTCAATACTAGGAATGAGATGGAATCAATTACACTTCAATTTCACAGGATGAAATTGTCGATTTTGATAAAAGTTTCTTAAACCATTTTTAATATTCGCTCCCCAAGTCCCTGAAACAACCACATCGGTGGATGTGTTTGCCTGGGTCTCAACCAAGCTGATACCAAGGCACACAGTTCCATCTCTCCCTTCCTAGGACTCTGCCGACAGACATCACAATCAAGCAAGCGAGACACCGGGGGACACTGATCACACATTTATTGTATGTCATGAAGTGCAAGCCATTCCTATTACAGGCTGAAATCTGTGGATTCGAGGAGACTCGGAGACATGCCGACAGCTTCATTTATCTTAAGAGTACGCTACGAAACTTCAAGAGAATGCGAGGGAAATGTATACGCATACGAACCTCCGATTAGCACGGTTGGCTACGTACGGTGCAAAAGAAGTTAAACATACATACGTCTGTGTGTTCAGTCACTGTTATAGCGTACCAGTTGGTTCATGCTTCCGTTTGAGTGTTCACCACCGTGGTTGTACATTCAGCAAGATCGGAAGTGCAGGGGACATTCTACAGTGGCAGCGACTATGGGGCTCACTGCACTGTGCGTGACTACGATATCAAGCGTTAATCTGTACTGCTAATATCCTATGGCGCATCAATCAACCATTTCTCTCAGTTCCCTATATCCTCAATTCACACATTACGAACGTACACCACACGCTTTGTCCGTGCTTCAGGTGGTACCACCGGATACGCTTCATCGCCACGACCGTTGGGGAGGGTGCGAGGTGGGCAGAGGGGGTTTGTGGGAGGCATCAGCGGGAATCGAGGGGAGGGGTGCGGGGGGCAGGGTTTGCTTTGTTTTTACGTGGCGCTCGTTCACGCACTTTCAGACACGAACTCCAGGGCCATGTCGCGCTCCTCCACCAGCTCCTTGGCGGTTTGCAGCATCTTCTCGCGGGAGAAGTCGTTGATGTCGAGTCCGTCCACGATCTTCCAGCTCTTGTTCTGCGCACAGACGTCCGGAGAGGGGGAGAGGCGGGGGGTGAGTCACAGCGACGTTGCCACGGCACCGGCATCCAGGGGCAAAGTCTGTCCAGGGAAACGCTCGAGGTCGGGGCGTGCCGTCCTCGCGAACACGTCTGCACGCAGTGTCGTCGCCATAGCCATCGTTGCACATCCAGCCGTGGTGAAATAAGTTATCATGCTGACGCGCTCCTGCACGTAAGAGTCGACTGTTTATGCAAATTATTACATGGAAGTGCTACCTTTCGGCGGATGTAAAAAAACAAGACAAATTAAATGGTACAGACAACACAAAACAGAGATTAATTATTTTAATGAATCGTGTCCCCGAATCAAGGCAATGAATCAACTCTAAGGGGTAGACGGGAGAAAAGGGTGAATTATTAGATGCCTGGTGGCTGTATAAACTATAGTGGCAGAATCAGGTAAACCCATTACATAACACATACATGGATTTAGAAACAGATCCTTAAACGTGCAAGTTGATGCATGTAGTGTGAGCTTAAGAATTTTAATTGATGCATCCTTACACCCCAATTAATGACACCGACCCATACATACAATGCTTTGTCACTCGTGTCATTCATTTAATTGCTTCTTGGAAAACGGACCCCAATTATTAAATTATGATGCATCAGAGTGCACTCGGCACTACTGCCACATAATTATTATTATCATTGTGTTTTTAATTGGAAACTGCTTTTGCATGGGTGCCCTAACAACAATTTAAATTCAGCTGCTTGTAAAAGGCACAAATGTGGCCTCTGGGACTCTGCTATTTCCGTTTGGTGTCCAAAATTCGAAGGAAAGAATGCAGATTCGCGCGAATGTCAAGTCCACTAATGAGAAACCTCTTCTTTGCGATTGGTGTAACATACAAAATCGAAATAAAATTAGATAATTAAGGAGATCAAGATGACGGCTGACACTATCGCTTGCGCCGAAGGTCACGATTCAATGTGCAGGAAACGGCGAGTGCCAACGCGCGACACCTCCGTGGCATTCAAGCCGCCTACGCCACACACCAACTACCTTCTATTAAGTGCTAATTAGCGACTATTCATTGTTTTCTAAAGGACAAGTTCTAATCCAAAATAAATTGCCGGTCCACATGGGGTCCGGTCCCAATTAATTTGAACTAGCGGGAGTCAACCGTACACCAATTGATATTGCGGGAGGCTTAATTAGCGCCGCTAATGCACACGACAGTAACGACGTGCACCAGTACCCACCGCTCGGGTCTGTGGTGCGCCCGTAACTTTCAATGAACACTGGAAACCCAGCGGTGCCCCATTTGCACGCGGGGGAATTGGCTGAAACAAGCGCTTTCCAAATCGCTCTGCTTAGCAAAACTATTCCACCGCTCACAAAGTCGCACCCGGACACTCCGCCGTGTACGTCTCGCATGCCCACAGCCGTGCCGCTGTCTTTACTGTCCAGTAATAAACCTCGCTCAACACTCGCAGCCTGCAGATTACCACGCTTCCACAATGGGCAACACTAGGCCATTACAAATCAGTAGCTCTCATCTTGTAGGTACACACTTGTGTTGTGCGTCCCAGACTGCATGACAATAGTTGACAGAAGGTACCAAAGCATTCTAAAGGTGTCATTGGATTCACCTTGTATTTAAATGTACGGAAGTAATGTTGCAATGTCATCACTAAAGTGCTAATGTGGTACACACCTGACTGCAGGTTTTAAACAAAATTTTCCTATGAACCTTAAAACTTTTATCGAAGAGACAAAAATACAGTCTAGGTACGTGTTTACAAGACAAGGGATGAATATCATTTGAGGTGCGTGTCTTCCTTCAGCAATCAGATGATTGCATCGCCTAGACATAGGCAGGAGGTAGAGGTATGGAATGGGCACTTGAACAGGGGCAGAGTGGACAGGCAGGCAGCTGGCTCTTGCCTTGTGCACCTACAGACCCAACGGTTGACACTGTGGAAATTGAGGCGCGTGAATAATTGTGCTGTGAACATGTTCAGTAGGTGTGGGGTTAACTTTGTATTTTGCAGTAGTACATTCAGATGCGACGGAGAATTGGGAAGACGAAAGATAACTACGCATTAATGTTTCGCAGACTACCGAGATAAGCGGGAAGAAGAGTGGAATTTCAATTTCTCTGTATGAAATAAAACGCACTGATTCACGAGACTGGTGCAGCAGCATTTTTTTGCAAAAATGGCAACAAAAAAGATTAATATTTAAATTATCTGATACGTTTACTATGTATTAGAGTGTAAATTACGACTCAATTAAAAATATTTTGCGCATGAACAAACTCGCATGGAGAAAATTCCTGCCGTGCAATTTACTGGCCTATTCAATTTCTTTATCTCCGAAGAATTATTTTCAGCACATAAATATTTTTTTTACGCACATAACCTTACAAGCTTATAAAAAATAAGTTGGGTTTTATGGGTTTCAACAGATACACGTGATGTACGGAGAGCAGGAAAGCCATTACATTTTCATCAAACGTATGCAGCGTGGGTAGCAAGAGCGAGGAATCAAGTTTACACAGTGGCGAGCAGTGTCAACAGCGCGATGGACCTCACCATCGTGCACGTCTGCGTTGGGTCACCGAGTAATCAGTGTCGGTCGGACGTCTTGGCCTCGTGCCAACGTGGTCTGGGTGTGTGGCTCGCAATCGGAAGGCTTAAACTTCAAATCCTTTGCGTGGGTCAACCTCGCCCTTAATCTCTCTGGGGTCAATTAAATTCCCACAACTCTAAACTAAAACTAAACTTGATTTGAAGCTTTCGTGACTGCAGGAATCCATACTCTTTGGTTCTTTCGGTAAGTCACGTAGGTAGAAATAAAACAAAATAAATCACGACGTTTCGATAGCAACACAAGCCATCGTCTTCAGGTGAAAATTGCGACAGCTGCGATGTCTGCTGTGAGCAGCACGATGTCTGCTGCCTTGTGAAGAGAAGCTGCTACCAGCAAGAGTTTATATACGTTTTTGAGAACAAAGGTAGCCGAAGTAGTGTTAATGGGGAATTATAGTGTAAAGATAATAAATGGCGTGGCATGTTAAAGGCAATGAGAGATGAGCAAGTCGATGCAGTCATGCCGGTGGTTGCATGTCCATGTGTGACAAAAGCAGCCGTGTTAGCGATCCAAAAGATGGCCGTGCTAACGCGTTAGGGTGCGGAGCATGCTCCTGCTACGGAGCCCGCAGCTACGGAGCTTCGCTGTTGCGGAGCTGACTGCTGCCATGGATTTGCTGCTGCTGCTGCGAGGCTGGCTGCTGCGCTGCGAGAGGAAGACTGGTCAGACCAGGTTGCGGAAGCTGGTCGCCGTGCTGGTTAATCACCTCCTTCCAGTGGTTGCTCAGCTGAAACCCATCCCTCTCGGTTGAAGTTGTCTCTATGTTTGTATATCTGGATAGCTTCATGTACAAATCTTTGAAGGTAAACCGAAGGTTTGCAAAGTGGGTGGGTAGCTTTCCTGGAGACAATGTCTCAACGAGCCATTAGGCCTCCTCTCAATGAGAACATCCAGGAATGGTAGCTTACCATCCTTCTCCACTTCCATGGTGAATTTGATGGATGGGTGTATGGAATTGATGTGGTTGAGAAATTGGTTCAGTGCTGCTTGACCATGTGGCCAAATGACGAAAGTGTCATCTACGTATCTCTTCCACAAGGAAGGATGTAGGGTGAATGTCAGGATGGCATCTGTTTCAAATTTCTCCATAAACACATTAGCTACCACTGGTGATAGGGGGGATTCCATGGGGGTACCTTCATTTTGTATATAGAAAGTACCATTCCAGGTGAAGTAAGTGTTGGTAAGGCGACAGCCGCCATGTCTGCTCGCAGCAGACATTGCGCAATGGCTGTCGCGATTTTCACCTGAAGACGATGGCTTGTGTTGCTATCGAAACGTCGCGATTTGTTGTTTCATTTCTACCTACGTGACTTACCGAAAGAACCAAAGAGTTTAAAACTAAACTAATTACAATTTTCCAGGTAAGGCCCACTGAGCTATGTAGCTCTTTTTCAGAAGTGATTTGGACACAAATGATTGCCCAATTAAGTGGTTTATCATGTGGAAATTTATAGCGGCCAAATACTCCAAACGCGTTTCTAAATGTGGAGGGAAAAACCAGAGGACCCGGTGAAAAATCCACGCAACCACAGGAAGAACGTGCAAACGCCAAATATGGGATAGACTCCATGACCTCCAGTATAGCAGGCACGCAGTAGTTAACATCTCACCACAGCGACTCAATAGTGACTCGCCTGTAGATCAAGTTACCCTTGCCATAGAAATTCTGAATTTCCACATTAGCTCAGGAATGTAAAGGGATGAGCACGGCCCACCCGTTTGGGTGGGCGACCACTTTGATTTCAGCCTCAATCACAAGGAGCGCGGTGCGATGGTGTGGCTCTAACATTTTCTCTCGAGTCCTGTCCAGTCACAAAGGCGCTTATCATACACACGTTGGAACGGGGGGGGGGGGAGCAAGAGTTTTTTTTTTTAAACATCACTGTTGAAGAGAATGTAAGGGAAGAAGCAACACAAAAACACAAGTACTGAAACTAAAGAAGTTTGTTTTTCACAATGCTTCACATCTTATCTTTTCACAACACATGCACCCAATTCATGTGCACGGGTACCAGCGGACGAACACGCCATGAGCTGATGCTTTGTGTCAATGTATGGAACATTTTTGTCAATCCACTGCTGGATGAGGACCTCCCCAAGCCTCGCGGGTCACATGAACGTACTTTACCACGCTGGTCAGTGCGGCTTGAAGGTGGGCAGCACAGATGTTGGAGCACAGTACAGTACAACAATGTATTTTGCTGAACTACCCTCGGCAGCTCTGTAGCATCCTACAATGCCTGATTTATGCACAGTGGTAACCCACCCAATTACAATCCAGGCTCAGGCCTGCTCAGCTTCCATGGTCTGATGAGACTGGGAGTACGTTGGGTGATTTGGTCACGTGTTTTGTGGGGAGGCCTTGGTGCCCATCGCTTGGCTTGTCGGGCAGCCCTGGGAGGGAGATTGACGGCCAAGGCAGCGTGGCGCACGCGGGGGGGGGGGGGGGGGGGGGGGGCGGGGCCCTTCGTATGCTTCACTTGACGTGACAAGCGGCCCGTGCGAGCATTAATGTTTAATGCTGTGTGATCATCTTATTGAAGTTTAAAAGTTAATGAAAGCAGAGGACATATATATTTAAAAAAATATTCGTAGCCTTTGTGGATGTTCGACATCAATTTGAAGGTTAATGAGAAAAGAGATGATAAAGTGACTTTCAGCCACATCATTACAGTGCCACAGGACGTATGTATGTATAACTTATACTGGTAGGAACCTCTGGTTACACCAGCCCACGGGATTATTGTGTCCGTCCGTCCGTCGTGCAGGGAGGGGCTGGGTGCGGAGGGAGGGGCTGGGTGGGGAGGGGAGGGTGGGGAGAGGCTGGGTGGGGAGAGTGGGGCTGAGTGGGGGGTGGGAGGGGTGGGGCTAGTGGTGCCCTTATAAAACTCAATGTTTAATCTACTCACGCCGGCTTGTGCCCGCCGCCCTCACAGTCGGGCATATTTGCGGAATATACCACGCTGCCGTTGACCCTGGCCATTGACCGAGCAACCCAACGTTCCTACCAGCTCCCTCCGCAGGAATGTGTTTTCATACCGTACGTAGACAACCGTGCTAATCGCAGGTGCGGCGGGACGACAAAAATAAATGCACAAAAAGCAGTTGACACATGACCACACGAACATGTAACCTGCCACGCGGTCACCAAGAGACTCAGGCCAACAGAAACTCAACCCCATTTGCTCGAAGCGTGATCAGCGCTGTTGGCAGACCGCGGTGGTGACAAGACGCCGAGGGGCCGCCGCGACCCTCACCTTGATGACGACCGGGAAGGAGTAGATGAGGTCGGCGGGGATCCCGTAGCTGTTGCCGTCGGAAACCACGCCCATGGACACCCAGTCACCCTGCAACGAGACGCCGGACGGCCGGGTTACGTCCACTCGGCTGTGGACGCCAAAGCTCCACCGCTGCACACGTTTCATGCGTGAGACGACTTGGGTTCCGTACAAACCGCTCAATCACGGGGGTCGCACATATGGCTCGTACCCTCGATGCCTGCCAAGGATGCGTAATTCTGCTTTTAGAAAAAGACCATCTGGTCAATTTCACCCGCAATGCACACAGGCCCCCCCCCCCTCCCCCTTCCAGCACCAGATGGACTCAAATTCTAATTTACGGACACTATTAACAATTAATTCGGCTTTTAATCATATTTCATGTTTTTTTAGGGGGGGGGGCTGTGCAAACAAAGTGAAAAGTAGATAAACATTTGCCATTTTGAACGGCTGGCTTAAGACAAATGACGGCGGGTCCGTGGCAAAGTGTTCCGCTGGCCAAGTCTCAAACGCGGAGGCTGGCGCGTGGCTCCGCGCGCCCGCTAGTCTCACCCTTTTGCTGCCCCAGCGGGGGACAACACCTGCCGGGGCAGTTGTGCTTCGCATCTCTATCGCCGTCGGCTATCGCAACAGCTAACGTAACGTTCACATGAAGAGGCCACTGTTGGATAAGGCCACGCAACCGTGCGCGGATGAATTGACTGACGTGAGATTATTTACGCTCGCATGCATCGGAGATAACATTATTGTAGAAAAGGAGATGTAAAAACATCGTGCAAAAATATGGCCGAGATGCTAAAAATCATATCGTAAAATAGAGATTTGTGAATTGAATCGCGAACCCAAATCATGATCATCCGTCAAATCGTCAAGAGGTCAATCATCACATGCCCAGAGAGACCCAACAGTAAGGATCACAGAACATATGTGGTTATAAATAAAGCTCATCTCTCCAAACACTGACAAAATTGCTTTGTGTCTGTAAGGTTATATCACTTGCGAGATACTGACTCTAAGGACAGCCATAGCCTGATAGCGGGTTGCTTGCGTCGGTCCGTGGAGACTGCATTCAAGTTGAGACCGGGAGCTAGCGGTAACAAACCTCACTGACTAATGCACTGCCAGGAGCACGTCAAGCGTCCACTGATTTGTGTCGAGCGGCACAAATCCAGACGCCGGTATCACAGAGAGCACGAGGGAAAGGAGAAATAGCCGCGCTCAACTCGTCTCAAGATAAGATGCCCCTCCCGTGAAACAAGCACACAGGTCTTATTTACATCCTTGTCTAATTTTTGGCCAAGAGTTACTCTGTGAAGCACACATTTGTATGAATATTTGTTTAAGCGTATTCGCGTAATTGGAAAATGCACGAGCACAAGTAAATAAATCTCCGGTTTGCTGGTAATTATGTTTAATGCACTTATATTATAAACATAGTAAATTAAGTATATGCAAATTCACCGAGATATAAAAAAACACACAAAACCAGGCCATCAGATCACTCCGCTTAATTGGAGTGGAGCGCGATCATGGAGAGTGGGTGGAGTGAGCAAGCACAGGGAGTAAGTGGAGGTGGTGAGGGATTTAGTGTACGAGAAACGGTGGGAGTAGACGTGGTGAGCAAGTCTGGCAGCGGTGAGCGGAGGTGGTTGAGCGCTTGAGTATGGAAGCGGTCAGCGGGGGCGTGTGTAGGCGGTCAATTGGCGAGTGTGCAGGCGTTGAGCGGGTGTGTAGGTGGTGAGCGGGCCGTGACGGCTCGGTGAGTAGGCGGCGCACACCTCAGCAGTGCCGTGCCAGAAGCTGCGCATGTGGTCGCAGATGGCCTTGGCGGCCGACATGGCGCTGGAAAGCTTGCGCGCCTTGATCACCGCTGCACCACGCTGTTGCACCGTCTGCAGGCGACCAAACACGGGGGGATGAAAGAGCACACAAACATTTAATTTAAATCCGCAAAACTTTTTTCCCGGCGACACCGCTGCGAGCCTCGCGTTGCGTTTTAGCGGCCAGATGCGAGCGAGCGGGCGAGCGAGTGGCACCGGCCTCATGCGCAGATGGAGCGAGAATCTGTCGGGGCACGGAGCAGCCGTTGGAATGTCCGACTGGGGATCCACAAATAATGAGCGCCTTCGGATCCTCGCTAAAAAATCGTCCATCACGGGCTCTCGTGTACGGGTGGGTTCCGCGCACACGGGCGTGAGATGCCGACAAGAGTTGTGACCCCGATCCTTCCATATTCCGCTTATAACCATTATAGGATTACTTTGAATCTTCATGTTTACCTACTAATCCTGCACTCTGATATAATGAGTACCTAAACGATAAAATCATAAAATAAAATATGTATTTGTACTCACTGCAATATCTTACTCGCTTAGTTTGTTTTTACTGCGAGTCAATCATACGTATGTAAAAATATAAAACACTATATGCTTTGCACCAGCTATAGCTGGTTCACACACTCACAAGCAAGCTTGTAGCTGCATCTAGACACATCTATTTTCAATAGAGGCACTTATAGACACCGGGGCACAATATTTTACACAGAGGGTTATCAATGCAGGATACGCGAGGCAGCTCCACACAGGGTTGTCAACGCTGCTCCCACATGGCCAGCGATACCCCGGCACACAAACTGCGGTCCGCACAAGAGACTAAACCGGACCGCCAACAGACTCCGGAACCCAGACACAGTTGAAAGAAGGCGACAGAGTGCTCGAGGGTGGTTATTACGGCCAGGCGGTTGCTATTCAGACAAGTTTTGTAACGAGCGCTTGATGCCAATTGTTTTCCTATTCCTTAGTCAAAGCAATGCTCAAGGTCGCAACTAAGCTCTTGGCAAAGCCGGTTTGTTTCCCAGATATGGCACACACGGTGGAAATGCCCCGATACCGACTCGGAGGTCAGCGTTGAAAGGACGGCGCTCTACACGATGACGTTTGCAAACCGTTGTGTTCCGCCAATGGATGCGTTTGTGATGAAATGTTGGCTCTGCCTCTATGTTGGTGCCAATGTACAGCACAGGATGGAGACTATGCTGAAAAGTGGACAATTACTAGTGACATTCCCATAAAGTATCATCTAAAAATTCAATTAAAAGTCGTTGAAAAAAACAAGAGGCATTATTTTGAAGTATGTCTTGTATTAATTCTAGATTTGAAGCTTTCGTGACTGCAATGATTCATATTTTTAGGTTTTTCGGTAAAGTCACGTAGGTCAAAAAACATTAAAAAGTAAAATAAAATTAAAAATAAAAATCACGACGTTTCGGAGGCAACACAAGCTTCCGTCTTCAGTTGGTACCGTCACAGCCACGACAGCTGTATAAAGTAAATGAGAGATTGCAGAAGCCACCACTCCGTTTATATAATGGTTGGAGGAGGTGGTGGAGCAAGAGCCGCATACTTTTATTAATATGATAAGGTGAGGCTTAAGACTAAGAATAGACTGCATAACAAAGCCTGAGCCAATGGATTCGACAGCGACGTACCGAAATGAAGTCGCCCTTGAGCCATGCATCATCCTTCACGGCCTGGAAGACGGGCAGCTCCTGTCCGCCGACGTTCACGGTGGCGTGGTGGACGTCCGGGTACTGCGTGGACGAGTGGTTGCCCCAGATGATGGCCTTCTTGACGGCAGCCGCGTCAACGCCGACACGTATAGCCACCTGGGGGGACGGTGATTCGTTACCAAGGGTGGCGGAGTGGCTCAGAGATCAGAGCGCGAAGCCAAGTTATTTGAAAATCAAATAAAATTGTACGTTTTGTGTCACTGGTGCCTGGGTCGAGACCACAAACTTGCTACACTTGAGACCACAGTGCAACCATGGGTGGCTGAAACCCGAATTCGAATTCAGGCTGTTAGAAGTGCAGGCTCGTTGCTCTGACCTCTGAGCCACCTCACAATTACTTCACTTTATGGGCCACCAAAATAAGGAGCTCTAAAAACCGAACATTAAAGATGAATTGATTCACACAGAGCCATTTGTGCAGACAATAGGACTTCAAAATATTTTCCGATAGCAGTTAGATGTGTATGTGTCGTACGTATAAACATAAAGTTACAACTGCCGAAACCAAGAGTCTTTTGTCAATCCACCGCTGGATAATAGTCTCCCCACACCGTGTCAGTCACGGCAGTTGTTTGGACATCCTTCCACACACTGGTCAATGAATTATAATAGATGTCCAATGAGGCTTTGTGATGGCAGGAGGAGGAGGCCTGGGACTGAAATCAGTGGCCAAGAATCGAACCCAGTTCAGCGGATTCACAACGGAGAACACCACCAAGCACTGCGCCACCACTCCACTCCCATTAATATATAAACATACATGCATAATATTTATGCATTTATAACCCTAAAGTGATTATAGCTGTTCTGACAGACCTGTATAATTTATACATTTAATCTATTAAGTATTAAACACACACCATTTAATAAAAATAGCATTAGACGAATCACCATTTATAATATTATTAATGGAAAAGAAACAGTGTAACCTTAAACATTGGTATCTTAACCGTGTATCACTTTTGCCAGAGCAGCCAACATATTAGTCGTAAGTTCACGGGTGTTTATATTCTAAGCGTACAAAACAAACCAATAAAAACACCAGTCACTTTCAAATTGAGAAGACGTGGTACGAGAATCGACTCGCACACTAAAACCACTCTGTTTTCCAGCTTACAAATGGTTAAAGTGTTACACAAGTAATACAATTCATTATGCTCGGTCGGAGTCATCTGTCATTTTTTTTGTAATCTGCCATTTGTTCTGGAGCTGCGCCATATACGCCCCCCCCCTCACTGGAGAACCCCAGGGGGGAGGGGAAAGTGGTGGACCCTATGATTAAACGCTCCGTTCATCGCAGCACGGGACTCATCCCAATCAATGTGTCTGGGCGCCAGCACGGCGGCCACTGGGCTGGATTAATAACGGGAGATTCCCGACAACTCTCCCAGCTTTAGAGAACTGTCAAGCGTGCTTCTCTCTCGTGCTCTCCCCACTCCTTCCCCTGCCTCACGCTCTGCCTTCTCCGGTATTTCGGGGGAAGTTCCGAGTGTACCCATCCCGCGCATCGCATTCGTCAGCAAATCCATCTACGTGGTTTCCCCCCAAAACCAGGAGACGGTGGTGTGCAGTTTTGGCGATCGACCCTCCCCGGCGTGGCGCTGGCAATTCCCCAATGAACACACGAGCAGAAACACATTGTCTAAACCGCCGAATTGCATTCGAGTAAAATTGCGTTTGACAATTGCCGGAATTTATATAAAAAAACACAAGTGTAGCGGTGAAATAGAAATGAATGCCAATGTGTCGTGCCAGAGCTGCATAATGGATGGATGAAAGTGAACCACAGCTGTGGGAAACGCATCATTTACCCTGGAGCGGAGGTAAAGCATGCCTGCCATCCAAATGCCTGGAAGTGGGTTGGTGGCTGACAAAGATGGGGACGAACCACGTGCATGTGATACCCATATATCACGTAGTACAGTTAGTAGGTTTCTAATCTCGCCTTGTTTCTAAGGTTTTTTCGAAGCACTCCATTTTCTTCCCACACTGAAAATGTAAATACTTTATAAAAAAATATCGGCCAAACATTCCCAACAGGACCGTCCTATATTAAGTATTGAGACTCAGTGAGACTTGGCTGGCTAAACAATGATAATTCTTCTCACCAATCATAATTAGTATCACCTGTATTGTAATTAATGCAATATGACCGCAATATTTCACGATTGAAGTTCACCAAAGGACTGTATGTGTTCCCCACGTTACCCCGATTTTTCTTCATTTTACGAAACTACTCCTGCATCTCGCCTAAAAAAATGAGGCAAATGACAGCTTAGAAATTCCTAAAACGACCATAAATTAGCATGATGATCATTTTAAATCACGACTTTCCTACCTAGGTCAAAGGTCACAAACCCTGCATACCGTATGTCTCCAGACCGTAAAGATTTGACGTATTTACAGACTTAGAGGACAAATTAAGTTGGCGACAGTGTAGATCATTTATATTGTTGCCAATAAGCACGAGATAGGAGGGGTTACCTGCGACACGGCGCGGTTGTGGTCCAGGCGAGTGAGGCATGTGAAGTTCTCCCTGGGGATGGTGAGCGCGGACTTCAGGGCGATCAGGCAGTTGGTGTTCGCCGGGTTTCCCACCACCAGCACCTGCGCGCGCGCACGCACGAAGACACCGCGGTTACGCAAGGACCAGGAGAGCAGCGGCGGCGTCGACTTCAGCCAAGGGCTCCGACGCACGGAATGCGACGTGGCCCTCCTCTCCATTTCCCCCACCCCTCTCTTTGTAGCCCGGCGCCCGGGTCCCTCAGGCCCCAGTAAGATTGCACCGTGCGCACACTCGATAGCTACGCTGCCGACGGGGCCAAAGATGTACGCACGCACGTGCATCGAAAGTGAGCACCGCCGCGTGGCATGTTAGCAGCGGTGTACTCACCGTGCTAAAACTGAAACAGCATTCAAGGGGTTTAGCAATTACGGGCTCACATGCAGTTGCGCATGAAAAGTAGTGCTACTTTGCAAATTCCAATGGAATGACCAGCGGCACTTTTCAGATAGAGAATGCTGAGGTACACATAATATAGGCATGCGAATGAACAATAATGCAGAATAAAAAAAAAACTTCAGCTGCTAAAGATGCAGACTATATCCAGTTGCAAACAGGATAGTACACCTCCAGTGCCAACGGGCTTCTCTACTGTGTTTTAAGCAAATGATAATCAATCCATAAAGGTTTAATGTTTGGTTCATAATACTATGCTTACATTTTCAATTAGATTTTCATTTAAGTTTAAATTCCAATGATCCCTCTAGACCAGCGTTTTTCAATTCCAGTTCCAGGACCTCCCCATGGAAGAGGTTGGCATCAATACCAACCATCTTGATTGTGATTATCAGCTTGCAGTGTGCACTGGCTTATCTGGCGTATGAACATTAAATGTTGGGAACGGCGAAGAGGATGGCCCCTGGGGGTTTTGAGCAGTTTACAAAAGCGTTGCCCCACACAGCGCGACCTAACCGTAGCCCATTACAAAAGCCAACGTTTCTGAATGTCTGATGTCGCTGCACCCTCTGCTGGAGAATTAGTGTAATTGTACAGCCACCTGAGCTCCCGGAAGACACAAAATTTAAATACGGCTGTTTACGCACGTCGAATTGCTCTATAAAGCTCGAGTATGTTAATCGCTCCATTAAATTGTATTATAGTGTGAGAGTAAGGCTTGAATAACCTTCCACTTATTTGATGTAGTTTTAAAACGAAACAGAGACTCATTCAGTCTGCGATAATGAGATTTTCTATGGCAGATGAATGGCGTAAGGATGAATTGAACGCGAGTAATAGCACATGGCACGACTGGCAGGAAAGCCATCCGAAATTTGATCAACCGGAAAAATCTGTCGGGTACCATTACTGTTAAATTTAATATCATTACGATCATCTCCTATGGACGGTGTGTTATATGCGTGGTAAAATGTTAATGTCGCCAATTGTATTAACCACGTTTTATCATCCGCAGAGGTGGATCTTGATTTTTCGATAAAAACCGAGGTCAGTCTGTGGTGTGACAATTCCCACGCTACACGGACATCGCATCGTGCCTGGCTTGATGGCGCGTACGCCTGTGACCCAGCGCAACGAGCTTGCGAATGACAAACACATCTGTGAAACTCCCACGCCCTGCGCTGAGAGTTGGCAGAAGAGCAGTAATAGGATTTATGCACCCATTATGTGTGTAGACCTTAAGAGTCTTTCTCTGGGTACTCGTGCAAAGCAATTCCTTGTACAAACTAAAAACGCTCTATATAACGTGACTGGTCAAATTCAGTTCCCTCCTGAAAAGAGAGGCTAAGAGACTCAGTAAGTCTTTCCCGGATGAATTATTGTTATTAGTGATAGATTTTTCACATCCTGTGGCACTCAATCGTGGATAATGAGCAGCTGGCACCTGTCCCTCGAAATATAAATGATTAATTTACTCACGGTTGTTAAGTCAACAAGCAAATTTAATTAAAGCAAAATGTGACATCTACATTGGGGGCAGGTGGTGGAATAAACCAAACAAAACACGTGTGCACGCTTTTATTGGGTGCCCATCACAGCAAAGGCTGTGACGGCAGTACATGGAAAGCCCTCTTGGATAATCTACTGCTGGATGAGGGGGTCTTCCCACGCTGTGCGGGACTTGAGAAATATCTGACCATACTTCACCACGCTGGTCAGTGCGGGTTCATCAAGGCGGAAAGCATAGACGTTGGAGCATAGAATAGTACAATAGATTTTTCTGCACTGCCCTCTGCTGACGCCACTGGAGGACAAGGTCCACAGGTTTATTTTTATACAGATAGAGTTGTATTTTTCAGTGATTTCTTATTTGTCTCATGTATTATTCAAGTTCTAATGTATGTTATGTTTGTTCTGGCTATTTGCCTCCAGGTGAAATTTGCATATAACTGAATAGCAGGGCATGTGTAAGAGGAGGTGAATATATACTGTACAAACAATGGCCGTTCAAAAGCCAACCTGCAACATTTGCTCTCGCAAACCATTACCATAACGACAAGATGACTAGAACGTTGTGGAGTGGAAAAAACAACTGAAAATGGCCGTGCGAACTGATGTCACAGTTTGGAAAAAGCAGTCTCGGTATTTTCAAGATCAGAGCAAATAATGTGTCGTATCGTGGGCACCTTGGGGAGCATTTGTTCTGGCGAGCCTTTGACAGTTGGGCTCCGCGCCTTCTAATAACGCTCCAACTTTTTTTACCAGCGAGGCGTGTGACAAGTTACTTATTATTATTGTTGTGTGTAAAGGACAGGGTGGAGTGTGGGAGGACACACTAGCCGGGCACACCTTGACGGTTTTCTTGGAGTACTTGTTGAGCGCAGCGCCCTGCGACTTGAAGATCCGGACGTTGGCCTTGAGGAGGTCCTTGCGCTCCATGCCCTCGCGCCGCGGCATGGAACCCACCAGGATGGCCGCGTCCAGGTCCTTGAAGGCCACCTCCTCTTTGTCGGTGGCGATCACCTCTGCGCAGCGCGGCACGCCGTCGCGCAACGCGCACGGCACGGCATTAACAATGACGGCGGAAGGGTTAAGCGAGCGCAGAGAGGAGGGCGTCCGTTACAAAGGTGGCAAATCCTCCTTGAGTGTGGCGATCGGCTCCATACAACCCGGCACGCGGTCATGAAATGTACCCAATTTGATATGGATGATAACAACGTTGAAACGTGTGGCTAAGAACAGTGAAGGCCAGGTGCCGCGTCTCCTCCTGAATACTCACGCCCTGCCCCTTTCCCTTGACGCCATGGCGTTTTTGTCCCGCGTCACCTTGTGTCGTGTTTTAGTGCCGCCTCTAATTTAACAATGTTGGTTTTGAAATTGTTTGCATTATAAGCGTAGACTCCACTTTATTTGTGCTAGCTTTCAGATTGACTGTTCTTCAATCACACGATCAGGATTTATATCAATCACTGAATCACGATAATCTATATGTATTGTACAATATGTAGCATAGTATAATACTTACATTCTAATTGTCTCTTTATGCAAATACTGCTTTACTGCTCAAAGTAAATGTTTGGTCGTCGGACGATAAACGCATGAACGATTACAATACTTTACATGATATGCGTGCGAGTTGTTCCCACTTATGGGTGAAACAGACGGGCAGTGGTTACACCACTGTGCTATGGACTCGGCGACCCGAGTTCGATTCCTGGCCACGGCCAACACCAGTAGCGAGTGATATCTGAACCAGTCCTCGAGTGCCCATCTCCACCCTTCATCCAGCAGTGGATTGGTAAGGGCTGTAACTTGACATTTACAAGGAAAGTTTATTGGAATTAGCTCAGGGGCAACTGCCTGCAAGGCCGTGTGTTCACAATAACAATAAGATTACACGGAATGGCAAAGCAAAGGTCAGTGGGATGTTATTTGTCCGTTGAGTTGGCAAGTGCGAAACTATGGCTACGCAGCTCGAGCGAACCTTCACCCGCGATCGCGCGAGGTGCAATTCACACAGGATGACAGCAGCCTCGCTGCCTGCACGGAAACAATACGGGGGCCCCGTTGCGTCCTGAACTCGTAAAGCACAGCTCTTTCTGTCCATCATAAAGCGCAGATTGGCAGTACGACTAGATGTGAACAAATAGAGAAAAAGCGGCTTGTCCTTTGTAAAGTATATTCAAGGAATTCTTTACGATTAACCGACTATAAATATTTCGCCTTGCCTGTGCATACAACGAAAGAGACAAAGCGAGGCATATTTTCGACTTCTATGGTATGACGTGTCGCAGAGGTAAGGCCGTGAGGCGGCTTTCGTTGCCACTCAAGCAATCGCGAGTGAAGGTCGCATGACCTTCACTCGCGATCGCGCGAAGGTAAGCGAATTGTTTTGGGGCAACAAGAGACCGACGGACGTAATCCCGTGCTGGATGAGGGGCAACTCCATGTTGTGTCATACAGGGGGAATGTTCGACCGTAGTTCACTTAAATATGGGAATTAAATTGGAATACATTTTACATAAACCGTCAATTATAATTATCATCCATTTTAATTCAATAAATTTGCTTCTTACTCTCATGCATCTAATACTGCATGTAAGCATACACTATTTTCACATCATACATTTAGTATGTGATCGGTTCACGTAACCTCTGTATCCACAAAGGGCAAAACTGTACATGCTCAATGCCTCATATCCACAACATTAGAGCACTGTACATCCGTCAGGTTCCATTCTCCCTTTAACAGAACTTATTAATATCCCAAAAAATTGCAGACGAAAATTATTATAATTTTGGCAGAGGCCTTCAAGATTTTAAACTTCAAATGATGAATTCGGGCTGAGGCTGCCCACATGCGCTGCACATGCGGACTACGCGAGCTGTACGCATGTCAATGGCTCAGGGCGTGTGCCCTCTACGTGCGTACCCTTGAGGAGGGGCAGGGCACAGTCCTGCAGCTCCATCACCACTCCCTCGAGCACGCCGAGCATGGGCGTGATGTCCAGCAGCACCAGGGAAATGGGCTGCGTGGGGTCCACGCGGACACACACACAGACACCGGAGCGACGCGCGTTTTTACTGCCGAGACATAGGCATCGCTTCACAAGAGGTGACTTGGCTCCCATTCGTCCTGCACCCGCCACGGCGAGCGCCTGCTGCAAGGTCATTCCCAACCACTGGTGCGGCTTGGCTCGCGTCCCAGAGCCAAAAATACTAAATCTACAGCGTCTGCTTGAATTTTGCCAAGTCCAGATATGCATTCAAGTGGTGCAAATCTGCTAAATGAGACTTAAAGATGCAAAGTATTTTTTTAAAGTTAATTAAAAGGGTCTCACTGTTCAAACAAGCAATGCAGTTGCAATTATTGTCAATGGCAAACCTGAGCCCGGTGGTGGAAATTCCGCGTCCCCACGGCGGGGGCGAGGCTCAACACGGGATGACTGCCGTTGACTTGCCACTAATAGATAGTATTGTTTAAACGAGTCGAGGTACAGAACTACAAGACGAGAGACGTGTGTTTTTATTGTGCCATGTACAGTCCTTTTATCAATCACCTGATGGACATGGGCAGCCACATGCCATGTGGGTCATTTGACCATACTTCACCATGCTGGGCAGTGCAGGTTCGTGAAGGCAGGGAGCAGAGACTTTGGAGCATAGTGCAGCACAACAACGGATATTGCTGCACTTGCCTCTGATGGCAGCATTATAAAAAATAATTGTATTACAAATGTTTAAATTAATGAAATAGACCCAAAGGCTTAAAAATGCAAATATTAAAATAAGCCGGTGCTACCACAACACTGCGTTATTTATATGTAGACAGCACACCCCATCCAGTTAAATTTAAACAAAATGTAACTTGATCAGCCAGCAGCAGCATCTGGTCTTCACTGGGGCCCAAGGTGACCCCGGCAGCACGCCAGCTGGCTCGGTTCCGTCGGCACACACAACGGTGTGCGTACATCCCCACCTCTCCGACTTTAAACTCACACAACCCTTCGACGATTGCACTGGAATGAAAACCTTGATTTATTTTCACCAAGAGAGAGCACCTCCAAACGGTGTTTTTTCCCCCAAGGTAGACTTGCAAAGTTGCCACTGCCAACTGCTAATTAGCTACCACTTCAGTCTCTCGGAGACGTCGAGTAGGGTACTGCAATCTCCTGCTTGCGGCTCCACTCGGAGTCATCAACACTCATTGGAGTTTGTCTTTGGCATGACGAGGGCAGACCCTCCTCACCTGATCCTTGCCGAAGACATTGCCACTGGCAATGCTGTACAGGAGGGAGTAGGCGATCTGCCCGGCAGCGCCCGTCACCAGAACCTTCACAATGCCCGTCTGTTGGAAGAACACGCGCACGCACATCTTAACGATGCCCACAGTCGTTGCATTTAACGCTCTCAACGATGAACAACAACACAACTGATTTACTCAGAACATCCATAGCTAAAAAAACACCAGTAAGAAGTCAATAAAGAGCCAATGTGGTGCATATCATGTCTATTCAGGCTGACTTGGTGGTACTCGGGTTCCGAAGCCAAAAGTAACGCTAACAACAAGAGCAAGAAATAAACGTATTCCACGTGAAATGTATGCCTTGCTGACGAAAGGTGTTTTATTCATAAACACAAAAGTGGGCGGTGCAGCAAACCCATGGGTGTACTGTCCTTCTATGCTCCCACATTTATGCATCCCACCTTCAACCCACACTGACTAGTGTGGTGAAGTATGGCCAAATCCGTAAAGCGTGAGATGGCCCTTATCCAGCATTGTACAGGTACACACAAAATGTTCGCGCGAAGCTAACACCCTTTCTGAGATATCCTTGTGAAATGCGGTACTCACGAGGAGAATGCTAAAGCCTAACGAGTTCATAAGGCTGTGGTCTGGGGAGACGCTAATAATAGCACCAGCCACTTCCACGGATGAGCACGCCTGTGCACTGTGCGTAACCCTTGATTCCAATTAAATGCTTTCAAAAATCTGTAATCGGAAAATACCCGCATTGCCAAGTCATGCTTCGTGACCTTCGTCTGCAGGCAAAGAATGCGCACCCATGTTTGTTACATTTTAGCAGAGAATTTAAATCGATCGATTGTTCTATGCAACACAGATTAGATGGCCCACTGAACAAACATGTCTATTTACCGCTTAAAATACAGGTCAATTCCAAAAAAATCTGACGTGCAACGAGATGTAAATAAAATGCAAGCAGCTTAATAGTAACAAGCAAGGAGCGGTACACGCATTATCAGACTTTGCGTGCGACGTGGCATAGTTTGGGCGCAGGCAGGCTCCACCTACCTACCTGTTGTTAGTCAATCCAATCCCACCACTTGCCGTCTTTACTCAAACCCAATACTCATCAGTGTCTTTCTGGAGAATATAAATAACGAATGTAGAAAAGCAAAGTCTCCTACATATATGGCTCGCCACTCATCTCTATCTTACACAAGCCTCCGCAGCATTGATTGAGGACGTCAACACAATGGACCGGCTTTGTACAACTCCACCAGCAGTCAGACTTGCTTGAATCAATGCTGGCGAACTTCCAGATGCTAACTGCAAGGACCCCGTCTCGAAGTTATGGATCCTAATTCGACGCGAAATCATAAAATAGCTCAATATTGATTCGCGTCGTTTTGGAGGCTATAAATAAACCCCAGGTCTGCCTTAAACAGAGACGCCAAGTCCCAATGGGCCCTCGCCTAGGTGATCGTGTTCACTTCCCTCACGTAAGGTTATCATTTTTTTACAACTCTTACATCATAAACCTCGTTGCAACTCCGTTTTAAGATTAAGCTAGATACTGGACATAAGCACGGGGGAGCGTGAGCACATTTCTTTCTATATGGCGCGTGCTTATATCACGAGTTGTCAATTGCATTACCCCCCCCCACTACCGTGTGATGTGAAGAGGTGTTGCTGTATCATGATGCGGCATTGTATTGCTGCTGATGTTGGCACCCGTCCACATGCCCTTATATCATCCAATGACAAAGCAGAGGGTAGGACGGTCGACTTTCGACTTAACAGTGTATTATGTAATACGCCTCGACCGACAACGATGGTGTTCTGACGACAGATAGTAAAATTATGTGCGAGCGATTGTGGTAGAACTCAATAACCCAAAACAAAAGCTCGTTGTACAGAGAGTAATGCTCGCATTGAGTTGGAGGATTAAGCCGCAGACACAACTGTCAAAGAGTGGACTGTCAAATTATTTAATCAAGTCAGGATGGACAACACAACAAAGTGAGGAAAATCAGTTATCAAGTATTTTAGAATGACCTTTAGAACTGAAAAGGCATAATTTAAAACTAATTATATTGCTCTTAACATAAAGTAAATTTATAAACGAAATTACAAAACATAAATAACAACAGTTTTTGGCACTACATCCATCAATTACTAGTGTACATTTTTTAGATGCGCTAAATGCATGTACACTAACATTACACTCCAACGTAACGCTAAATAACACAATCAGCATGGGAGGAACGCGAGAGGAATTGCTTCAAAACATCGGCAATGCGACAAAGTCCACCGTTAACACCATCCTATGCGCCAACGTCTCTGCTCCTCGTCTTCGCCAACCCGCAGTGACCAGCGTGGTGAAGTATGGTCAACTAACCCCCGCACGGCCGTGGGGGGGGGGGGGGTTAGGATGAGGTCCTCTCATCCAGCAGTGGAGTGGCTTGGCGCACATGGCCCGATTGCGAACACGGGCGCCGATCAAAGGGCTGCTCCCATTGGCCAGCGCGGCCGCACCTCCTTACTATCGGGCCCTGCCATTGGTCGAAAGCGACGCCCCACGCCCCCTCCCCCCTCAGCCGGACAGCCGTCACCGCTTCGCGACACAAGGTCGAATATATTTAACAGTTGCAGCTCAACAAGCGCAATTCAACAACTGCAACTCAACGATGAACGCTAAACAATCGCACAGAGCAATGCACAGCGGCGCTGCGTCCGCGTTGAGCCGTGGCGAGAGAGCCCGCCACGGCTCAGCAGCGCAATTATCGTTCAATGGCAACACGCACCGAGCACCAATTAGCCAGCCGCTGTAATGAGGCAGGTCAGTGGACGAGTGTTTGTCTACGAGATGCGTTCAACAACTCTGTGACTGTGACGACGAGTGGTTTCGCAGCGCTGCTCACCATTGCTGCTGTAGGAGGAGGAAGAGTTGGAGTATGCGACTCGGCACGACTGCGGACCAAGGGCGACTGAGGACGGTGGCCGCGGTGCGTGCGAAGGTGTACGCGTGCGCGCTCCGCAAAGAGTCCTTGTAGTTCCGGCGCGCAAGAATTTGTTTATTTTTTATTTTTGGGATTTTTTTTTTACTGGAGACTGAACAAGATGTGTTTTAAATAATGCTTTGTTCACGTTAATGTTTTTTTTTTGCTTAGAATTAACGAGCTTTGTAGCGCGGATGGATACAACGTAGAGGTTGAAGTGCGAGCTTGCGTGGCCGTGACGTTGATGACGTCATTTCCGCGAGAAACATTACGCCATCTTACAGCAGTTAACACGCCCAGATGTGAACGTTTAATTACGGAACAATAATACAAAAAAGTGTATATAAAATTGTTGTTTTTTATATCGACGAGATAAAAACGCAAGTGTGAGTTTACATGTTTTAATAATCACAGAAACCAATAAATAACAAGAGTTTTCAATATCCCTGACTAAGATGGCGGCTCTATATCCCCGTGGAGAGTTCACGCCTACCTTGTGACGTCACTCACAGATCCCTCTTCGCGATTGGTCGACCAGCTTCAAAACCACGCCTCTTTCTGGGCGGCTTAACCCAATCAGCGAGCTCTGCGTCCCGACCGTGCGTCAACAGACCACTGCGGAGTCGATCCCAAAAGAATCGAACCTTACCAGGCTATCGATTCCGAGCTGTATTGATTTGAACGGTGCGGATCGATCGTGGGTGTAATCATTAGAAATTCCGGATCGATTCCTCGGGCCGAACTTGATGGCGTCCGTTGGCAACCGCGAGCTCGTCCGCGTTGTAATGAACCCCGCGTGAGGCGAGCGGCAACTTCGCAAGTCCCCTCCACACCTCGGCTGTCGGTGTCGCTGCGAGCGATCGAGGTAGGGCCGTGGGTCACCTCGCCCATGCGACAACTCGGACTCGTTGACGGCCTCGATGTTGTTACTCGCGCAGCGGAGGGGAGCCGCTTGTGCCCCCCAGTGTTTACATTTGACGCCCGCTCACACTGAACGGCCACCCCACCGGTCTGTTCGCTGCGTCGTCGATTAAACCATTGGACATGACAGCGTTGCTTTTGTTTAGATTTAAAGCTTTCGTGACTGAGGTAACGTTACTCGGTGGTCTTAACGTCGCTTGCCTGTGTGCGTAGAGCGCGTTACTTTGATTTAAATTTTCTTGACTTGTCACTTGTTTTACGAATGTTAGGGGCCGTCCATAAATGACATCACGCGGTTTTGGATGATTTTTGACCCCCCCCCCTTCGTCACACGGCGTCACAAAATCAGACCCCCCCCCTCCCTCATATGACGTCACAAAGCTCTGCCCCCCCCCCCCCCCCAATTTTTTTAAAACATGCGTCAAATCTCTTTAAACTATTGTCATTGTAGTGTGTATTTAATGTGGCACTGCACTCTGATGTTGTAGGAGAAAACATTTATTATAAAGGCGGCGTTGGAAAGCTGAAATTTAGCATAAAATTCACTTTAAAATATTCAACGTCTAACTAAAACTGCAGATGTTTAGAATATTATATTGAAATTCTCTTATAAAATATTAAAAGTAATTCTAACAATAAAAAATACTTGAAACTTTGTAATAGAACGAAGCAAAATGGAGAGTACAATTATAACAACCACATATTCATTCCACAGAATGAAAAGCCCTGGTAGAATTCTGAAAATCTAAATGTTTAATAACAATCATTCAAAACATTTACTAAATGTAAGCTTCTAAATTCTCCCGTGGAGAACCAAAATGCTCCTTCATGGAATAAATAAAAGGTGACCTTAGTAAATTTAAATAATCAAATAGTTAATAATGAAAATTAATCAAAATTAGTGTTATAACAATTATATTGAATTAAGTAAGAACGTGTTGTTTATATTTAAAGTTGCACATTTTGACGTGACGTCACATTTCTCAAACCCCCCTCGTCACACATCGTCACAAATGTCTGACCCCCCCTTAGGTGCGTGACGTCATTTATGGACGGGAGATGATGAAGGGTGTTGTGTCGTCATAAATAGAGTGGCGTCTAATAATAGACCTGTGTGTGTTTCAACATAAACATCAAGCACAAGCAGCTCATTGAGGTCGACTTGATCATCGGGGATCCCTCCCGTGGTATTCACACGTGTGTGTGTTTACCCGGTTACGTATTTAGGAGGCGATGAGGGCTCATTGAGGTACATTTGCACGCGATCACTGTATACGTTAAGGGGGACACGGATTAGTGGACATAAGCTATTTGAATGCTCGAGTGACGGCCTATTAGGTAGCGGTAATAAACCCATAATACCTAGCCAAACACTATGAGAGTTAAACTACTCCTTTGTGTGAGGACACTCTGGGACAAAGCTGCATTGATCAAACATTAAATGTGACTAACATTTGTATAACCAATGGCTGACACCATTTATTCCCACCCCAAGTAGTCTGAGCGTCCGTTTAATTCACATCGAAAAGTTGCAGAGCCGTGAGCGCGCACATGTTACGTGCGTACACAGCGGCCAGGGAAGCACCTCTTGCGTGTGCCCAACGCACCAAGAGCGTGGCGTGTAACTCCACGCGGTTGGGTTGCATCCTTCCTGGCAGTTTGTGCTGACGCTGCTGGTGTAATGAGGTTGTAATGAACGTAATCTATCCGTGGCGATAAGAGCGTGGCGTGTTGTGTTTCTGGCAAACAATAGCGAGCGAGTTGCCCAGGAACTGCAAGTAATGTAATTGGGCGGTTCCGTTTCATGCTCGTCGTCTGCACTCTGAAACTTTAATGCCGTGAGGTCGTTGCTATGTAGATACGCCTACGGGCAGCAGAGTTTAGGTCTGATCTTGCCTCGAAAAGCTGCACGGAGTTGAATCGAACGTGTCGAGTTTTAAAACTATATCAGGATTCAAGGCAATTAATTAACAGGTAAAGTAATTCAGACTCGACTTGTGAAATTATTTATTGTTAAAGCTGCACTGAACGAGGAAATCATGTCATTCAAAATGTGTTTAAAAATAAAATCTCATATTCTCATGTAACAATTTTTACTGTCTGTGTCAGTAGAGAAATATTTAATTAGCATTATGTGAATGTGTTCACTGATCTAAAACCTACCGATTGGTGGCTAGCGAACAGTGTCATCGTGGAAAGTATACTCTCCTATGAACCCGGAGGCCAGAGTTCATTCCTGGCCATGGCTAACATCAGTGGCAAGCGATGTCTCAACTAGTCCTGGGCTTCACCTCTTCACGAGCTCGCACAGACCAACTTGATGAAATATGGTTGCTGATGTTAAGAGGTTCAATGTGTACTGTCGCCCCACCTGGTTCGTATCGTGTTCACTTCCGTACCCTGTATCGTGTTTGTGTTGTATCTCTGTGGTGTTCCTGTACCATTTTAGATGTTAAAGTTGTTCACATTGTTCAGCTTGTTGAAGTTGCAATATGCATGAATGACGCTCTGCGGTCAAAAAAAGGTTTGTTGCACCAACCAGAGTGTCCACGTTCCACTGTATTGTAGAATGCTTTCTGCAAGGTTAGACCGGTGTCATGACAGATCTGACCAACTCATGAGTCCTCTGGACAGCCGTCTCGATGGTGCTGTGATGGAGACAGTGGAGGTCCACTCTTTACCTGGATGGATAAAAGTAGTCCTCCATTCTTGCAATGTTGCCACACAGATGGATGTTTATTAAGCAGATGATGTTGTCCATCATAACAGGAAGACCAGTCCTCCTTGACTAGACGTCAGTATTGCGACAAAAGTCAAACCAGATTTGAAGTTTTCGTGACTGCAAGGATCCATACTCTTTGGTTCTTTCGGTAAAGTCACATAGGTGAAAAAATATAATAAAAAATAATAAAAATAAGAATTAAATTAAAATAGATTTATTTTTATTAGAAATTTTTGTTGAATAATTATTTATTTATTTTCCCATTCTATTTTTTCACCTACATGACTTTACCGAAAGAACCAAAGAGTATAAAAGTCAAACCATCTGGTGCCAAGGAGCTGTCACTCGCACCGCATGTGACAGGAAGGCCTGCAGCCTGTTTAAGTCTGACTGCAGGAGAAGTCCACATCTCAGCGACAATCAGTAAGACTGGCATCACGGCATCACGCAAGCCTTGTTCATTTACATCTCGGTCGACGTGATGAAGCGACGTTGAGGCCAGATATTGTGGATAGACTGCATAATGGATGCAGCCAGGCCGATCCTTTGGAGGATGTCAGGCTTGCAGTGGCCACCCAATGACTGCTTGCTTCTTTTGACAAAAATATATTAAATTTAACCACATCCTGATTTATAAAAAAAAAAAATAGACCTCTTAATCCATCATATTATTTTGATTGGACCAGAAATGTGTGGCTTAAAACAAAGTCATGAATGTGGTGGGAGAAACATTTTTTGTATACCTTGTTTTAAAGTGATTTGGACCAGCCCCTGGGAATTATTGCGCAAACACGAGAATTTAATCCGCTGCTTTTATATAATTATTTCTTTGAATACAATGTTCCCATTTTAAATCACTGCCAAAGTGCACGGCCAACCCACGCAGCGAGCACGTGCCTCCTCCCTTCCATTTTCCTCGCTCGGCACCCAGGCCCTATTGGCGTAGGCCACGGTGATCATACGTTTTCCTGCCCCTGCATCGCCCATTGGCCACACACACACATTGCATTGCCGCTCTATTTCTTGCTCACTTTTCCAGTTATAGGACTCCGGTGTCAATTTCTGCCTTGAATGCAGAAATGTGAAACTGCACAATTGTACCCTTGTCCTTGGCCAATGGGAATTACCGCTTTTGCACAATGTCACTTAATTGTGGTATGTTTTGGGTTAGATCGCGTAAATATCCATAACTTTTACAATCTGAGTATGACGTTTCGCCAGTAATACATGGAAATGCTGTGGATTTGCTCTCCAACACACCGGTCTGCTGTATTAGTAACGAATTGGCATGTTCTGTTTATGTGACAAACCTTACTAAATGGCTATGTCGGGTGGTGACGGGTTTAACGAGACATTTATATTTATGTGATCTAACCCAAAAAAAAAACTGTATTATGGATGATATTGGTCGCGAAAGCCTACGTGTTAAACTTATTTCCGACCATATGGTGCAGTCCAGAGCCTAGTAAGGATGCTGCTGTGGTGTCATTGTTAGGACACAACTTCTAGAAGACGCTGGTTCGGTCTCCCAGCATGGCAGTTAAAACAATCGGAAAGTGTATTTCAATCCTCCAGCCTCTGTCCATCCAGTAGTGTAGATTGGTACACCACAGGCAAATCAGCAGGGTGCGTGTCGCCTGGTATAGTGCAGGCACTCCAGCCTCTTCCAAGATGTCTGGCCAGTTTGGAAAAGTGGGCAAAGATACCCTCTAATGAGGTCCTCTAGAGCTCCGTCTGGTGGGAGGCCCTTCTCCCAGCAGTGTCCTGAACAAGCAATTGCAGGGCTGCACCTTCATCTTTGATACAGCGTAGTACCCGAACGTGCCAGCGTGTGGCACTGTTGCGCTGACAAATTCAGCCCTTGCCCACAACAGATTATCCTTCGCCACTGAAACTGAGCCTCAAACCATTACAATTATCGCAAATCCCTCGAAATGAAATAAACACAACGGAAAATGACGGCTTTGCGTGCGGTGACCGTACGTGTACTTCACGAAGGCTCTTACTACAACTACATAAGTGAAACAGCGTGGAGGCAGTGTGGGATTTCCCACATGCTCTCATTGTACGTATTCTGTCCAGCGTGTCATAGTCACACGAGTAAGAGCGGTCGTCATTTCAGTCGCTCGTGTTCAACGTGGACTCCCTGGGAAATCCGAGGTGGCTCCTCCGTGCGTCGCTTGTGGACCAAAAACGTCACGTTACGACGAGCGGTTCACGTAAGTCACACACCTGTGTGAACTGTGGCACGTATGTGTGTACGTTGAACTTCTCTCGCACCGTACGTAGCCAACCGTCCTAATCGGAGGTGCGTGGGAAGGACATAAATGAGCGTGGTGTCACCAGGACAGGCAAAGGGATACAACAATAGCAGAAAAGAGACCTGTGACTTCTGATGAAATGATGAGTCAATTGCACAAGACAAGTTAATATGTTACCCTAGTTTACATTGGCTTTAGACGTTTTATTATGACTGGAGGTGGATGACAACCCATCAGATGAACTTGAGAGTGGGAGTAGGGTTCAATAGAGGAGCCTGGAAGCAGCCAAACCTTTAAGAATTGCAGACAGGTGCCTTTGTTTTCAGATTAAACTTTAGATTTATCGGTACCCAAACATCTTAACCACTGGCGCTTCACATTTGGACAGCTTCTTCTGAAGTCGGTAGTCAATGGGGTCCTTGACCTCATTCAGTATAGCTGAAGTGGAATTCTGTAGGTCAGCGACACAGCATTTGTTGAAGTTTGTTATTCATTAGATGCTTACAGAAAATGAAATTTTTTTTAAAGCGGCCTCATGAGTAACATTTATCAAAATATGAGCATTGTTGTATTGGAAACAAATTTCCATTTCGAAAGAAATTGGATTGCTACATACATCGCCATTATTTAATTATTTCATTCATTGAATAAATATGCAATTTGTGTTCTTTACAATACAATTTCACAAGATATTTAACACAAACAAAAATGTTATTACACATTGAACTCAAGTAATAAATTACATAATGTGCTTTGTGATTGAAAGAGCAATTTTCTATGATGTGGAAGTTGTACTCGTGCAGAACTCTAGTTTAACGCAAAGTGGGTTCATCATAGACAACAACAACAACTTACATCTGTCGTGCATCTCAGAGCACAGACACTGCTGTGTGGCACGGTGCATGCACGGAAGGACCCACATCGTCAAAGTCGGTGCCCAACCCTGCTTTATCTTGGCCGCTCGGAACTGGACGACTTATTCATTCCTCAGTTAACGTTGGGTCAGAAACTTATGGCACGTGCACGTTGTTTAAGAACCAATTATGCGTTTGAGAAAAATATATTATACATGCACCACATGGGCAAAAAGACTGCATTTGTAATTGTAAGTCCATATTTGGACTTCCAACATCGTCAGTTAGCCTGCTGTCTTGGAACGTGCTTTCACAGAAAAAGACGAGTCACATAAAACACATCAAGTGATGTTTTTGTTGTAGGCTGTGCTGTAAACTTGCGTTAGCTAATGAATAAATTGTCAAATGTGTGTAATGCAACAGCCATGCTCTTATCAGACTGCAATTAGGTAGCAACTTTTTTTATGGGTTGAAAATCTAATACCATTTGGTAATTTATTATTGTGGTATTCTCATTTTCTTTGCAAATTAGAATAATTTTGTGATTTTTTTTTATGGCGAGTAGTTTGTGTACATCACCAGACAGCGTGTCACGTTTCTTAAGAAAAATTGAAAGCACTCGCATCTTCTGGGTGACTTATTGCATCCTTGATCTCTGCTTCTCACCCTGAATTACTCTAATTGCGGCACCCTGCTAGGGAGCCCAGTGCTGACCTACGGGTCGGAAGTCGCGGCTGCATGGGTCATGCTGGCGTGCGCGGCCGAAGGGGGGCCCTTGGGCCCCCCCCCCGCCCCCCACTGCTCCACGCTTTTCGGCCGATCAAAGGCCCTGGCGTCTCGCGGCCCCTTGTTGTGAGTTTTTTTTGTTCGTCTCTCGCCCTGCGCTAATTGGCTGGCAGGAAGGGGCCTGAGGGGAGCGTCCCCGGAACGCTTTTGTCGCGGCCGTGCGAGCCCGGGGCTGTGGACGGATATGCGGCTGAAAAGGCACGGGCACTTTAAATCAATAATAATAATAATGAAACGTATAAAATACAAAATTCCTTCATTATGACTCCTGCCCAAAAAAGTGGGCAGAGCCGTGCCCCGTGGCGCGTCGATCTCGCCGTCGGTGCGTGGCATGCATTGTGAACTTTTTATTATATTTTCAGTCAAAGCCGTTTAGATTTCTCCCTCTCTCTGTACTGGACCCCTGCCCGCTTCCAAAAAGTGAGTCTACAATGGCGCAGGAAGGATCTAGTGGGGATGCTTTGTGCCTTGGCATGTTTTGTTGGCTTCTGGCCATTTATAAACTGACTTGGAGGTTAAAATTGTCATGTTTTTATGAAGTGGTGCTTGTGAGAGATTCAGGAAGAGGAAAGTTATTCTTCGCATGTTTCAGAAAATTTGTCCTATTATTTACAGGGTGTATTAAATGAAGGGATATTAGAAAATTAGTGTTACTTGGATATGCCTAAATTATTAATTCACTAACGTTGCTCAGACTTCACAGCTTTGCTGTATTGCAGACTACTTTTTGGGAATGTCACAAATACCGTGCATCATCATAATTATCATCAGACACCAAAAATATTTCCCAAATCATGAGCAAACACAAGATCCAGGTTCGATTTAACACAGTACACACAGTACGTTAAATTCGTGATCTGATCCCATCTGTGAAGGATGTGATCCCTGACATGCAATACTCCGGCGTCTACAAACTAAGCTGTGTCTGTGGCAGTAGTTACGTTTGGGAAACTAAGCAACATGTCTCGGACCGTGTTCGTGAACATAAGGCAGATCTGAAACACAGTAGGACCAATACCTTGGCCGTGGCTGATCATTGTTTTAATGCGGTGGGCTCACTCGAAATTGATTTCTCTAAGACGAAGTTACTTTGCAAACCCACTGGCTATCAACAAAGATTCGTTCATGAAGCCATCCATATATACAGACATAGACACAATTTCAACTGAGAAGATGGGTACAAACTCAGCAATCACTGGAAGGACGTTATCAACCAGTTTAAGTCATAACTGGCTGTAATGTTTCCATTGTAGTCCTGGCAGCCCTTTAATTGGTGGTAGTCCACCACCTGGACCATCAATGCCCACTACTACCATCACCACTAGCAGTGGCCCTTTACTGGTGGAAGCCCACTACCAGTGCCGCCGTGGCCCTCTACGAGTACCATCACCTCTAGCAGCAACCTCCACCGTCAGCTGTGTGAGTGTGTTAGCGAGGTGCAATGATCACTTGGCAGCCCTTTAATTGGTGGAAACCCACCACCAGCGCCGTCGTTGCCCTCTACGAGTACCATCACGTACATTAACATCAGCTGCCCCGCCCATGCTGATGACACTTGGGCTACGCCCATTTCAAACCTTTATAAACAGTTTGCCTTTAGAGGCTATAACCCCCTTTTCCTGATGACGACCGCTTGTGTTGCGATCGAAACGTCGTAGTTTTTGTTAATTGCTTTTAACCTATCTACGTGACTTTACCGAAAGCCCCAAAGAATACGTTCTATCTACTGAAGGAATTAACACACGACTGTTATCACTCACTATACCAATCATTATACGTGAATGTATATTTACTCGAACAATATAAAAATGTTGAAATCAGTCTCCAACTCCGACACATTAAGTATATTACCAAGTCATGAATCTTTAAGGGTCTCCATGCTCTCAAGAGACCTGCACAGAATTATTCTTCATCCGTGGTCCTGATCCAGTGGTGGAAACTATATTCATGTGGCAGGGACCAGTTTATCGTCGAGCCTGAACAGGAGGTGCTCCTTTTACCAAACCCTCACCGGATGACGGTGACGAGGCTGAATTGGTCCTGCTCGAGATTCAAACTCAATCTCTTGTGGTCAGTGGCCTCACCTCTTAATGTGTGCTCACTTAGTAACTGTGTATTTGGGCCCAGAGTCACAGGTCGAGGAAACAGCCGAAACACATTGCTCCATTGGCGGTGACATTCTTTTTCACGCTGTTTCCGAATATTTTGTAAGAATACATTTGCCGGCATGTGGATTGGGCCCATACAGCATGCATCCTGATTTTAATTACAGCAGCCACGTGAAATGGCGCCGCCATGTGCCGCTTGCCTTTTGCAGGGCTCTCGGATGGCGTACTTCCACGCAGAGCTGCGTCTCTGGACGATGAAGAATTCCTTCGCCGTTAAAGGTAATGGAGGAGCAGCACAGCATGACTGGGCCCTGTCGTCTTCAACTGCCAGCTCGGAAAACGGCTGGGTGGTACAAGCAATGTGTCACTGGGACTGCTCTTTGCTACAATACCAGCCAGCCAAGTGCAATCTCTGGCCACGGTTACAAACTCATTTAGCATTTTGCTTGTGAATCTAGTGTGGATCACCAATAGGTGAGCAGCTCAGGGTTAAACTCAAAGTGAAACATTATAGAATGTGAAATGTTTCAATTAGAATGTCGGTTTAATATGTGTGTGTGAGTGGATATGTTTGAGTGTTGGAGTAGCAGTTTAGGGAGTGGTTGTGCAGTGGTTTGTGCATTGTGCTGCAATCCCGGCCACCCAGCCATGGATAAGGTCAACAACAAGTGCCATTCAGACTTGTTCGGACTCCCCCTAGGTCAGCTCATCCTAAATTGATTGCCTTGTCCGATGTGTTTAACATTAGATCTGTGGGGTCAAAGGTGGCCAAATATCCGTGGGGCTTGGCCTCACCTTTCCTTGTATTGCCTGCTGGCTTTAAGCTTACAAACAGCACTTGCCCCAACAGTCTTTTCACACGAGACAATACACCTCTTTGTAAAGTACAGGATGAGCTCCCATTCCATTTTAGCCTCAGTCACCTGATAATTTGCAGGAGTCAGCCATTGTGTGTCAGTCTCTGAGGCAACTTAAATTGTTGACCATGACTGGTCAACAACCTGCTTGTGATCATCTTCATGCCGCCCGGTCCCGGTGGCTCCCGTGCTGAGCTGGGTGAAGGGGGCCCTCTAGGGCCAACTTCCACAACATATTTGTGCGTGTGTGTATGAACTATACATCTCCCAGATTACAGGCATGTGCTTCCATATCTGTCTTCCCTAAACCACCCGCTTGGCCTCAAAGTGCGCAATTTGTTTGTGCAGCTGCCCGTGAAAGGGCTGAGACCATCAGACGCTCGCTGCGCGTAGGAATCTTTCCGGGCGGAGAGGTCCGCACGGACGAGGGTGCTTTTCTCGGCAGTGTGTGTGTGTTACTGTCTGTGTGTGTATATGAATGTGATGAGCGGTGGTGCAACGGTTATCGCTCTGCGCTACGAATCCAAGTTCAACTTTTGCTCGCGGCCACCAACACCAGTGGTGATTATCTGAACCGGTGCTGTTGCCCTAGGTCGACTCAGCCTCAAATGAGTACCTGGTGCAGTGTGTCGCCACTAGGGAGATAAAGACGGCCGGGTATAGTGCTGTCCACCCGACCCCTCGTTTTCGGTTCCGTCCTTCAATGCTCCTAACACCATTTGCCCCAACAGTCTGTGAAGGCTATACAGGGGATCTTTGTCTGTATTAATATATACGCTCTGTACGTTATTCATATTCCCATGGATGTCTGCAAGCCTGGCTTTGCGTTGGCATGACCGGGCGAACCCCCCAGCTGGCTCATTGTCGGTTTTGTTTTGTTGGGGTTTTTCCGTTTTCGATTCCCACAAGGGTGTCCATGTTGCCGGCGCTTTGTTGCACCACCGATTGCCCCGCTCGCATTCCCACGTGCGGTAATTCTCCCGAAATCTATAATTTTAAAAAACGCGGCATTGGACTGCATGGACGCCTGACCACAGCTGCCCGCCATGTAACGTTGAGGTGAACGCCTTGGATTGCAATTTAGATAAACCACTTCAATTTAGCTTGGCGTTTTTTTCTCCTTTCCCCACCTTTTCTCTTGCAAGGTACCGACATCGGCTGTTTCCACTATCACGAGAAGGGCGAGGCAGGTATGCGGATGTCTTTGGGTTTTTTTTAATGTTGTTACCGTGCGGTAACAATTTGTACTTTTTGAAAAGATTTATCAATAAATTGCATGTTTTGTGAAATCCGCGCATCGTTTTGAGCCCTGCACACATGTGGTTTTGCCGTGCAGTTCCCCCGACCAGCGATTTCTTCTATCTGGAGGACAAGCAGCGCTACGCCGAGAGTACGGTGGAATTCCTTCACGTTCCAACACCCACGTTGAGCGGGGGGGGGGAACCACACTCACAAGAGAGAGCCTTTTTGAAACAGTTAACAGATTGTTCGAGAGTGCGTGATAAATCACAAGTTGAGGATTACAATTAAAAAAAACAAATTTCCAACGCACGTAGCTTGCACAATCGGTCTTTTATTTTATGAGCGTCGCAGCGAATGTGCGGCTTTTTTTAATTGGTGTTTTTTTTATTGTTGGTTTATACTCGGAGCTAAGCTGAGCTGTCAGGCAAACTCCTGTGTCACCCAGGTCGCAACTACACGTGGGTTCCCAAGAACAAGCGGCCGGAGAAACTGCGCGAAACTCTCAAGGACCTGGAGGTGCAAACACATTCTCAAAAACCCAGAATGCACTGCGTGGCCACTGTGCCTGGCCTCTCCCCATTGCCTTAATTTTCCACGCAATACGAGCTTCATCGGCAGGGATGATGTCATAGGAAAGCATACAGATAGCTTAAAATAATTTATAAATATTCTTGTTTTGTGCGTGAGTGTTTAACTCCTCTGCTAAAGCCACTTCATAATACTGGAGTACTGGAGTACAAGTCGCACATTGTTTAAACTGTGTGGTTATTATATGGACGTAGCAACATCTATCCTTTGGTCTATGCCACAGCTGCACCACATTTATTAGACCCAGAATGGCCATTGTGTGTGAATATATGCCAAGCTGAACTAGGCACACGTGTGTACGTTTGTGCGTCGTTGCTTCTCTAAGTGGCGTGCGTATGCAGATACATGCACGTTTGCGCGTGTTCGTTGTGTCGGTGTTAGGAGCTGCTGCAAGGCAGCCGCTGCGTGGACACGAGATGGAGGAGCAAGCATTGCTGCCAGGTGAGAGGTCGTGGCCATGGACAAATATAATGCTGGGGATATTTAGTCTCTTTCTCGAGTTATATGTTTTAGGGAACCCTTATGGAAAAATAAAACACCTCTTTGGGGACAACATAAAAAAAAAGTTTTCATAGATTGGTTGGTAGTCTACTTGACATGCTGTCATTCATGGGCAATATATCCTTGCAACAAGATAACTCTTCATGACACCAATGTTAAAGCACAGGATGAAAACAAATTTTGGTCTGAATTTGAGGAGGATGGAGTGGATGGCATTATGGTGCTTGGCACATTCCGCTTTGAATCCTGAGTTTGACTCCTGTTTATGGCTAACAGGAGTACTGTGTTACACCAGAACCCCCATTCACCAATCTGCACTGACCAGCGTGGGGAAGTATGGTCAAAGAACCTCATGACTGACACAACGAGAACATGTCTTCATTTGGCAGTACATTGATGAAGGACTAATTATTTTATTATTATTCTTTGACGTAAGACTTTTGTCCAAACCGTGTATTTTGTAGTGATCAGTGATGGGCTGAGAGCATTAATTCATGAAACTTGTGAGCCCAGTTAATTACTGGATCACAGCGGTGCCATCTTTGCCATATGAATACTGACTGTGGTACGGAATAGTGAAGGTGTGTGCGTCTGTACATCTGCCAGTGAGGTTGCTAAAATATCATGGGAATGTGGAAATTTGCCGATTCGATTAACCGGATTTGAAAAATGTGCACAGCTGGGGGCAGGAGTGCACCCTAGGCAATTGACTGCCCCTCATTGTTGGACGTTGTCATGGGGCGGGGGAGGCCAGAGAATGAGAGGTGGGGATTGGAATGGGTTGGGAGGCCCCGACAAAACAATGGGCTCAATGGGCAGTCGTTGAACGAAGCAATGCATCATAATTCACGGGGGGGGGGGGGGGGGTAACTTTGCATATTCATGGGATTTCATGTCGTGTCATTAAGGCTCATTGTCTGCTAATTTTACGTGGGAGACTGCCTACCTGTGTGCCACTGCTCACATTCCAAACGGGGAGGTGTAATGAAAGGGAATTCATAACAATTGCAGGGGCTCTTTAACACCCATTACTCCCTCCCGTTCAGTTCATTATTTTCCTAATGGTTTTACAAGGGTGTTCGTATTCTTTCCCTTGTTTGGCATTTTCATTCCTTCTCATATAGCTCCTTCTGTTCACCATGCTGTTTGTGCATTCAGATAGCTTGTTCTCCGTTTGCTTTTACTTTGCCCCCACTCAAAGTGCACTGTTGACTAATTAGCTATATCATTCATTATTTATAGCCATGACATACATGTAATCATTTTATTTCTGTTGGTATTTAAATCTGCTGCATAGACTCAGTCTACATATTGCCACCTAAGCTAGATGTTTCTCTTAACGGTGGTTTTTTTTGCCCGCAATTATATCTGTGCTCCGTTTGGCAATGTTGTCGCGTGAATCACATCACACCAACAGAGGTGGCCGTGTGGCTTAAAGATCGGAGCGCTAAGCTGACACCGCTGAGATCCTGGGTTGGAAAATCCAGGCAGCCAACCTGTAACCAGACTGGGTTCTCAAGTGTAGCAAGTTGATTGGCCCAACTTGATCACCAATGACTGCAAATATTAAATCATCCCACGAAATATGATTCTGTACTACATTTTCCTAAATTCCTCCGATGAGAACTAAACCTCGGTTCCACCGTCCATGCGAAGAACATCGCTCCCGGTGACAGTGGAGGGGACAGTGGTACCCTGTACTGTGTGGACCAGGCGTCACTTTAAGCAAACAATGGTGCAGGAGGGTCCCGTGGTCGTGTGAGGCACCACCTGGCTGGCACAGCCCAGCACTGACTCGGGCACCGGCCACTTGGGTTGCTGATGCTGCGCACAATCGATTGTTGTGGAGGTGGCGACAACCCCCCCCCCCGCCCGTCGCTCCCCGTCAGTGGTAACGGTGCCGGTGGCCGTGCTGAAGATGGTTCGTGAAGTCCGCTTGTCCCGCAGATGCTCATGAGCTCGGGCATGCTGGTGACGCTGTTCCTGGTCGGTGCCGACCTCGACCGGGTTGTGATTGACAAGGCCCTGGTGGGCCGCTTGCCGGCCGACACCATCTGGAACGGTACCACTCAGATCGGCAGCCATGTAACGACGCGTCGATTCATCCAGTTATAAGAAATTAGTGTTAAAAAGTTGATCTTGAATTAAATTGTGGGAAACATTTAATCGTTGAGGTAGGGGGTGGGGATTTGCTACGTGAAAAAATTTGTAGATTTCTTTTAAAGTAGTGAAAATGGTGGGCAACACAAAGTAGTGGATAAAACAAGTTGAGAGTGGAGATTCATCTCATTTGCCTTTAAATTACCCTTGGGGCTACTCTAGACTGACACGGTTGAAATGAGCGCAGCAGTGGTGTCACCCTTAGTGACGGGCAACCAGGCCTTCTTTCCCCAGCTCCCTCCCGTGAACTTTTTCAGCCTTAGTAGATGCGTGCTTTTAGCACTTGCCCTGAAACATGCCCAGACCATAGATATACAATAGCATTAGAAAGACCCTTTTGCATAATATTTCATAGTGCAGCTGGTACGTTTCTCAGTTGGCTCAAATGTTGATGAAGCATTTGCCAGTCAAAATATTGACCCTTTTTAGGTTTTTTTACTTGCTCAGCAGAACTAAAAGTTTTCACCTTTGCATAGTGGCTGATGCGGTGAGACAATAGCACGCGGGCATGCACGTGTGTCGGTCCGCGCGTGTAGGCGTGCTGATGGATGCCTTCCTGCTGGCGACCTTCGTGGAGAAGGCCCGCCTGTCGTACGTGTCGCTTGGAGCAGCCGACCGCGACCGCAAGCAGGACAAGATCTCCACCGCCGACATCAAGGTGAGCGTGGCTGCATTACTACGATGACGGCAGCGGTGGCAGCGGCGGCGGCTCGGCGATAACAGCAGATACGGGGAGGGACTGGGTTTTGGTGGACAGAGCAGCCACTAGAGGAGATTGGATAGGTGCAGCAGACCTTATTAACAGCTGGATTTATATGGCAGATAATAGAAGGAGCTATGTGGACGCACTGGGAACCAGCAATAGCTGGGTGGTTACAGCAGGAATTGGGGACCAGATGGGTACATTATCATCATCATCATCATCAGCCATTCTCCTTCCACTGCTAGATTTAGCCTTCCACATCCCAGCACCACCACTCACCATCCTCCGATTTAAAAATCCATTTCAACCCAGCGCATGGAATAATCCCATTGCTGCATGGCCACGGTGGTCATGCGAAATCGTAATTGCTGGATTTCATATGAATATGTTTTAGGAAGAAGTGGCAAATATGGACTTAAAAGTTATATTTTATATCCTCTTGTTCTAACAAAAGAGTGTGTTTACTTTTTTGCGCATTTCTTTTAAGTGCTTCAAATATTGCCTTTCATCCGTGCACAGTCAAGAATCAAATTTGTATGCAAGTAAAATTATTTTTAATATTTACGAATACAGAAAAATATTACGTGAACAGACAAGAACAACTTTTAAGAGTTTTTTCTTTTGTCAGAAAAGATTCACACACTAAATTTCCACTCTGAGAAAGTGGTGGCACGCCCCCAAGAAGTGACATGTATCCATTTCGAGACGATGGCCGCAGCCCTATGGGGTGTGCCTTCTGATTCCCCAGGCCACACAAAAGGGGGGTTAATAGCCACAGCCCCGGTGGTATCGCGTCTCCAGCGAGCCACGCGCCACCCAGCTCGGCAAAGCGTCGCACTCCAAATTGAGGTTTTGTGTCGCGGTGAAGGGGGGGGGGTGTCCCAACACGCGCGTTTGATGCTTTTGTGTCTGTAAACAGAAACGGGGGAGCACTCTTCCATCACGGAGCGGATGTGTTACGACATTTCTTCCCTTACAAAATCAATTTTCTGCCTCTCTGTCACATGTCGTGGCCGCGGTCTGATGTGTCAAAACGCAATTCCGAACTCAATTACGAAAATTTCCTTCTGAATTTCGCTCGATTTCATGCCTTTTTTTCCTCTCTCTCTCTCCCACTCTCTTCTAATCCTAAAGAGCCGATTCTTTCCCAGTTTACCCAACACCCTCCCCTACCCAACCCACCTCTATCCCCATCAGCGCAGCTACTCCCATCTTCCCACCTTCTGTGTGCCGGGACGTGATCATAAGCGGTCGGTGTGGAAGGCGTCTCGGGCTTGGCTGCTCGTGCGCTGGAAGAGCACTTTAAATCGGCCGGCCATCGCATTTCACGCTTCTAAATGGTCCCTTTGGTGGTGCGGCTCTCCTAAGGCGCGTGTAAATCCCGCGGGGACAGGCGGCTGCCACTTGGGTTTATTGATAGCGGCAACACGGCCAGAGCCGCCAAATTACTTTGAACGGCGATAAAAATATATATTAGTAAAGGAAGCGGGAGAGGAAGAGGATGATTGAGAAAGAGAGACGAGGTGAATGGATGGAGAATGAGCAGAGGGAGCAACAGAGGGAGGATATTAAAACAGCAAGAGAGCCAGAGAAGAGAGTAAAAGGAGGTGAGGAAGGCTGGCAAGAGTCAGAGAGAAAGAGAGAGGCGGGATGGAGCGAAGATGCTTAGTAGATTGAGATATGAAGATAGGGAGAAATAAAAAGATCGAGAGAGAAGAGAAAGAGGGCAAGGAGGGAGAATGATAGCGGGAGGCAAAAAAATCCGAGTGCTTGATGTTTAAACGGTACCGTAACAGAAGCATAAAATAAGGCTGTGATCACAAGTCACTGTTGCCTTTATTTTCCACTTTTTAATATGGGGTCACGACGGGGGGGGGGGGGGGCTCTTGATTTTTTTATTTTGCCATCCGTTAAGCAAAAAGCACTGCTACACCCGACGTTGAGCACGGCTGCAGTAACGGCGGCCACAGCAGCAGCAGCGACGTCCCCCCCCCTTATTGGGCCCTCTTTCCACTAAAAGTTTGGAGCCCCCCCGTGGGCCTCTCGGCCGCCGTGAAATTGGCGCCGCGGAAAGGGTTAAAACGATCGTCTAATCCGCTGACAGCGCGCTGATTGCACGTGGCGACAGTGACGGCACAGTGCCGCAGGAGAGATTCGCAACGCCACTCACTCTCGCCTAAGACTCCTGCGATGGCCGTGGATGCCGCTCGTTTGCATGGCCTTTGGAAATTGCCATAAATATACACGGACCGCGACGTGTGGTGTGCGCAAGCGCTTTATGTCGCAGGGCCTTTCGTACGGGAGTATCTTGGTGAAATGTCTGAGCGCGGAACTGGACGTGTTCTGGTTTTATATTTATAGCAGTTGCTGGGGTGGAATAAAAAAAAAATGGAGCACGGCCGCTGAATCATTTCTACTTTGTCACAGTGGTTGTTGCTGTTAATTAATTACCGCTAATTTATTTGGGGGTGGGGGGCGGGCGGGGGTGGAGGGGAGTAGTGGCGCAGAGATTTGCAGGGTTTAGTACACTCTGCCGTGAACCTGTCGACCTGTGTTCGATTGCCGGCCACGGCTAATATCAGTTGCGTGTGAGATCTGAACTGTTCCTAGGTTTCTCCTTCACCAACCCACACTAACCAGTGGGGTGATGTATGTTCAATAAATCATGAGAAGGCCTATCTCCAGTAGTGGATTGACAGAGGGTTGCACTTGTTTGTTATTTATTTAGTGGGGTAGGTGTGGGTAGGGTGGAGTGAAGCTGTACCACTGCAGTACTTTGCCAACGAGAAATTAATGTATTGCTTGCACCAGTTATAAAGTGTATGTGAAAGACCATTCACATGTGTGGGCCATTGTAATTAAACTGGGTTCTCAATTGTATTGAGATCAATGTCTCAGCCTGGTCACCAATGATTGCAACAAAACCCTGTATATTACATTTACTTCTGCACTTAATTATCCTAAATTGCAGCTCTGAGAATTAAATATTGCAATCTGTAACACAGGGCATTTTACTGCTCTGTGAGAGATCGAAATGGATTCTCCTGATAGCAAATTTGCTTAAAGTTGAGGGAAAGGCAAAAATTTGATTTTACATCTCGAGGATGCCAGATGGTCATCCAACTTGAGTTGCGTGCGCTGTGTAACACAATCAATGCGGAAGGCACAGGCGAAATATAACCGCTAAGGTCTAATAAATAATAATTAGTGAGTGTTTCAGAGGTTACCTCTGTTTATTTAACAACATTATATTTGGATTTAGTCAATGTCAAAATCAGCTGCAGCCAGTTCAATGGCATTGTCAAAAAAGTAGTTGTGCTTCAAACATGGGATTTGTACAGGATATATTTAAACTACAAGTACTTAACCCATGCTTCCCATGCAGTCAGAGCCAGGTCAAATATTTTCCTGCTCATAAGAGCATATGGGAGTGCTCATCCACATTGGTAGCCCTAAACCACGGTGGAAATTCTCCATTCCAACAATGAAAACCAGTCAACATCTACAGCCAATTTACATGAAGGCCTCCTCCGCACCGTGTCGGTCATGGGCGTTGTTTGACCATGCTTATGTTGTAATTACACTCATGGGGTAAACACAATTACATAAGCGGGAAAAACTTATGATGAAAATTAGATAAAAATGTATGAAATCGAGTTATGACACCGATTTGTATTAATCGCATCCTACAAGGATAAATCTTATACGTGCTTGCGCTGCGTCTGTGGCCGTCTGGAATGCTCTTCCATCTGATATTAGAAAGCCACTGGAGCTATGCACTTTTAAATCTATATTTAAAACTAATTTCTTTAGATCTGCTTTTTGTGTTTAGTTTGTTGTCCTTCCCCCGCACCCCCGATTAGCGTGGTTGGCTACTTACAGTGTGAAAGAAATTCAACATACCTCCACACTGGTGGCAAATTTCAGTCGCTCAGTCTCCCCCTCTGCCAATGTCCGCCCCTTTCCTTCCCGTGCATATGGAAGGTGTCGTCCGTGGACCTGCCAGCCTTTGCTCTCGGCGCTGCTGCCGCCCCCCCGGGTGGGCCCTCGCGGCGCGTGGAGTGGCACGTGTGCGTCAACGCGGCACAGGACCTGGCGGCGTGCTGGTGGGCTGGAGGTGGCGGCGGCGGTGGCGCTGGGCCCGGCGTCCAGGGAGCGTGCCCCTGGTCGCCCGTCGCCACCGACTGGGACCGCGCCAATCTCCTGCTGCTGTGCTGTGCCGCGGGACGTCTAGAGGTGCGTCTGCCGCAGAGGCGGTGCCAGGGGCGGCACGAGTGGAAATTTTCATTATTTTTTTTGGACCAAATTAGGGTGTTGGTGTCGTGGCCGTGATACAAATTGTCTATTCACAGAGCAGTACATCACCCAGTTTGTGTTAGAGAACAGTTTGTGGAAGTTGATGTCGTGGAATTATTCCCGAGATCCCTTAAAGTAAGCACTGTACTTGCCCGCGTGCCCAATTGTAGAGATTTTCTTTGCATGGAAATGGAAGCAAAATTGTATTTGAGCTAAAACCGTCAAGTTTTATATTTGAAAGCCCAGTCTAATCTTGGGTTAAGGCCTGGATTCGAACCCAAATCCCATTTTTTACCTTCATGTAAGATTTGCAGCGTCCACCTTGAGGATTTCTTATTTCCACTGGTCTTGTGCTATTCTACCCACTGCTACCAAATGAATTTTTAAATGTTCATTAATATTGACTTCCTTTTTACGTCCGGCCTGACTCATTCTGCCTCTCATAAAGTGCACAAGGTGCTTCAACCTTCATCTGCGTGTACGTCCTGCAACAACCGCTTTCACCTTTGCAAATCTCCCCAAGACTCGTCACAAAATCATTCACCCTTCCGACCAAATTTTGGGTCACAATTATATTTAATTATAAATAGTTTTTGTTTTATTGGCACCGTCTGATTAATACTGTCTAGTGAGTGTGTAGTTTCTCGTCTGAACCTGTCCAATTCTTTTTCCGACCACTGGTCCAAAGAAATACGTCGCATACAATCTCCATCAGTCAAGAGTGATCAATTTACTACATGCACGATTTAGTACATTTATTGTAAGCTTTACAAATTATTTTGATCAATGAATCCGTGAATAATTGCTAATACCGACTCATTTGCCCTTGTAGCCAACCAGGGAATACAGAGCATGTACCTGTAGCAGTGTCTCACCTGCTTCAAAGCCTACCATTGCACAACTGCCACTTTCTTGTGTCACGATTCGTGTCGCTCACAACACCTGCTACGCATTTCGCCGCCGTTTTTTACACTGCTTGCCATCTTTTACGACTCTACGGTCTTTCTAATCGCACCGAGCTGAAAATTCCTGCCAAAATCAATGGCACTTGCCAGTTGATTTAATTTAGCTCGGGAGTTTTTGAGTCGATCGATGTGTGGGGTGGTGGGTAAGTAATTCGAGGAAAAACAAACTCGCAACGCAGGATACATTAAAGTTGTGCATCAGCGATCGCGGCAGAGACTTGCTTTTGGGCCTTGTCTTCAGACCACAAATCGTGTTGCTTTCACATGTGACGCATTAACCCCCCCCCCCCGCCGCAAAAAAACTTTGCTTTAGCTTGGCAGTGACATCCAAGTTATCCCAGAAAACCACTCTGTCTCGGCATAACATTGCCCAGTACATCCAGCATCGGCAACATCGGCAACATCGGCGTACCGATGTGCACTTTGCCATGACGACGATGGGTCACGTGGCCGCGGTGCACGCCTGCAGTTGGAGTGCATCACGGGTGCCAGCGCATGGCACGGACTTTGAGGTTATGGCAGAACTGCGATAAGTGACAGCGAAGTTGTGCTCAATCCCAAGTAGTTAAGTTAATTTGAAAGACTTTGACTTGATCGCCTTTCAGCTGACGAGCTTCGTCAGCCGGCAAAATTCCTCCGCCCCGGTGGCTTTCATGCCACCGCGACATTAATTGGACTGTCAGCTGAGCTTGCGCAAGCCCACCGCTCGCCTTTCATGACACGCTCAAGGCCTTCGTGTGCTGCACTAAAAGTTAAAAACTGCGGAGGGTCTTTTTTCTAGAAAATAAAAAAACACCAAAAGTTTTAAACTCTGAAGGCACAAGGAGGAGAAACCTTCTCAGCGTGCGGACGTGAAATGCTCGCCTAACGAACTTGGCGCTTAACAATTTTGCCGTCGTGTTTTGCTTTCTCCCCTTCACCGCTGACTGCGAGCGTCAAAAGCGTTTCGTGTAATCAATGCTTGTCGTGGTGCGATTTTAAACGTGAAGCCTCAATTTCAGCTTCACTCACATGGATGGAGTCCATTGAAACATGGCTCTTGAGGCCAATAGCAACCAACGTTGGATCAGTATGAAAGGGAAACTGTTTACGTGCACCCAGCATTGTGTCCCTTAATAAACCGCGTTCAACAAAGGGTGACCAAAAGCGTTAACTAAAGCGCACCGTGTGGCACTGTCAAAAATCCCAAACTTAGCTCCAGCCAGGAGTAGGGGGAAGGATTCCAGAGTTATTTTCCGTGTGGCATTAATAGGTATTAAACATTAGGGTATAATCCCCCTTAATAAAAGCTCGTCCCGTGGAGGCACCCATGAATTACACCCCCGTCGGCCGGGTATTAATGCTGCTAATCTGTCCCACGAGGCACATTTAGCAGAGCTTCTGCTCTTAATGGCATTTGGGTTAAGTGCATCGCTGTAGGTCTAGAATGGAGATGTGAAAATATATATATTTATATCAATCAATTAATAGCAGCCCCTTTGTGGCAAGCGACTTAAATTTTAGTCCTGTAGTTTTGGCGGCGGTGCGCCAGTCTAATTCCACACTCAACGTCAATTTGTCATCCAGCACTGCGTCTGCTTAATTAACACGAGAGTGCCCGGAGGAGGAGCTGAAGAAATGCTTGCCGGTTATGCCAGCCACTGTTAGAGAGGCTTTCACTTAGCAGCAGAGATTTGTGGCACGGCACAACCCGGGCATGCAGGGTGACGGAGAGAGGTGAGGGGAGCGAAGGGGGGGGCGAGCAGTGAAGACTTGACGGTGGGGGGTGCTTAGTTTTTTAATCAGCCCGGCACTACCTCAGGAGGGAGGGGGCGGCCTTTTCCTCTCCAAACAAAGTCTCCGTCTCCCATAACCCCACCGTGCTCTTCTCACCACCCCTCACCTTGCGCCCTTACCGACCGCTGTGACGGAGCCCCTGGGCATCCCTCCTGGCTCTTGGAAAATGTCATGAGAGGGGCCTATTTGTGAGGGTGGTGGTGACGATGGTGGTGGCAGTAGCGGTAGTGGGCTCTGAGTGTAGAGAGATGGGGAGTCGGGAGTGCGAAGTGAATTAGGGTCCCGGGCGAGAGCGTATCATTCCAGGAACATTCGGCGGCTTAAGTCTATCGAGAAAATGAGCTCTGTGGCCCAATACCTCAATGGTTAACGTTGAACTTAGGTCGCAAAGCGACGTGACGGATATGCATTGTATGCTGATATATACACACACCAGACCCTGCCTGTGACATTTCATGGGGTAGTCTCCTGTGGACACCCAAGATTCCACATGACCCACGGAAAAACTGCGAATCCAAATTTTGTATTAAGCCTTCACATTGCCATGCAACTATCCGCAATCAATTCACGTGATGGGGAATGCGTCTCGTCATGTGACCATGCAAGCACAGCGATGGACAGACAGGTAGACGAACACACGGGCGACTCAAGAAGACACATATAGCGGTGATGGCTGTGGTGCCGATGTCATTGTTGCTGGTGACGACGGCCCCAGGTGCTGAGCTGGGTGTGCACGGACGGGGAGCCCCTGGACGTGCGGTTTAGCTCGGGGCAACCGTACCAGCTGTGCACGGTGGAGCGGCCGTGGGGCAGCGCCACGGGGAGCGCCACGGCCGACGCGTGCCTCTACGAGTGCACGACCGCGCGACTCGGTACAGGTACTCGCCGCAGATGATCCGCCCCGCTCCACAACCGCCACCGCCAGTGGCGTAGCTCGATTGGCATGGGCCCTGGTGCAACTGCCAATGCAGATATACAGACGTTCAGGATGTTAGTTGCTTCGCAGTGATCGTGCCTTTGATCCCGTGTTGCCACCCCGTGCCCACCGTCAGTGGGCGGAAGTGGCGGCTCGTGGCTGCAGCGCGTGTGCGTCACCACCGTGCCCTTGCCGGCGCCCGCCATCTCCTGCAGCTGGGGCCCCGGGGGTCAGCACCGCCTGCTGCTGGGCTGCGCCGACTCGCAGGTGTGGCGCGAGGCAGGCCGGAATGACGCGTTGCGCACGCCGGTGCGCACGGTGGTTCTCGCAAAATGCGTGGACAAGCACAAACGTGCGGCGATACTTGAACGCGCGGCCAGGTTGTTCCTAAGCAAGGCGTGGTCATAAGCGCGTGCGCTCCTGCAGTTATAAAAACGCAGCAGCAGGAGTTGCACGCTTTGGGAGACAAATTAAAGGAGTAGGGTGAACTTAAACGGAGTAGGAGCCAACCCACCACAGGTGTCAGCGTAAGAACACTTGTCAGCCACTCGGATTATGTCAGGAAGCTCATGTCAGAGCACCAAGCCAGCGCTACTGAGATTACAATTGAAATCCTGAATTAAGAATAATTTAAGTAAATGTCCGTGACAGTGCGGAAGGACTATGGCACATTTAATCCTTGATTGGTTAAAAACTATCCCAGGGAAACTCCTCATATCTTCAAATTCTGTTATCCACACTGCAGTCTCCCACATCGTCAAGAAATGGGGGAGGTCGACGTTTACTATCATTGCTGCAACTTGGCAACAAATACAATAAATGCATTATTTAAGCAGTTATAACGTCATTATGAACACATCCACACACAAGAACATCACTGCGGTGGTGGTGCCAGACTAGGTGCACGTCAGCCCACGTGGTGGGGCTGCACTATGGTCGCCCACCAAGCGCGTTTACACAAAAACATTGTTGCGAGTGCAATGCCCACCGTCGAATTAAGCTGTCCCGGTGCTGTCCTAACCGCCCTGGGTCGTGCCGCCCTGGGTCGTGCCGCCGGCCCGCACAGGTGGTGCTGTACGACGCCAGCTGCCAGCTGAGCCTGGTGGCACAGGCAGAGGTGCGGCCGGAGATGGTGGCCTGGCACCCGGCGGGCGGCGTGGTGGCGGTGGCGAGCTGCGAGCCGGCGCGCGTGCAGTGCCTGGACGCGGCGCTCACCCCGCTGAGCGCGCAGGCCGCGGCCGAGGAGCCCGCGCCAGTCGTCGCCATCGACGTGAGTCCCGGGTCGCTTGCTCGCTCCCTCGCTCGTTCATTCACAGACAAACAAGGGCATCCCAGACCGTACAACATATAAAAATGCAATTCCCGATCCACAAATATGAAGGAGACATCACAGCGATACACTCCGCTGCTCCTGACGCGGTTATGCGGCTTGACCACCTTAATGTGAAATTGTAGTTTTTGCTCTGCATCTACATCATCCTCCGTATGAAAGATGAAGATTTAGCCTCAAGCTGACATTAAATGGTGAATGTTGTGGCAATGTTGCTCGAACGGTGGCATTGTCCGTATTGCCTGCAACGTTAGGGAGGTAAAAGGTGGACACGGCACTGCAACGCATTTATGGCAAAGAAACACACCCTTCCCTGTTTATGGTTGTGAAATAAATAAAGTTAAATGAATTACAGCCATTCTCAATCTACGAATGTATGAAGTCCACTCCACGCCATACCAGTCATGGAGGTTTATTGACCATAATGCGCCTCGTGGGTCAATGGTGGGTTGGTGATGACGAGAGAGTGCAGGACCGGTTCCTGTATCGCGCGCCACTGATATTATCCATGGATTAATTAATACATAATACAATTATAATTGTGTATTTTTATTTCTTTATTATTGTTATGCACAAATCACAATGACAGCACGGCGCTCGTTTCGGAAGTTGACTTGCGCTGCTCGTGGAGGTTGTTGGTGACAAATGTTGGGGCCCACACACGCCCCATGCCCCCCCCCACACCCCCCGCATGCTCTCACACAGTTGGATAAATGTCATAAAATACTTAATCCGCCAGGTGCGGCCGCCACTTGGATCGGTACTCTCAGGGCGACGAAAAGAGATACGCAGAGGCCTTTGGGCTCTGCGGGGCGATGCGGCAAAAGACACCGTGGTCGTTCCAATTGGCACATCCGCCGAGCGTTGGCCGCACAGTTCACAAATATCCCATCGGTCGTTACCAAAGTAACGACCCCAGTGCAGAGTTGTAAACATCAGCACTGGGGAGGCAAAGGAGTCTGGCGTGGTATTGGCCACACCACCCCCTCGTGAGCTACAATAACCACAGCAGATGCTCACTAACTGCCCTCGCTCATATAGTCTTTACGGCTAAACGGGAGGTGGTCTGTGTGTGTCTTTGTATTTACGCGTGTGTGTGTGTGCATCAGCTGTCTCAGTGGGTGCGCTCGCAAGGTGGGCTAGCCCGCCTCGAGTGGGCTGCGGCCGCCCTGTCGGCCCACGCTCCCGGCCGCCCCGAGCCAGCCGACTCGCTGTTCGTGCTGTTCTGCGCCGGCCCGCTGGGCGTCCTCGACTTCAAACCAGGTAGACAGGCGGGGCGCGGCACTTAATATTTAATGCAAGGGCAGAGCAGGGAGAGTGCGGGGCGGAGGGGAATGGAATTACGACAGTGAACCTGTATGGTGGTGCGACGCCCGTGTTCCAAAATATTTCGGAGCGCGACTTTATGGGACAACCCCATGGTACCGTGCGAGCCCAGTAGGGCGGTTGAGTGTACGATAGCTCAGAACTATCCACCAGCGCTAAAACGATGAGAACTGTGAACTAATATTGTACGGCAGTAAGGCGACTTGCCAACTTGCTCACTGGTTTTATCCTTACTTGGTATCTTGAGTGCAATATAGAACTGTCACTATATTATTGGAGATCATCAGTGGAACAAAACCCATAAAATGTAAAACACAATAATGTACAAGTGAAGACACACATTGTGCTTGTGAGCATGATTCCTTCCACTCTTTTGAGCTCTAACCCACTCACTCACCGAGAGATTCAATACAACTGTGCCTGCGAGTGGCTTAAAGGAAACGACCGTTTTAAATCCATGTGTGCGTGGTATTAATGTGCATCACGCCATGAAGTTCACGATTCCAGGTTCCCAGGCCACAACAAACAGACCACAGCGCACAGGCCACGCCGCCACTAAGAGACGAGCAGATCACGACTTTAATTGGAAACGATCCCTTTTAATTGTACGATGCTGCTTTTTTGTATCCTTCAGTTTTTTCAGTCACTCCGGCGCCCCCTTTCCTTCCACTCTCCAACTCTCCCATTCTCCCCTCTCCTGCATTTCCTTGAAGGTATTGAGCAGTTCCAAGGCAATTAGCCTTGCCCTTAGAAATCTGCGGAAGCAAATACTACGATTCGAATAACATTTGATAAGGGGGATCTCGGTATCATCCTGTGCTCTATTTCAACTTACTAGTCTTTTGCCCGTCCAAGGACGGGTGTATTGCAGTAAATGTGAAACTTGCAAGCGGAAAGCAGACCGCGACGTGATATATTCATCGCATCAATGTGCGTACATTTTGTAAGGGCGCGGTGACACAGACTTGTTTCATTTTAAGGTTATAATCCCTTGTTCATCACGACGTCCTTTTTACTTTCATGTCTCAACAGCGTTACGGAGATCGCGTGACGTGAGGGTTCTGCCTTTGTAGTGAGGGTTGTAAGTTGACGCCAAGAAGAGGGGAGGAGGCGCCTCGCCCCCCTATGTGGAGTGACGTCACCCGCTAATTATTATGAATGGGGGGGGGGGTCCATGTGGAGGACGTCACCTGCTTATGATTATTAATTAGGGGGCTGGTCGACGTGGAGTGACGTCACGAGCGTTGCACACAGACATTCTTGGTTCATTATAGTCGGTAATAATGGGGGGGGTGTCCATTTCGAGGACGTCACCTGCATATGATTATTAATGAGGGGGGCTATTCGATGTGGAGTGACGTCACTTGCACATGATTATTAGTGAGGGGGTGGGGGGAGTACTCCATATTGAGTGACGTCACCCGCCCATGATTATTAATGAGGAGGGGTGGGGGGGTGTCCATTTGGAGGATGTCACCTGCTCATGAATATTAATGATGGGAGCTGGTCAGTGTGGAGTGACGTCACGAGCGTTATGGACAGACATTCCTGGGTGATTATAGTAGGTATACCGTACATATAGCAGTCAATGTTGCGATGCTAATGAGTCCGACTCATTAGCATCGCGATGGCGCTGGTGAGCTGTGGCCCCGTGTTGCCATGAACGTGCCACTCGGCGCGGTTACACGTCTTTATTTAGCGCAAGAGACTCGTGCGGTGATGTGCACCGTGCGATCGTGTCGTCCCATCGGTTGGCACGGGCGGCTTCAGGGGCTGCGCCGAAAAACCCGCTCTTCATTTCCCCCGCACCCCTGAGTCGACATTGAACCCCGCTGCGTGCAACGTATATTCCAGTGTTATTATTTCCTCCCCGTGCCTTTGAAGTTTAACGATCCGCGATAACGCACACGCAAAGGGGAGAGAAGCGAAGGGGTAGGAATGGTTTCATGCCGAAGGCAGATGGCGATTCCGCAGATTTCTAGTGACCCTGGCAATTAGCCCAATCCCAGCACGTGCTGACAGGACGAGAGCCCGCCGTGCCACCGGCCGCCCTAATTGGGGTGGGTGTCTCGCCTTTGTGCTCTGCCCCTTTTGGAGGAGGCCACCCGTTAAATGAGCAGCGGGGCGAGGAATCTTAATTGTGCGACTCTCGGAGGGGGCCCGGAATAAGACGCACCGCGCCCCGCCACCCAGGCACCGTGGGGGGGTGGGGGGGTGGCCATCCACTCTCTTGAGTGCGGGGGGGGGGGTGCCCACGACTTCTCGTGATCGCTTTGTGCCGGCGCTCGCTTTTGTCCGTTTTTGAAGAGCGCATTGCGAAAAGGGCCCCCGCGCGTGCGCTCGCTTCGCACGCAGGGTTTACGCAAGTCGCGCTGCGCGCCCCCCCCTCGCTCCCCCACGCCACCCCCCCCCTCCGGCTCGTTTGATCGCGTTGTGATTGACGGTGGAGCTCCGTGCCGTTTTGTCCGACGTTTTAACAAGAGGGGACGGGGGAGGGGGCGCATGAAGTGCGCCGCCCTGCAATGCGCCCGCAGTCTCGCCGAGCTTTTGTCGGGCTGCCGCACTCCAGAGGCTCGCTCTGCGCATTCCCCTGAACTTTAACCCTAATGAACTCGCCACTGCCCGGTGCCTGCCCCCACGCCCTCTATCCCTTTCGGCGCGCTACCCTGTTCATCGCTTACTCGTTCTCTACGTTTTAGGGAACCTCTTCCCCCGCCCCGATCTCGCTTTCAGCGTCGCGTCCTCCCACGCGTCCCCCCCCCCCAACCGGCCCTCGCCGCCACCATCCCTTCCTCCTCACCCGACTAAGTGCCGCCACCCCCTCTCGCTCCCGCCGTCGCCGCGGCCTTCCCTCTGCGCGTCGCCAGGCGTGCTGAGCGGCGGGCGGCTGGGCGCCGCGGAGCTGCTGCACGAGCACCTGCGTCGGGGCCGCGCCGGCGCCGCCGTGGGCCTGCTCGCCAGCCTCAGCTGGGACTCGCACGGGCCCGAGTGCCTCGCAGGCCTCACCGCCGTCGCGGACCGCCTCCTGCGGCAGCCGCTCACCCCCGACACGGAAGGTGGGCGGCGCCTACGGCGCGATGGGTTCGCACGTCGTCGCACTCCCCCGTGCTCACGTCGCAAACGATTTTCACCGTTTGGTGTGTCACACACGCAAGGGCGATCACTCACCTTTTGTACTTTGACTCACCAGTTGATCAAGAAAACATTTCATTTCAGCAAAATAATATAATTTAATGCCAGTCAATCGTGTTTTTCACTGTCAAATCATGACGATTTCAGAGTGGCCCTACACCTGGGATGTTTGCACAATTTCAAACATTTCCGGCCAATGCAGTGGTTAACGCGCTGTGCTATGAACCTGGCAACCTTGATTTCTATTCCTGCTCACGGCCAACATCAATGACAATTATCTGAACCGGTCCTAGGTCTCCTCTACGTCCACCCAGCCTCAAATGAGTACCTGGTGCGGTGTATAAACATCCCCTCGTGTGCCGTGTCGGCCTTCATAGCTCCTACTCGCTAACAGCGCTTGCCCCGACAGTCTGTTTGAACGATACGCGAGATCTTTGTCTTTGTTCCGTGTCAGCCCTGCTGGAGTCGGCACTCGCCACGTTCTACGCCCCACGGCGCGCTGTGGCCGACTCGACGGTGCTGGCGTACCGCGACGCGCTCTGCCACTACGCACGCCGCTTCTTCCACCACCTGCTCAGGTGACGACGCCTTCCGGTGAAGTTCGCCACCAAACCATTCGCCACGGGGACGCCTCGCGATGGAGCTCCCCCGTCACCCGCGAGTCACCGAGTCACAGTTACGGAACGAGCGGCGCTTATGGAGCAACGGCGATTGTGTGCCGAGCGATTTGCGAGTGACCGGCCGTGTGTCTGCTGCAGGTACCAGCAGTTTGAGAAGGCCTTCCTGCTCGCCATCGACATCGGCGCGCGGGACCTGTTCATGGTGAGGGTGGTGCGAGGAGGCTGGGCGGCTCAACGGCGGTGGGGGGTGTCCATTTTGGGGGCACCGAGCCGGCGTCGCCGTGACGATACCGCCGGGTTCATTTCTCATGTTCCGTTTTGAATGTAAAATAATTTTCTCGTGCGATGAGTTTGACGATTTCAACCTGGGGCATCAGTGGAGCCATGAAAAATAATGCTCAAATCCTTGTTCGTGGTTTGTAATGGTAATAACATCGAGATTTCAAGCCTGCTTAGCACAGGCTTGAAAACCTATAGTTAAAAGTAGCCAGCGATAGATAGCACTGCTTGCAGTAGGGCAGATACAAACTCACGCATTGAAAAAAATTCAGCAACGTCACACGAATGTGGAAAAAGGGACGGAAAGGAGTTCTATAGTCGGGGAGCACAAAGGAGGAGATCTGTTCCATCCTGAAACTTGTTCGTTGAGTCCAGGAAATTCATCTCAATCTCCTCCGCAAGTCGTGAGCTCTCGCTAAGGTTGGGTAGGATCGCACATTCCGGCGACACGTTGGGGAAGCACGTCAGTGCGTCCCGCTTACATGGGGTCACGCTGTTGACTTTCTGGATTTCTAGTGGGCTTCCCTGACTTCTAACCCTCAACCGCAAATGCGCGCCGTCCACTTAACGGTGGACGTTAAAGGTACCGTGACGTCGGTCACAGGACCGGGCCGTTGTGTGCCGGCGGCATGGTCCAAATGTCAAACATTTCCTGCAAATTATTCTATTGAAATGCACATGAATCATCGCTTGCTACTGCGATAAGCGTGAGGCTTCCCTGAGTAAACAAGCGTAATGCTAAATTTAACTCTTAACTCCTAAACACGTACCCTGCACCGTATTCCTTACCCCAAAACGATGCATTATCCCGTAACTCTGTAGGCCCGACTACCTCCCCTCCGTCCCAACAGTCCGAGGCATTAACCCGGTCGCTTGCGCCGCCCCGTCCCCCAGGACATCCACTTTGCAGCGGCGGCGCGGGGCGAGCTCGCGCTGGCGGCGGTGGCGAGGAGGAAGGCGGACGAGGTGGACGCAGACAGCATCACTGCCGGCGTCGGTTAGTCCACCCGCACGACCGCCCCCACGCACCTCCCCACGCTGCACCTGCTAGCGCCACGCAGCCAAGGTGCAGGATCGCCCACGTAGCTCGTTCTGTGCCTGACACGCGGACAACGAACGAATCGTGATGTCACGACGATGTCATGGAGCGCTTCATTTGGGGCGGGCATTATAAAAAAGTGGAAATTCGATTTGAGCCTTTCAGGCAGCTTATAAAACAGCACATGTTTGTAAATAACAGCTTCGATTGAAGGTTATAGATACTGCTTCCATAAACAGGGTTTACATAAAAATGATGGATATTCATACCATCAATCCATGATTTACGGACCTTGTGCATATCTGAGTAGAGGACTTGAGTAGAGTACTTGAGTGCCATGCGGGCCTAAGTCGGAGGTTCCCAGCCAGCGGCGGTCTCGGCATCGACCACCACTGGCTGGGTGCGAGTGAAGGTCCTGCCCCTTACTCTGTGGACCAGAGGTGACTTGAAGGGATTTCAGAGGTAACTCTGTGATTCTGTAACACTGCTCTGTGAGATCCAAATAGATACTTCATCACATGATGCCGATAGCATAATCGGAATACAACTGTAGAAATTTGACAAAAATGTTCGTTAAATTCAGGTGAATATAATCATCAAATATCCCCCGTACTAACATGCTCGCTGGACGGCTGCCACAGAGACTGTGGACCTGCTGGACAGGGCGGTGTGTGACGAGACGGGCCGCGCACTGCCAGCGCCACCGAGCGGCCGCGTGGAGCTTCCCGGGCTGACCAGGGCCGTTGCCGCGGAGAGGAGCCGGACGGGGCCTCGCCGCTACGACACGGGCGGCAGCCTGCACGGCGGCGGCTCCGGCAAACACGGCCTGGAGCCGGCGGAGCCCAGCGCGAGGTGGGGAAGGAGACGGGGAACGGTGCCGCATCGCAGTCACCACGCTGGCGGACGGCATGGTTTCGGTTATCGCTTAGCCTAATGTCTGTCGCCCCCGCTCGCGCCCAGGCCCGTGGGGCGGAAGCTGGGGGCCGAGCTGTCGTGTGAGCCGTGCCTGCAGGCGTACGCCGCCGCTCTGCTGGAGGACCCCGCCGCGTGGGCACGTGCAGGTACGACCGCTCGCGGCCACGCTGTTGCTGCACGGTTTCTGGACCCCTGCCACTCCTCCTGCGATCCGCCTTCTCGCCATCGACACTTTTTCTTCGTCGTGTGCCAATGAAGCCACTGCACACTACATGCGCCCTGGTGATTGGCAATTGTGGAAAGCTGTAGCGTGGGGGGGCGCGAGGACTGGACTTGAAGGAGGCCGACGTGGAAGAGACGCGCGGTTACGAGAGACTTGCAGGGAATGTAAAGACACAGATGACCAGGGACACGGGAACAAGTTTCATGCAGTTAAGGCTGCATGTTGTGAGTGACCCAAGGCCGTGCACAGATATAGTTCCAACACCAGCATACACTGGCCTACTCTTTCAAACATGTCATAGGCTCTTTAAAGTCTACTTTACCACTGACGGGCGACAGGCTTTGGTGTCACCACAAGGCGTTACCGGTATTTGAACTGTCAAACCGTTGCAATCTACCATTTCGGTGGCGAATGCACACACCACTAGGCTACACAGCCACCATAAACAGAACATCATACACAACAAATACCGCTACAAGTGTAATCCCGGGAGATTAAAACAAATTGGATAACAAATCTGTCCATTATTTTCCGTGTGTGAGCGCGTGTTCATATGTGTCCCTTGTTTGGCTAAATCCCTCATTCCCCCCGTGGATACGAGAGAGGAGAGTAACTCGTAATCTTCCTCCCGCAGGAGCGGCTGGCGTGGACGGGCAGCAGTTGGGATCGGAGGTGAGCGTGGTGAGCAAGCGCTGCGAGCGTGCCCCGGCTCGCGCGGGGCGTGCGGCCCGCGCGTCTGCAGGCGCGACCGCACGCCCCGGCTCGCGCGGGGCGTGCGGTCGCGCCTGCAGACGTGCGGCCCGCGCGTCTGCAGGCGCGACCGCACGCCCCGGCTCGCGCGGGGCGTGCGGTCGCGCCTGCAGACGTGCGGCCCGCGCGTCTGCAGCGGGATTACGCCGTCACACGTCGTCACTAATGTAGACTCTAATAGCCCGTTTCGTGGCACGTCCAATTATGTGGGCGCGCTAACTTACTGTAATTAATAGTGCCAGCGTGATAAATTCTGCACATTTTAAGTGCGAAAGTGTCTCACCTGGAGTAGTTTAATGGCAGAGACAGTCCCGTCGGTAATAGTCAGCCAGGAGCTTAAATGCTCGTTAAAGTCGTCATTTTTGCGCTCCCCATTATTTTTAGTTCCTCCGATTGCTCGCTTGACGTCGTCGCTTGCGTTGTTAAGCGGGGCCGCGGAGGGCCGAGGGGGCAAGATACCCGGCGGTTGTTTTGCACGTCACGTAACATTGCAATGTTTTTAAAAAGAGCATTGACGTAAGCTTCTGTATAAGTTTTAAGATCTCATTTCATCAACATTTCATCTGCCCCATGCATTGACCCACCGTTTTGATCGCTGGTAATGTATTTGAGGATTTAAAATGTGGAAATAAAACGGTTGACATTCATGTTTTTTTAAACAAGAGGAAAATAAAAAAAATGGACCAAGTAAACCCGTAGCTGGGAGCGACATTGATTTCCCTGGGGAGGGACCGGCGTGGGCAGGGATTAACACTCCGCCTTCTGTGTCCCCACGCCGCGCAACAGGGAGGCCATGCCATGGGGACCCTGCAGGTGGTGCACCTGGGCCTCGTCTGAGCCAAGCCTGGGCCTCGTCTGAGCCAAGCCTGGGCCTTGTGCGAGCCACGCCTGGGCCTAGACCCGAGTCAGACGCGGAACAAAACCCGGAGCAGGCCCGAACCAATATCCGAACGAGACCTACGCACAGGCACCAGGCTGGACCAATGCTGGACCCAGTCGTCCTGAAACAAAATGTTTCAGGACTCTGATAGAGATCTACGTTTGGCTTTGGACTCAAACCCAAGGTGGACTTGTTTTCCAGAACTCGGAATGTCTACAAGCGCTCGTCGACACAGCGTCATGACACGTGCACCACAACACTGCAGCACCGCGCCACGTGGAGGCTGTGTCTTGTTGGGCATCATCGGCCTTTTACTGCAATGTGTACGTAAATATTCTCAGAACGTGCCAGTACCCCACACACAAACACACAGCCTTCTCTGTAGTCACAAATCTGTGCACGAAGAGTGGATTACATTCCACGCGTGAGAAACGATTTACATTTGCCTCTAAGTACATGGGATGGCGTTTCATGGCTTCAGCCCGGCTGAGGAAAGCAGACACGATCGGGCCTAGGGTTTAGCAAATAAATGTAAAAATATAACGGGCGGAGTTGTGTGTGGCATTACAATGACACAAAGCGCAAAAGTTTCCAGCATCGGTCGACCTTTAACGGGCTCGCTGGGTCCGGCGAGACTGCAAGATTAGCGGTGGGCATTCGTCTTGCAGACAGACAGAGTGAGCTCGTGGAGAGGAGCAGAAAGGTATGAGCAAGGAGAAGCAGAGATGAGCAAGGAGTAGCAAGGAGAAGCAAGCTGGAACATAAATAAATGGCGAGGAGCAAACGGGCAGGAATGGGCTGAGGAGCAGAAGTGAAAATAGATGTGCATGGATGATCTGGGGAGGAACGGGAATGAGCAGGGAACCAGGGAGAGGCAAAGAGTAGCAGGGGGGAGCAGAGAGGCAGAAGGGAAGAATGAAATACAGGGAGTTACTCATTCTGGGGTACAGAGAAACGAGGAGCAGGGAGGAGAGAGCCCTGTTGTGCAATATTTGAGAAATCAAAGTATTTTTTTACTCGATTTTTGTAAGCGTCATTTCGTATTATTTTATACGTGCACGTGTACATTTCAAGCTGATCTGTCATTGCAACGTTGTACTGTATTGTAATTGTCAGGGATTCTAGTTCTCATTGTAGTCATGTGTTTTTTTTTTGCGTCTCACCTTGGTGTTGTGTGTGTTTATGCGTCCTCATTCGGCCCGTGACGCACGGGATTGCGTCTCGCTGTCCGTTATGCACGGATGAATCACAAAACCAGGCCTCCCCGTGGCTCACGCAAAGTCCTTATTTACACATGCAGTTTTTACCACGTGCACTGGCCCAGTGGCTAATGCACTGCGCGCAGGATACTCGGCCACGAGTCCGTTTAAAACATCACCCTCCGGTTTGTTCGCCAAAAAAAGTGAGCATCGCATCTGTTCAGCCGATGTGGAAGTACGGCCAACGAGCGCGGGACTCGGGGCCGCCTGGCCACGGCGCCGTGCACGTCGCCTCGTGCGTGCAGCGAGCGGGGCTCAACGAACGACGCGTGTCAACCACCCGGAGCAGAATGAAGCCGGTCCGGACAGAATATCCGAAACGCCTTCTTCGCCCTGGCTGACCCAAACGCACTTGTCGCTCTGTGTATGAATTTATATGTGGATTTATGTGGCGTGTGTACCCGTGCGTGACTCTTGTGTCCGTGTGGGTGGCTTTGCGGTAAATACCGTTTTTGTCAACAAGTGCAATCCACTTCATTCTTTTTTTCTTCTCAACTGCAACGCCGTCAGTGTGACTTCCATTTGTGTCCAAGAGAGAGCCCAGTGAGACAGTCTCCTTCCCGCTGCGCGTGGCACAGTTTGGCGTAAGCGTGAGCAGACATTGCAGTTGCGCCCTCCTCGCAACCGGTGCTCGTGCTCATGAACAACTCGGTGACCTGTACACGCTCGTCATTGAATTCTGGCCAAACGCCGCACCAGAAGTGAATCAGATTTCAATATGACCTGGGCATGCACCTATGTTGACTCGGCCTAAAAGGGCGGTAGCTAGCAGAATGTGAGAAAACGAATGGCCACATCGACATTTTGCTGGCATCACCACCCCACCCGAGGGCCGTAGCCAGATGTGATAGGCGCTCGCTAACAACCCTGGTGACGGCCGTCTGTCAGGCTCAGCGGGTGCTGATTATACGTGTGTTGCTGTGTGGGTGTGTTGAGATGTTCTTGCGTCGAGAATGTACATTGGGCTTGCTGTTGAAGATATACACAAACAGAATAAAGGTCGCGTTGTGACTTACGAGTGGCTGTTGGCGTGTCGTTCCGTTCGTGCAGAACCAACCTCCCTCCCCGTGTTCATTACCTCCACTCGCTGTCAGTTAGCCAGATGAGAGCCCAGGCATTGTTTTGTTTGCATGGGCTCTCTGGGAAACCGCGTTATGATTATTAATGGCAAGTGTTGGTACCGTTCCACGGAGCGAAGGAGGGAGCGTGCCAGAGGACGCCCATTGAGGAGATGGAGCGATGAGATTAGTTCATGTGCAGGAATCGAGTGAGTGTTGCATCGCGTGACCGCGAGGGATGGCGACGGCTTAGGGAGGCCTTCGTCCAGCAGTGGATAGACCATGGCTGACGATCACCGTCAACTCTTGGACATACTGCGTGTTGTCTCTTCACGATACGCCCACTCGTGATCCGATTCGTCGATTATTTTTGATAACATTGTGAATGCAGCATGTCTATTGAATACATGCATGAGTAAGTTGGGTTAAGCAATTAAAGTTTACGAATGTTCTTGCAAGATTCGATCCACGTATCATGAGTTTAACAATCGTGATGGCTGAATTGTATTGTTACACCCATACTTGGTGGGACATTTTTCAAACATGTCATGCATGATCCTCATCGAGAAGTGAATACACGCTGCAGTATTAATCAGGGCGGCCGCTCGATTCGAACCGTGGACCTCTGCAACAATCTTCGAGCCCGCCAGCGCCGGGCCACGTGACTGCCAAAGCGTGGCATGTGCCCCATCCAGCAGCGGCTTGACGCAAGGAGCTGCACCGTGGACAATATTTGTCCCATCAACGATCGCGGGGCCCTCTGCCCGCGGGCAGTGTGGGATGGTGCAACTCCACCACCGGCTCGGCGAGGGTGACCGCCAATGTCGATGGGCGCCACCCGTTGCTCAAGAGCGGCGTGCGCGGTGGAGGCGCGGCCCTGGGCTGGCGTGGTGCCGGGTGCGGGATTGGCACCTCGGCTCCTCGTGTCACGACCACGCGTCTGAGCCCCCCCCACCCCGGCTTCTTGGCACGACTCCCTTAAGCCATCAGCCAGCCGCGCGCCGCCACAAGTGCCAGCCTGCCCCTGCAGGGGATGTGGGCAAGAGGCTGGTGGCTTGCCAGGGGGGGGGGGGGGGGTATAAACGTGCTCATTAAATGGAAAGAAATATATTGTTATCTGGATGCTTGTGCGCGTGCGTGCGCGTGCGTGTGGAAGTGAAGGGGAGGGACACACAAGTTTGGTGTCACTTTAAACAAAGAGAACCGGATTCCAGCCGAGCGTGTCCTACGCAGAGCGTTGCAGTGGCAATGGGCAATCGTCGTCGTCTTCCCACCTCGACTTTCTACCAGACACCTTTAAAGCATTACACCCCAACATACTAGTCAATCCGTATCGGGTGAAATTCAACCCCAGGCGTGCGTGTAACAATATAATGTTGTGTAGATGAACTCTCCTCTCTCTCTTCCTTTGTTCAGGGCCCCGTGTCAGTCCACTGCTGGATGGCGGCCTCTTAGTTTGACCATACTTCACCACGCCGGTAACTTCCACACGAGTTCGATTCCCGCTCACGGCCAACACCAGTGACGATTATCTGAACCCGAGTTCCATAGTGCGGTGTGTAGTAAAAGCGAGTTTCATGGTGCGGTGTGTAGTAAAAGCGAGTTTCATGGTGTGGTGTGTAGTAAAAGTGAGTTCCATGGTGCGGTGTGTAGTAAAAGCGAGTTTCATGGTGCGGTGTGTAGTAAAAGTGAGTTCCATGGTGCGGTGTGTAGTAAAAGCGAGTTCCATGGTGCGGTGTGTAGTAAAAGCGAGTTTCATGGTGCGGTGTGTAGTAAAAGTGAGTTCCATGGTGCGGTGTGTAGTAAAAGTGAGTTCCATAATGCGGTGTGTAGTAAAAGTGAGTTCCATGGTGCGGTGTGTAGTAAAAGCGAGTTTCATGGTGCGGTGTGTAGTAAAAGTGAGTTCCATGGTGCGGTGTGTAGTAAAAGCGAGTTCCATGGTGCGGTGTGTAGTAAAAGCGAGTTTCATGGTGTGGTGTGTAGTAAAAGTGAGTTCCATGGTGCGGTGTGTAGTAAAAGTGAGTTCCATGGTGCGGTGCGGTGTGTAGTAAAAGCGAGTTTCATGGTGCGGTGTGTAGTAAAAGTGAACGCCGGGGGAGACCACCACCCTCGCCTCGCGTGTGCCGTGGCGGCCTTCACAGGGCGCTCGCTCACGGCGCTTGCCCCAGAGAGTCTCTCTGCTCGAGGCTAAACGGGGGATGGATCGTTGCCTGCCCGCGCTCCTGCCAGGTGGCACGGCGCCTGGGTCCAGCTCCGCCAGCACCGCGGCGTCGTCTCGGCGGCGTTCGTTGCTTCCAGCGAAGAGGGTCGTCTAATTCTCTCCTCTTCTGGATCGCGCCGCGCTCTCCAAAATCGCCGCTTGTTTGTCCCAGAGCCCCTCTTTGTAGTTTCATTCACCAGGCAAATCCACGCGCGAGCCACGCAGCTCTGGTTCAGACGGCGGCCTGGGGCCACACGCGATGTCTCGTCGCAGGGGGCTTGGATAGAGAGTCATAGTCGTCGTCGTGGGAATATATCGTGGCAGATAACTCATCCTGAAACGCGTGGTGTTTGCGGAGGGGGTAAAAAACACAACGGAGGAACCCGGAGAACAATCCACTCGACCCCCACGAGGGAGAGACACGGGAGATAGACAACAAAGCGTCGTCAAGGTCTGGGGGATCAAACCCAGCGGAGACTTGGGAAGCCATCCAGCAGTGGATTGACCAGGACGGTGACCAACACGGTGGAGACTGCCCGGCGTCGCGATGGGAATCACAAGTTCGACACGGAGGCCGATTCTCTCTCGCGCGCGTGGTGGTGGTGTAGGTGGTGGTTACTCGGTGGTGGTGGTGGTGTAGGTGGTGGTTACTCGGTGGTGGTCGTGGTGGTGGTTACTCGGTGGTAGTGGTCGTGGTGGTGGTTACTCGGTGGTGGTGGTGGTGGTGTTGTTGGTGGTTACTCGGTGGGGGTGGTGGTCGTTACTCGGTGGTGATGGTGGTGGTTACTCGGTGGTGGTGGTCGTGGTGGTGGTTACCCGACAATGCCGTTTGAGAGCGCGCGGCGCACACAGCACTTTCACGAGTCGCAAGCGCTCCCCTTATCGTGTGCCACACGTGCACATCACATCACAGCACGCGTGTCGCTTTGTAAGCAACGTGTGCTGCTCCTGCGTCTGATGATGATGTAGATATTTCACGCGCTTTGAGACGCGCCAATGTAAGTCAGTCTCATGGTCACGATAATGATGCCGATAGATGAATGATGATGGTTAAACGATTGCGTCGATAGCGACGGTAATGGTGATTTTGATCGGATGATGGTAAATTAATGCTATTAGTGACGGTGGTGGTAACTGAAGAACGATGGCTGTTGAATGTGTTTGGTGGCTGCGGAGTGGAGAGGGAGTCTCCATCTCTCGTGAGACCGCGTGTCTCCGCTCTCTCTCTCTGCCAGTCTCCCCATCTCCGCAATTATGGGCGAGATCGCCCAGAATTCCGCAGAGTAATCCTTTAATTGCCGCGCAGTTCCGCGACCACGCCGCCGTCTCCTCCTGCTCCTTGCGGGGCCCTCTGTCCGCCGCCAGGGTAGCGCCCACATCTTCACCACGATCCACGGCTCATACGTGGATGATGATGATGGTCATCATCATCACGCATGTTCTATCCACCGCTGGATGAAGACATGCATAAACTCAGCCACAGTTCATCTCCCACGGGTACTGCGATACAAACGCGAAGACTCGCACCTGCGCGCATCAGCCGATCTCACGGCCCCGTCTCTCTCGGGCTCGTTCCGTCTCTCGGCTGCCGCTCCGTCATTGGTCTCGACCCTCCCTCTGAGCCACCCTCCCCCCGCCCAGTCGGGGCGCGTCCTGCCCAGGCCCCACCTGACCGATCGTCTCACTGCGACACCTCCAACTTGCGGTGCGTTCTCGTGCACGCGCCCCACTTCCCGTCTCTCGCTGTAGTTGTGATGATTGTGCTCCAGGCATCATCGGACGATAACTGGGGTTAGTTCCCCATTTTGCTTAATTGACATACACACCCTCTTTGATAGTTTCACCGTTTAGTGTCAACCCAATCTACCCACCCACGCAAAAGATAACGATCCCCTGGATAGCCTCAATAGACTGTAGGGGCAAGTGCTATTAGCGAGCACCTACGAAGGCCGGCACGGCACACGAGGGGGCGGGTGGCCAGCACCACGCCCGGCCGCCTGGGCCACAGCGCCCCAGGTGCTCATTTGAGGCTCAGCCGACCTAGGGGAGGCCCAGGTCACAAGTGTTTCCCGTGAGCGGGAATCGAACTCGGGTGGCCAGGTTCGTGGTCGCGTGGATTTTTCACCGGGTCCTCCGGTATTTCGCTCCACATTTAAAGAACAAAAACACGCGTTTGGAGTGTTTGGCTGCGATACATTTGCACGTGATAAGCCACTTCGTTGAGCTATCGTTTGTGGCCAGGTCACTTCTCGAAAAATATCAGTGGGCCTCACCTGGTAAAATAAGACAGTTTAGCTTTAGTTTAGTTTATCCGTGGTAGTCGCGTTGATTGCTCTACGGGTTATTCCGGTGTGTACTCCCCCCTACTCCTCCGCGTCTCTAACGCAACAGGCGCTTGGCATGATTTACCTGCTACTCTACATTCCCATTTGATGGTGATGATTTATAAGCGACTTCGATGAAGCCTATCATGCGTCACCAGATCAAGCCTCTGAAAAACAGCTGCAGTACCAGCTCAGCGGGTTTTACCTGGGGAATAAAAATGGGCGAGCTTAACGTTGTGTGAAGGCAAGCACAGACACACACACACACGCAGACACACGCACACACACACGCACACGCAGACAGAGAGGCGTACACACGGAGACATCACCCCGTTCCTTAATCACGTTCTCATTTTTTTTTACTTCTAAGACATTGAAAGCTCACGGACAGGGCGATCGCACAGAGTCTCTCTCTCTCTCCGTGTTACACAGCGCTCGGCTCGAGCCGACGCGGGGAAGAGTCGCTCGCAAACACCGTCCAGAAGGGAGGAGGGGAGGAGGGGTAGGAGGGTTTGATCCCCGAGAATCCTCAGCGCGTTCCAGGGGGTTTGCGCGATTTGTCGGACGTCTTCACCCCGTGACGCTCGCGTCAAACGCCGCCTAGGAGCTGAGTCCCTCGTGCGGTCGCGAGGGAATTCCTCTTCGCGGTTCACTCTGAGAAGTCTTCGTTTCACATCAAGCGGCACGGGCTACCGCTCATCGTCCGTCGATGCCACTGCGTGCGTGGGAGGAGCGGTGGTGGAGTGGTGAGCGCACCGCGTTGCGATGTGGGCGACCCGAGTTCGATTTTCGCTCGCGGCCAACACCGGTGCACAAAGTCCGAAATTTGGTCCTGGGCCTCCTCTCGTCGACTCAGCATTAAATGAGTACCGTAGGTGCTTCAGACGTGCTCCTCGCTTTACCGCACGCATGTGTACATTGTACGCATGTATGTGTCATAGTGTGCATACAGTCCGGTTCATTTACAATTATTCCGTGTAACGATTCGTCGATTGGCGTACCATTCAAATCGATTTTCACGCCACGACATCGACTCGCGCTCGAGAGAATTAGGCGACTCGGTTACGCGTGAACGCAACACGCATTGCACATTTGCATTCAGGGTTACGGCGAGAAGTCGGTTACAAACGAGACGGAACAATGCAAGTGAAACACACAGAGACGTTTGCTGTGATGGGGTGATGGGTGCATCTTGAAAAACTCAACACAGACCCATGGAGTGGAGTGACGGGCATCTTCGACTCCGGTTCACAACCCCGATTAGACACTAAGTGTCGAAACCGGTCCAGAGTTTTGCTTGTACCGAATCACTGCTGATGAGCGTATTCACTCCCACAAGGCCGTGGGGCCGAATACTTTCATCTTGCACGTGGACATCCACACGGAGGAGACGTTACATGTACAGTGTACTGTACACGTGTGTGCTGCAAGTGATATTCACGTGAGGGCCTACGGATGAGGATGCACGAGCGACGCCGCTCTGTCCCGCACGCGTTTGGGCTTCGTTTATCGGGAGGGAATAAAAAGAAAATAGGGTTGAAGTTACCGACAAAGCGCCCATTGTGACGTAACTGCGCACGTGCTAAATCGGCGAAGTGGGTCTCGGTGACGCCACCACAGCGCCACATGGGCGCGCCCAGCCGTAGTTTTGAACACGCAGTCGGCCTTTCGCGACCAACATGATCCACGAGAGAGATTTTGTGTGAGATCGCGTGAATATGATGAGTGTGTCGGCTGGTGGCGGGTTTAGCGACGCATTTATATTGTGTCGTTAAGCGTAACGATGACAATCCGCGATCTAACCCGAACACCTCGATTATGGATCGTAATTCTAAAGTGGTTTTTTTTGTTTCATAATCGGCGAAGCATAAAACTGGCGCGGGCGAGACAGAATCTTAATATTAAATTATACTGGCGGAATCTGATGAGCTATAAAGCTCTTTGTCCAGTAAAAGCGAGGCTGTGGGTGGAGCTACAAGAGCGGCCCTGGGCTCCCGATGGCGCTGAGCACGAGACCACATCACGGCTTGTTTACACATCGGGAGGAAAGGATTAAAAACCCCCACGTTACTAATCGCCGCTAAGTCAACCTGGTCGTTCTTAATTAACCTCGTGGATTGTAATCAATAATTAACATGCTATTGTTCGGATCTCCGAATCGGCAACTTTGCATCTTGGCGAGGGCATTGTTCTCATCGCGGTGAGACTAAAGCGCAGCAATAATGACAGTCGTAGTCCAAGTGTGTGTCACGCAGCTGCACGCGCACTGCGCAGAATCAACCATTACCCCCCCCCGCCCCCCACAAGTAGCGGAGCGAGCATGGAGCAGGCGGGGGGGGGGTGCCATGCCCCCCCCCGTCACCAAGAGAGATGTTTTCACCAACAACGTATAAGAACAAAAAGCACAAAAACGCGGTTGAAATTACAATTTGTTTATGTAAATTTTCAAACATTTATCTTCGACGTTTTATTTTAAATCTAATTAGAGCGGTAACGTTTGGCCTCTGAATGTTTGCGCATCGCGTGTTTGTGTGTCTCTCTGTTGTTGTTGTCACCGTGGGACCGGGGCAGGCGAGCGGGGCCGTCGTGGCTGCATTCTGCCACGGCAAAGCGCCCCCACAGCGGTAAATGTCCGAGACCGTGAGCGTGATGATCGCACGGAGGGCTTTCTCCACCAATATCATCCAGAGGTTTTTGTTTGGGTTAGCTCGCGTAAATATGTGTGTCGTAAAACCCCGCCACCACCCGACACAGCCAATTCGTAAAGCTTGTCACGGAACCGTGTCGATTCGTTGCTAGTCCAGCACGCCGGTGGTGTGTTGGAGGGTAAGCCCACGACAATTACAATTACAGCGCAGTGACGTTTCGCCGGCAATGACGTGACGAGAGCTCGGGGAGCCGCGATGTGGACCAGCCTCTCGGTGCGAGACGAATCAAATATTGGGGTGGGGGGGGGCACATGAACGATTGCCGCATCCCCTGCACGGACTTTGTCGTTGTTACTCCGCCACCACCGACGACGACGACGACGATTTTCTAGCGATTGCTGCCTCCACCCTCGCGACTCGCGCGCGCCCGAGACGTCGCGACCTCTCCACGGCGCGTGGCGTTCCCCGTGCCTCTCGGTTCCATCGCCCTCGTCGCGAGCGGCGCTGTCCCCGTTTGGCACGCGATGATAACACGGGTACATTTAAAACAAACCCATCACAAATCGTGGATTTTATGAGACGCGCGAGGCGGTTGATTTGTTTGTGTTTGTTACGGAGTAATCGTGACGAGCCGAGAGCACGCGGCTCCTCGACTTGGCCGTGCAGCCGAGTCGCGCGGAACGGTGACGATGGCGGTCCTCACCCGGTGACTCCCCCGGTGACTCACCCGAAGATTTGATCGATCGAGGTGGTGGGGGGTGGAAGAGTAGGCCAACATACCCCGTCGAGGGGCTCTGTAGCACTCGCTCTGGTGGCGCGCGCGAGCTATTGCAGGGCTGCGCCTCTACACGTGTTTTTACACTCCACGGCCAGACCGGCTCCCGCCATAGCAATGTGGAATGTCCAGTGACGAACATTTAGCGCGGCCTCCCTCCGACGGAGCGGTGGGATTGTAATTTGGCGCGCGGGTCACCCTTCCATCGACATTTATTGGTGTTTGCACAAAACAGTATTCATCATAATAATGATACTAATACTGTTGGATACCAGACTCGTTTTTGTATCCATCGCGCGCGCGTGTACTGTGTGTGTGTACTGTGTGTGTGTACTGTGCGTGTGTGTACTGTCTATACTGTGTGTGTGTATACTGTGTGTATACTGTATGTGTGTGTACTGTGTGTGCACTGTGTGTGTGTACTGTGTGTGTACTGCGTGTGTACTGCGTGTGTGTACTGTGTGTGTACTGTGTGTGTACTGTGTGTGTGTACTGTGTGTGTACTGTGTGTACTGTGTGTGTGTGTTACTGCACGGCGATCCATTTAGAGTTACCCCACTGATTTCGAATGCACCCCCCGTCCCCTCTCCCTCCGTCTTCTCGACAGTGAGTAATCGTGAAACAGCAGCGACGTCTCGGCGTCTTCGCAAAGGAGCAGAGCCACGGCGAGATGGACACGACGGAGTGCGGGGGTTGGTGGGAGACTCGTTAGCAAGAGGAGCTTCAATCAAATGTAGACTTCCCTATTAAGTGGGCCGCGGTCATTTGAGTGGGGCATCTCTATATGGATCACCCTGTTTTTCTGCTGAGCACCTTCCCATAATAAAGTTCAGCGTCCGGCAACGAGCAGCACTAACACGAGCAGTAGTCGAAGTAGAGATGAGGGTGTGTGGGTGAAGATACAACTTACGTGAGCGTAGGGGGACAAAAATATGAACACAAATTCATTGACGAAGCACGATTTGAAGAGAAGAGCGAGAGAGACGGGTATGAAATTCGTTGCCCTGAGAATTGAGCGCAGCAACATCAGCCGGCAGGGGGCACCGCGCCGCGACGTCAAACATCGATTACCCCCCCGCCCCCCACCGTGTTCGACATCGGGCTCGCGGAAGTGGACATTACAGAGCTACTTCTTACATCGTTTTAAAATGCCACGTGGTGCACAATATAGGGGGGGGGAGCGGTTGTGGGAGGGGGCGACGCTTCTCCAGATGCCCAGGCCGTGCAGCAGCAACAGCAGCGCGTTCCTGTCCGTGACCGGACAGCAGACCCGATCGGGGTCTCCGTCTCTGCTCCAACCCCCCCCCCACTCGTACAGATTGTTGGACAAGCAGCGCCTCTTTCACGTACAACCAATACAAGTTAGTTTTTTTACACTTCCCATCGGCCTCGCGGTCCCCTTCAGGACGGCGCAACATCAGCAGCGTCGACTTGGCACAAGCAATGCTCCGGGAGCGGTTTCGACCCACAGCGTCTCATCGGCAGTCGCGCTCGCTTGACATCAACGCCGGCGAACTGGCAGATGGTTTATAGGGAGGGTGGACCCTCTCTTATAAAGATGCGGGTCCCTCGTTTTACGTAAAACTCTACAACACAACACACGAGAATCAGCGGCGACGCTCTATTTACATCCTGCACCGGCATTGACGCAGAGCGAGCCCGAATCTGCTGACGGGGCACGGCGGGTCGACAGCGCCGCAGAGTTTGCCTGCGCCGAATCAACGCTGCTCAAATGATGCAGAACTGTGGGGATTCGCCGAGTGTGGAGATTTTGCCGTTTGCCAGCAACGGGGGGGGGAACGATTCGCGTCTGGCGCGCACGACCCCACGCGCCGAGCGAGCGCTCGTGGACGCAACGCTGAGAGAGTTTTTAAACTCGACGGGTTCGTCTCATCGGAGTTGCATGCCGACTCGGCTGACCGACGTCAGTTTGAAGCCTCCGGTTCGTAAAACGTCTGTGGACAAAAAAATATCTTCATCGCTCATCGGATTCCTCCATTCTAAATAAAGATTCTGATTCCGCGAAGAAAACAACAACGACGACGACTTTAAATTGACTTCCAGACTCCACCGTGTGCAGTGACGTCACAAAGGGCCCAGCCACCCCCTGCCCTCCCGGCAGAACGTCCAACTCTGATTGTGCTTCATCTCTCGCTCTCTTTCTCTCGAACGAAGGAAGCCGGGCCGTTTCGACCGCCATGGCGCGCCTGGCGGTTCACGTGGCGACGGCGAAGATGTCGATGTCGTCGTTCTTCTTGACGACGCCAAATGCTTCTTCATTCACGTCCGAATCTCTACGAAGACGCGCGGAGGTCCCGATCCAATCACCGCCGACACCGCGGGATCATCGGCGCAGCGAGGCGACTCGGCACATCCGATCGTCGTCGTCTTTGCCGTCGTCGTCCGGGAATTAAATTCACGCGCGCGGCTTCATCAAGCGAGCCCCACGCGTGGAGTCGAGTCGCGCTCTAAGTCTGTACGGCGGCGGCGGCGGCGTCGTCAGCCGTGGCGACCGCATGGCGCTCCGCGCGGCTCACAACGGCTGAAACTTCCACGCGGCGCCCGGCTGCTCCTTGTAGTCCTGCAGGCACTCGGCCGCGCTGAAGTTGAGCTTCCAGGAGGCGCTCTGCTCCTTGTAGTCCAGGTAGTCGCCCCCCGCGAAGCCGTAGCACTGCGGGGGCAGCGGCGCGGCGTGGGGCGACACCTGTCCCAGGGCCCCAACCCCCAACCCCGACGAGGCGGCCGCCGACAGGGGGCTCAGCCCGGCGCTGTGGCTGGGCAGGGTCATGGCCGGCAGGTAGGGCCCGCCGCCTCCCCCGCCGCCTCCCCCGCACTCCACGCCGTAGTAGGAGGCCGCCGTGTAGCCCTGCGGGGGGCCGTAGCCCCCGCTCTGCACGAAAGGCCCCATGGCGCCGTAGGAGACGCGCTGCTGCTGCTGCTGCACGGTGCAGGGGGAGCCTCCCTGCACGGAGGAGGAGGAGTGGTGGTGGTGGTGGTGGCCCCCGCCGTTCAGGGATACCCCCGCCCCGCCCGCTCCCCCGGCAGCGCCGCTCAGACCCAGGGCCCCCAGGCCGAGGGGGTCGAGCTCTGGAGAGACGGGCGCGGGGCTCCAAATGGACGCGGGGGTCCCCGCCGACGGCACGCCGCCCCCCATCACGCCCGCGCCGTTCGTGCCGCCGTGGTTGTGGCCGTGGCTGTGCCCGCCGCCGCCGTTGCCGCTGCTGCTGCTGCTGCTCGTGGTGGTGGTGCCGCTGCTGCTGGTGCCCGTGCCGCCGGCCGCGGGGGAGAAGCGGCTGGGCCCCCCTACATCTGGGGTGCCGTCTTGGGGGGCGCTCTTCTTCTTGGGGGGCCGCGGCTTCACAGGCCCCCCGCCGGACGCGGCCTGCTGCTGCTGCTGCCTGCACTTAGCGCGCCGGTTCTTGAACCACACCTGGAAGAGACGGGGGATAGAAGGTTCAGCGATGCCCACGCGCCTTCGTCTCGCGCACAGGCTGCACGCGCCTGATGATGGCTAAACACGGCAGACGGAGCCGATCCAAATAAATACTTATATCACGCGTGTGTGTGTGCAACATCGCTACATTGGAGACAAAGGCGACCGGGCGTGGTGCTGGCCACCCACCCCCTCGTGCGCCACCGTGCCGGCCTTCATTAGGTGCTCGCTAACAGCACTTGCCCCAACAGTCTGTTTAGGCGATACGGGGGATCTTTGTTTGTGTGTGTGCACGTGTGCGTACCAAGCGAAAGGGGGCCGAATCAAATCGGCGCTCCTGACGTCACGTTGGAGTGTTTAGTAATCATCAGGTGCGCGTAGCCTGTCACGGCTTCGTTCGTGCTGGAACGGAGAAGCCGAGTAAACGAGGAATGCGGTTTGGGAAACCCGAAATTACGACTCTCGTTTTAGGCCCAGTCGACCTAGGCGGGGTTCAAACACTTCGCGTATAAATCACGTGACAGCACGCGGCCTGGGATGGGAGAGCGAAGGAGGGAGCTGTGGAAATCACGACATGGAACGTCGGACAAACGTCGTCGGTGCAATGGTTCCAACCACGTGCCAACGTTGGTCTCACATTGTTGTCGAGTCAGCTCGGTCATCACCTCGCGAGTCGCGACGCCGAGACAGGGAGAGACAGAGATACAGAGAGAGAGACACACAGAGAGAGACACAGAGAGAGAGACAGAGACAGAGAGAGAGACAGAGAGACAGACAGAGACACAGAGAGACAGAGAGACGGCTGCCTGGCTGGGCCGTGCTTGCGACACTGCCCGACACGGGTTCAGGAGCTCGCGAACGACACACACACAGCACACACACACAGCACAACACACACAGCACACACACAGCACAACACACAGCACACACACAGCACACACACACACAGCGCACACACATCACACACAGCACAACACACACAGCACAACACACACAGCACACACACAGCACAACACACAGCACACACACAGCACACACACACACAGCGCACACACAGCACACACACAGCACACACACAGCACACACACAGCACACACAGCACACCACACACAGCACACACAGCACACCACACACAGCACACACACACAGCACACACACATCACACAGCGCGCACACAGCGCGCACACACAGCACACAGCGCGCACACACAGCACACACACAGCACACACACAGCACACACACAGCACACACACACAGCTCACACACACAGCGCACACACACACACAGCGCGCACACACACACACAGCACACACACACACACAGCATACACACACCACACACACACATCACACACACACAGCACGACACACACACACCACACACACAGCACACACACACAGCACCACACACACATCACACACACACAGCACACACCACACACACAGCACACACACACAACACACACACACAGCACGCACACACACAACACACACAGCACACAGCACACCACACACACAGCACACCACACAAACACACAGCACGTGCTCTGCAAGGCACTCCCTGCACGTGGGGGTCGAGGATGTGCCTTAGGCTGGGCTGGCCAGCAGACGGCAGCACAGCAAGTGCACCAATCGCCATCCGTTTTAATCTGTACGGCCGGGGCTTAGTGCTGTCGCGCACGCGCGTACACACACGTGGGGTTTCAGGTTTCCTCCCGCCTGTACAATCAACAATCTCGCCACTAATTGCGAACCCAGTGTGGCAACAGCCCCGGCTGAGCGTGGCCCTCCTGGATGAAGACGTGAATTGTTGCAACCCAGTGAGGTCACGTGACGGCAACGATCGCAGTGTTTACCCGCTGCAGTTCTCTCGCTGTCAATGTATTTTATCATCCTTTCACTTTGTGTCACGATCCACCCCCCTTTGCGATATCCGGTGCGAAGTCACGAGCCTGGGCATCCGTTGTGATCTCTCGCTCCGTGCGAGAGATCGACCCGCAGAAGCGGCCATCACAGAGCTACCACCGAGACGCCTTCTTCCAGTGACCCTAAGGCCCCCCAGCAGTCGCTCTCCCACTCACCCCCCCTGGCAGGCACGACCCACACGGAGTAAACTTCATCCTAACTCTCAATAAAAATGTTTTAAAATATAAATTATATAACTATTATTAATTGCGAAACCTCCATCTCGTGACTGGCTTTACCGCCTCCTGCATCTCGCGTGACGACAGCGCCACGCCGTCGTCGTTGTTGTTGTGGTGGTGGTTGTTGTTGTTGTTGTGGTGCTGCTGCTGGTTGTTGTGGTTGTGGTGCTGCTGGTTGTTGTGGTGCTGCTGGTTGTTGTGGTGGTGCTGCTGCTGGTTGTTGTGGATTTGCGAGTCAAGAATGCTGTTTGGACTCGGTCCGGGCGTGGGTCTGCTTGACGCCAATGTCACGGCGGGGGGGGGGGAGTTGGGAGGGGAGTTGGGGGGGGAGGAGTTGGGGGAGAGTTGGGGGGGAGTTGGAGGGGGGGGGTGCGCGTCGCTGCTGAGCGCGTGGATTATTCCCAGGTAGTGGGCGGCTTCAGCAAGCCTTACGCTGCCGATGAGAAACCGAATGTCGAAACCGGTGCCGAGGGTTTGGTTGTGTGAGACGAGCAGAGCTGAGAACGATCACTCCCAGAAGGCGGCGTGGCTGCCAGGATGTGTAAACACGCAGCCGAGTGGCTCTGCACGGAGGGGGGGGCACGGGAAGGAGGCGAGTCCTGTCTGCGTGTTCACGTTGTTGCGTGGAGGAGTCGCCGCTGTGTTTTGTGTTTCGCTACTGAAGCGACGAGTCGCCAGCCAGGCCGCACGTGCCCATCGGCAAGGACCTTGGGTGCGGTGCCAGCATCAGAGAACCACGACTCGAGGCGGAGGAGGATGAATGAGATCTTGCAGAGAAAGACGAGGGGAGGGAGGGGAGTATGGGGGGGGGGTAGCGGGGGGGGGGCACGTTTCGACGTCACGGTGTCATCCGATGTGACACCTCGAGTTGAGGGGCCCGCGGAGTGGCGATAGCCCCGGGTCCCGCATCCCCCTCGAGACAGCCCTGGGGGTGAAGTTGTTGATGACGATGATGATGATGGCGGAGAAGAAGAAGAACCGAGTGAACTTGTAAGACGAACGGAGAAGCAAGGAGACAGACGAATGAGGATGGAGGAGGAGGAGAATGGGGAATGATAACCATGATGCTTAGGAGGAGAGGAGGAGGAAGTGATGATTGATGGCGATGGAGAAGCGATGATGATGGATGGAGGATGGAGGATGAGTGGTGGTGGTGATGATGACGATGATGATAGAGGATGGGTGGTGGTGATGATGACGATGATGATAGAGGATGGGTGGTGGTGATGATGGATGTAGGATGAGTGGTGGTGGTGGTGGACGAGGGTGGCCCCCACCTGCACGCGCGACTCGGGCAGGTTGATCTTGAGCGCCACCTCCTCGCGCATGAAGATGTCGGGGTAGCGCGTCTTGGAGAAGAGCGACTCGAGGACGTCGAGCTGCGCGCGCGTGAACGTCGTGCGCTCGCGACGCTGCTTGCGCGGCGGCGCTGCCGGGGAAACACGCGCACACACAGCTACACACACACAGCTACACACACAGCTACACACAGCTACACACACACAGCTACACACACACACACAGCTATACACACACACAGCCACACACACACACAGCTATACACACACACAGCTACACACAGCTACACACACACGCAGCTACACACACAGCTACACACACACACAGCTACACACACACAGCTACACACACACACAGCTACACACACACACAGCTACACACACACACAGCCACACACACACACAGCTACACACACACAGCAACACACACACACAGCTTTATACACACAGCTCTACACACACGCCTACAACAACAACCGCCATTCGCCACTAAGTGGCGGTGACGTCACCACAACGCTTGTGCCAGGCCATGTGCACCTTGAGGCCACGTGAAGTGTCGAACGCCTGCTGGCAGGTGGTCACGGGGCAGACCCAGCAGGTGCCACGGGTCGACTGACTGAGATGACCGAGATGACTGGCCCCTACTGTGCCAACTTGCTGTGCTTTAGCCACCCGGCGCTCCGCTCGTTGTTGTGAGCGTCGCTCCTCCGCCCTCCGTTGTTGTTGGAGGGCGACTGCCTCCAACTGCCCAGCAGCGTACTTCACGAGCCTCCTCCACAGAGGCCGATCTTGACACCGCTGGTACCAGTCATCGGCAAGTCCACTCAGCTCCACGTCCTCCTGTACCACATCACTCCATCTCTTCTCTAGCCCGTGCCACGCCCGTTTAGCCACCTCGATCCGGCCGAACAAAAGCTGTTTCGGCATGCGGTGGCTGGGCATGCGGGCTACATGACCTAGCCAACGCAGCCTTGCCTGCCGGAGGAGCTCACCGATGGGACTTTGCCCAGATCTTTCAAAGATTTGTGAGTTCCTCACACAATCCAGCCTGGTTAAACCCAGGATAGATCGTAGGCAGGCCAGCCTAAATGTTTCTAACCGGCGAAGATGCTCCATTAGGGGAGTCCACGTTTCGCAAGCGTAGAGAAGGGAGGTAATGACCGTGGCCGAGAAGACCTGAAACTTCGTGCGGAGCGACAGACCAGGTAGCTTTCACACAGCGTTACGCAACCGATGAAAAGATATTGTCGCTCGACTGATTCGGAGTGAGACCTCTGCTGTCAAACCGGAGCCGGTCATGAGCACACTGCCCAGGTATGGGAAACTCTCCACTCTCTCCACAACTGCCCCATCTCCTTTGTCTTCCCGGCGGCGTTGTTTACACATCGCACCAGGTACTCATTTGAGGCTGATTAGACCTAGGAGGAGGTCCAGGATCGGTTCAGATAATCATCACCGGTGTTGGCCGTGAGTGTGAATCCAACTTGGGTCGCTGGGTTCGTAGTACAGCGCGCTAACCGCTACACCACCGCTCCCTCCCCCTCTCACATTCACCGTAAGTCACACAAAGATCCCCCATGTAGCCTTAATAGACTGTTGGGGCAAGTGCTGTTAGCGAGCACCTACGAAGTCACACACACACATAGGTACAGTCAGACATGACCCAGGCAGGCACAAGCAAACACGTGTGCGCACACAACAGGCACGCTGACATTTGGAAACAACAACCGCCATTCGCCACTAAGTGACGAGGACTTCACCACAGCGCTCGTGCCAGGCTAGGTGCACCTTGAGGCCACGCGAGGCGTCGAAGGCTCGCGGGCAGGAGGTCATGGGACAGACCCCAGGTGCCACGGGTTGAACTGCCCGAGATGACCGGCAGATGCACCACCAGTTGCGCTCCCCGCTTCGTCAACTTGCTGAACGTTGTGAGCGTCGCCTCTCCGCTGGAGGGCGACTGCCTCCAACTGCCCAGCAGCAGCAGCGTCCTTCACGAGCCTCCTCCACAGAGGTCGATCTTGACACCGCTGGTACCGGTCTTCGGGCAAGTCCACTCAGCTCCACATCCTCCCGTACCGCATCAGCTCCATCTCTCTTCTCCGGCCCGTGCCGCGCCCTTTTTACCCCCCCCCCCCCCTCTCTATCCGGCCCAACAGAAGCTGCTTGGGCATGCGGTGGTGGCAGAGCATGCGGGCGACGCGACCCGGCCAACGCAGCCTCGCCCGCCCGAGGATCTCACCGATGTCACCGCGAGCAGATTTTCTCCGGGCTCTGTGAGCTCCTCGCACGATCCAGCCTGGCGCTAAACCCAGCATGGATCGTAGGCGGGGCCAGGCTGAATGTCTCGAACCTGCCCAGAGGTTCCTTTAAAAGGGCTCCTAGTGGGCGAACCACCACGGATATCGTCACGCGCACAAGTGCAGCCAGACACGCGCAGGTGCGCGCATAAGCACAGATCACACGCACGGCAAGCGCCAGGCACTTCGCGTGCGTTGTGCTGCTGCTGCTGTACGGTGCCGCAAACTGTTGGCTGCGTACGGTGCGAAAGAAGTTCAACGTACGCTGGCAACGAGTGGCTGATAATGCCGGCACATGAATAGGCCGCTCGTTTTTCAACATTTATGATGGATTATTTTATTAGGCGCGCAACAACCAAACGTTACCGTCCATGTGCGCTATGAAGAAGGGCCATTGACCGAAACTTCGGCTACTATATACGGGTTTCCTGGCGCTGTCGAGAATGAAACGCGAACACTCGAGGCATCCCCTCCCCCCTTACCCCACACCACCCCTCCCCCATCCCCCCCATCCCCCCCTCCCCCACCACCCCCCAGGGTGGGAGCACGTGACGTTAATTGAACAGCAGAGACAAAGGCGGAGCGCGCTCCGTCCTCATTGTTCCCCGGCTCGTTCCGCGATCTCGTCCCTCGCAGTCAAACTCACGGCTCGTCTGTCGAGTCGCGTCATTAGCAAGCGGCGCACACGAGAACAGATATAAAGATCTCCCCCCCCCCCCTCCAGCCTTAACGCAATGTTGGAGGCAAGTGCTGTTAGCGAGTAGCACCTACGAAGTGAGGAGCGGTACGCGAGGGTGTTAGTGGCCAGCAACGCTCCTACCTGGCCGCCTTTGTCTCCCCAGCGGCGATGTTTACACGCCGCACCAGGTACTAGTTTGAGTCTAAGCTTAAACTCAACTTTGTGTTTTTTACTTTTTACCACCGAGCTATGTAGCTCTTTTTCCCAGAAGCTACCTGGCCACAAATGATAACTCAACAAAGTGGCTTATCACCAGGTGGACATTTACAGCAGCAAACCAACGCGACCACGGAGAGAGATAAACACACGCAAACTACAAACATACAGCAGCAGCAGCAGCATGCGTCATGGTCGGGATCGAGCCCACGACCTCCTGTTTACACCATGCCAGGTGGTTAACGTCTCGCCGACCCCAGGGAGAGGATGGACCCGTACCCTGGGTGATAGAAATTTGCGCAAACGAGATCAGAACAAACGTTGGCAAGAGGGCAGCAGCAGACTCTGCATGCCCAGCTGACATCGCCATTCCTTCCCTTGTGGCCGTGCTCAAACACGAACCCCCTGGGGGCGCGCTACTGGCTCCGCTCTGCTGATGAGTGCCGATCTCGAGAAATCCCGGCGTGCGTCTCAGTTGTCCCGCGGCCTACATCACAACGCCGTAGCGCAGCCGTTTAAAAACTGGTGGCCAATTCGGGTTGGTCAAATTAGGGGGTTGTTTTTATTCGTTGCCGGTAACCGCATCCAGAAAAAACCGGTTTAATAAGCGGTTATCAGTTTACCGCCCATTTCGTAATGTCCGGTGATGAATGTTACATTTGAACTTTGTTTTCAACTTATAAATGAAGACAAATGTAGTACCACGCGGTGGCTTAACCCGTCGTAAGATCGCGTGTGCCAATGGGTGCACGCATTCCCAAAATTCGACTGGAAACGTTGAGCGGTTTCTGCATTTCAAAATCGGTAACCGATTGCGAGCTCTGTGCCCCCCCCCCCTCGAGTTCTCCCACGTGGTTCCGACGTTACGCGGCGTGTCGGTTACAGGAGGCGCACGCTGCTGCTGCTGCTGTCATTATGCAGTGACGCGGCGAATGACGAACCAAGTGGACTAATTAAATGATGACTTTGACATGACCACGATGCGATCGATTGTTACGGATTCCACGCAGTAACATGTGCGTTAGCAGTGGTGCTAAATCACAACTCACTGTGTTGCCTTAGATAGAAATCTAACGTGTATATAATAGACGACGTTTCGGGCAACGACCCCCTCTTGCACACGTGTCAGGAAATGAAATAATAAGTAACGATACGACAATATTTTGAAAAAACGGACGATACCATTTGTGTGCACACGATATCGTAGTATCACCTGTGAGTGGTGGTGCACTCATAAACACGCGTGTACACAGTGCTGTAGAGTACGCACATTGATGTACACTCGTAGACACTGGTGTACGCACACACGCGCGGTGATGCACACGCGTTCCGAGACTCCATCAGCGTTCATGTGTTCACGCAGAATCAAAATCTGCGTCCTGTTTAACGCGTAAATTCCCGGTTACATAATTGTGACATTTCCACATTCCTGTAGCGGCGGGGCAGTCCGTGACGGTCTCCAATGTGGTGAGCGGCACATGTCTTGAGGGAGGGAGCGCAGGGGCGAGGTGTGTTCCACGTGTGACGCAGCGTCTAGGTATGCTCCACGTGTGACGCAGAAGTATGCTGCACGTGTGGCCCCAGTCGAATCGTTCGTCTCCTGCGCGAGAGTTATAACTGCTAGACGCATTCCCATACTGGGCAGGATCATTGCGAGACAGACGTTAGTCTTGCGACCAATATCATCCGTAATTAATTCTGGATAATCGTCTGATGAAGCTGGTTTATGATCACCAGCGAAACGTCACAGTACTTGAATTGTCAACGTTGTGGGTTTATTCTGCCACAACAATCATCTCCTACACCCATATGTCACTCCACGTGTACACAAATGCACAATGGATTTTGACAACGGACGTTTTGAGTCATTCCAGACTTTATCAAACTATACAGATATATCAAACAAAGTTTGACTGAAACTATGACGGCGGCAATACACAACGCCCTGCGTCCGTGCACTAATTAA